ATATAACTTTACTCCGTGCACCGCTGATCTTCATCGCAGCTATTTTCGTGACACATTGAAGGAGGATCGCCGCATTCATGGTGTAGAAAACATGGCAGAATCGGCTTCGCTCCCTCGGACCGCCAACGTGTGGCAACGGGAAATTGACGAGATTGTCAATAATGCCGATTAATGTAGTAGCAGCATGACCTCCGCATATATACCAAATAAATGACTAATTATCCACACATTGAACGCCTGATGTGCACGAAATTGTACGGCGGCGAGAGGAAATCCGGTTCAGAAATATTGGCTGACTTATGTGCGAACTGCTCATGTTACACGGAATCCGCACATATGTGTTGCGGACGTACGCTCGGGCGTGTTGCAGACGTGAACTCGTACGGTCCGAATGATGTCAGAATACTCCTGATTTTCAGACGCACTGACTCTGAGATCAGACGCACGGCTTCTGTTCCCCGCGAGCGCTTTTCACCTGGTCATCACCCGTGCGCAAGTTGGCGGTGTAGGTCTCTGTCTGGATTGGATATCCTTGTTGTTCAGGAATGCCTTAAAAACAAACCAAAACAAGTCTGCTATGCAAAGAAAAAAGCGCCAAATCGACGCCGGATTCCTTTATCGATTTATCCTTGATGCTCGAACAGCATTCTCACGAATCTCAGCTCTCGACCATTGACGTTGCTGTAGAGTATGACACATTACGTGCATTCGTCGAACAGTGCTGAGTCGCTGTGTAGCAAGTGGCTTCATAAACGATGGGGACCGCGACACAACTCGGTACCGCATTGGGCAGTTCCCTGTACGTAGTGCGATGTACCATCTTTCGTTGCGTCTAACAAGAATTCGATAGGATCTCTGTTGAGATTCTTCCAGGAGATGGGAAAGAGTGGTTGACACTCGATCCCAGCCCCGCCGAGACGCCGCGAGAATTCTTGCTCATGGAAGGCAATCTGGGCATTCCCCAGAAGAGTCTCTACAAAGCCTACCTCGAAGCAGCACCAGCTTTCAATCAGGCGAGGCTTCTGTTAAGGTCTATCCCACACTCTATCGACGTCAACCTTGCCGCTACCATAGTTAGGACCACCGCGGTCCTACTCGTGGCCAATCCAGGGCATCATTCCGCTTGGAATGCGCGGAAGCGCACCGCTGAGAGTGGTCACCTGGATCTAGAGCGAGAGCTGTTGTTCACGAGAGCACTACTCACCGTTCGAGAGTGTGCGAAGCACTCGCTTCTATGGCATCACCGACGATGGCTCCTGCAGCACCTATGCCGCCGTCGAGCTGTTTCATCGAATATACCATCAAATAGCCGGGAAAGCATCAGAGACGAGGATTCTCTACGACATCTAGCCATATCCCCCTCTCAACTCCGCGCAGAGTTCGACGCTTGTACCCTCGCCGCAACGACGTACGAGCGTAACTATTTCGCCTGGACGCACCGGGCGCAGTGTCTGGACGCCCTCATGAGCTTGCTACAGGGCGAAAAGGACTGTGGATACCTAGACTTGCCGCTTGAGGAGATGGTCAACGTCTCGCTCTGGATAGACCGCCACGTCAGCGACTACACCGCTATGCAGTACCATTGCCGGCTAGTCTTGCTTATCCGCGCCGCGGAAATGCCACCACCTACAACGCTCCAATCAGTGTACACACACGCGAAGTCGTTGGTAGAGGCGTTTCCGGAGCACGAGTCACTATGGTGTTATCTGCGAAGCGCAGCCAGGGTCGAAGACGTTTCAGAAAGTGAGATTCGCCTTGTTGCGGAGATGTTGCTGCAGACGCAGGTTGAGGCAGATCCTGCTAGTCAGGCCAGCCTCCGTCATGCCAAGGGTTGTCTCGACTGGCTAGGTCGACATTCATAGCCCTTCGACACTCCCAACAGTATGCTTACTTTGCGAGCGGGACAGCTCGGAGGCAAGTCTCCGGTGAATATTGTCCGATACCGGACTGACCTGTTTCGTGTAGCTCGCATCTTGTGACAACACCCGTCAATTCATCAGTGGGTATGTACAGTAAAGTAGTAGCATTAGGTGGAACGAATGCCCAGCCGCAACAGGTACAGAGTAACTGTGGGTGTGGCACAGGACTTCCCAAGGAAGGGCTGTAGAGATGCAAAAGAAACAGTAGTTAGTCGCTCGTAAGATACGCGATACAAGATTACATGGCAATCAGCACAACAGGTGCTATGACCTGAAAGTAATTTGGCACATTAACAATAGCAGGATAGTGAATGAGAGGCGCAGATAACGACAGAGATAGGTGGCGGAGCCACGACACGAGCTATGCCGCCTCGGTCGGGGCCGGTGCCGGTTCTTGGAGGTGTCTGGAGGAGAATAAGTGACGACTACGGACCAGATGGTGAAGGATACGCACTCTCCCAGCATCTGGTTCATGCGGAACATGCCAATCTTGTCGACGTTGAAGATCTTCTTCATTTTTTCGTCGCAGATGATCTCTCGCTTGTCTGCAGGATTTTGGAGGTCCTTCTCCTTGATGTAGACCCATATGTGCTTGACTGCCTGTGGTCGTGAGAGCTGCGTTACGCCAAGAAGTTCCGCCAGGGGCTGACTGTAAATGAATACTTGATTTAGTACGCAGGCAGGCAAATGATAAACACCGGAACACACCTGAGGATATACTCCTTTGTGAAGCCGCCTTTCCTCTTCGGTTTCGCCTTGCCATCGTTATCGCCGTCGCCGTCCGAGTCAACGACGGCGGCGCTTTTCGCACCCTTTTTCCCTCGCTTGACCTTAGCCTTAGGAGCTGCGGCCCTTGCACCGCGTTCGCGGCCATTAAGTGCCTTGGAGAGCTTGCGAGCAAGCTCAGCATCGCCACGCTCTGTGTCCTTTTTGCTCCTCTTAGGCGCAGGGGTGTCCTCGTCCACCTCATCCTCGCCGTCCTCGTGCTTGCGCTTGACCGAGTCCTCGTCGTCCTGGCCCTCGCCCATCCCACCGCTAACTTCCTCATATACGGAGCCAATGAGGGTATCCAGTCCTTCCTTATGCTCTTTGATGAGCTCGGGTGTGAGGTCCTCGTTCTGCTCAAGGAGCTGCTTGCGGACGCGTTTTGCACTAATCGTGGTGAGGTCGATGCCCGGTGCAGAGAGAATGTCGCGTATCTGACCCGTGTATTTGTTGATGTCGAGAGACATGGTGGCAAAGAGGGGCACAGATGAGTTTTTACGACAGTGAGAGACGGGAGAGAGGATGGCGGACGTGGACTAAAATGAACTTGGGAGGTACACATTGCTAGACGCCCGAACAGCGCCAAACAGTTACCGTTCTAGGAGCGCCACTCGACCCAAGGGCCACATTTTTTGCATTCGCCCGTTTTCCACTGCAGCCGCGAAAGCCCAAGCAGAACCATCGGACTTTGTCTTCCAAGCACTTTGTTTGTGAAGATGTATACAGCAGAGCAAGCAACATAAGGGAACTATTGGACACCACCGGGCCATTGTTCACGAGGAGGATCTCTCGGAGCTGGGTACAGTCCGCCAGCCTGAGGCGGCCGGGCAGCTCCGTTGCCTTGCACAGCCCCTTGCTGCTGCTGCCGTTGCCTCTGTTGTTCTTCTCGCCGAAGACGCTCTACCCACCGTCTACGAATGTATAGCAGCACCGACACTGTCACGCATAGGAGCACCAAGGCCATGGTCTCGATCAACTGGTCAACCTCTTCTTCGCCGCGATAGCCACCACGCAAAGCACCTTCAAAATAGTCTTCGGGTCCGAAATCGCCCTCACGTTCGCTCTCTTCTCGCCTCCGGTTTCTTGCCCACTGTCTCTTTGTCAGTCGAAGCGCACTTGACGCAGATCTAGCTTGCTCACCTGTACTGGGTCATCGTCTTCATTGATATCTGCCCGGTCTTGTCCTCGACGGCGACGATTAAACTCTTCGCGAGCTCGGCCAGGGTACCACGGTCCATCTTCCTCCTCAGCATGATAAATGTCTTCTGACTGGGCACTCTGGCCCTCGTCAATCTCGTAGTAGCCAGTCGCGGCCTGGACGGCTTGCTCTGTCCATCAACCTAGGTGAGTTTTAGCTGCAAAATAAGGCTACACTGATGCGCACCTTCTTCCAAATCGTAATTCCACAGGTTTAGGTTGTCCGGCCCGCCCAGCAGGGCATACCACAAGCTCTTCGCGTGCAGCTTAACAAGCGAGATGATTACAGGTACATACGCTTCGCTGTTCGTCTCTAATGCCAAGTCGTAATGGCGCTTGGCAAGATGGAAGTCCTGCGGGACACCCATGCCCATCTCGTACATCCATCCCAAATTCCACATCGCTAGCGCGCTCATCTGAGTATCGGCAGCAGACTGATAGTACCCTGCAGCCTTCTCGTAGCGGATTGATGCCGGCTCGTCTGGAACGCCGAGACCATGGTAGTAGTAGTCCCCAACTTTGACCAGCGCATCAATGTTCCGTTGGGCGGCGGAACGCGTCCATTGAGTTAGAGCCAGGCGAGCGGTGTCATTTGAAGGAAAGTAGGGCGCGAATCTCGTGAAGCGGAGGATACTTTTGTCTGGGGGCGACTATTCAGTACAATGTTGACGCAGTTAACATGCACAAACCTTGATCAAGAACGAACGCGAGATTGTTCTGCGCGACCTCGAAGCCGCGTTCAGCAGCGACCCACCACTTCAGCATCGCAAGCTCCTTCCCCCGCGTCGTGCCGGAGCTCCACGCAACTTCGGCATCGCGAAGCAGGTTCTCTTCCCAGATGCCGCGCTCTGCAACGAGTTTGCTGAAAGAGACGGCAATTGCACAAGAGCTGCCTGCAATATCAGGAGGAGTAGTCGGGCTTCGGGCGATACGGGCCTGGATGTCGGCAAGATAGTAGTACGCTTCAAAGGGTGAACCTTGGCGGATGGCGGCCTCGAAGAAAGCGGTAGCAAGCTTGAGCTCACTGCGCGCTACGATAGGTGAGAAGCGCGTTAAACAGAGCCGCGAGGACCTGACGCACCATAGTGATATTTGCCAAGTTGTACCTGAGCCTCAGCAAGCTCTTGACTGGCCGCCGCCTGAAAGTACGCCATGGCCTTTTGTATATCTTTCTTTCCATCCACCAGCCCATCGCGCCATATGATGCCCAAGCCGTTGAAAGATTCCTTCTCACCGTACTCAGCGCCCCGCTCGAACCACAGCTTCGCCATGACGGGATCCTGCTTCATGCCTTCGCCACGCAGTAACATTCGCCCGATATAGCCAGCAGCTAGCGCAGCGTAACCGGCATTCGGCACCCGTTCTTCTTTTGATGATGGCTGGGCTTGCTTAGGGTTGGCAGGGTCTCGGGGCCAGACTTGGCGGGCGATGTGGAGAAAGTAGTGCCTCGCGGTGTGAAAATCACGCTGTACTCTGCTTGCACCGTCTCCCCCAGAAGCAATACCACCGAGAGAGCCGTATATGCTGCCTTGGTAAAAGATCTTGCCCAAGCGGTAGGCAAAGTCGACCTCGCCACGGTCTGCATTGAACTGTGAAGCGCTAGTCAGTTTCGATGCAATGCTAAGTGCTAAGAGGGATATAATTTACTGAATAATACTCCAGAAGATCATCCCAAGTCTCGCCAGCAGCACGTGCGTTGGCAGTTTTAATTACAGGCCGAGCAGCATTCAAGCCGGTGGACGCCACACTTGCTCCAGGGCCATACACGCCGCCTTCGAGGTCAGATAAGCGCGGAGGTATTAGTGGAAGAGTCCTGCCACCTGGAGGACCCGACATGAACTTTGCGATAGCTAAAAGCAGTTCAATCAGACGGCGTGGCTACATGTGATATGCCTTACGAACCTTGTTCTGCAGCTTGCTCGTACCAGCCGAGCGCCGTCATGCAGTCTTCTGCAACACCAATGCCACTCCAATAGCGATATCCCATGGCCATTTGGGCGCCCTTGTGTCCGCCGTGTCCAGAGAAGGTAAGGTATAGTTGAGCCTTGGCCTGGTCAACTGGCACTGAGTCGTGGTAGCCAGTAGCATGGAAGAAGCCAAGCAGAGCTTGTGAAGATGCATTGCCAGTGATGGACGCGTGATTATTGAGGGCTTCGTAGGCTAGGGCCGACTCTGCAGGGAAGAAGTTATTTGGCGGGAGCTGCGACATCCCTCTTACGTTAACATATACGCGACCAAACAACACAGTATGTCACGCACCAAGTACAGCTGAGAAAGCGCATATAACGCGTCTGTGTGCCCTAACTCTGCGGCATGCTGCAGAAGGTCCAAAACCTTGACAGCTTTGCTCTGCAGCTCCTCCTCTTTCTTGCGCCCTCCACCAAGCTCCTTCCCCAAGAACTTCGTCACAAACGAGGGTATCCATGTCTGGTGTCGAAGCTTCAGCGCTATCCGCATAGCACTGGCAATGGGCCCTTGGCCTTGCATGTTTGGCAGGAGTACAGACCAAAACGACGTCGGGTACCCCTGCGCACCATACGGGACATGCGGTGTCTCTTCCCGATACGCATAAGGATGTGCGTTCATGTGGGATAGTGTCAGCATAGCCTGCTTGTAGGCTCGCGCAGCTGCAACTCCAGCTTTAGCATCCAGGTGTGCGGGCGTTTCGATGCACGAAGAGTCCGCACCTTCCGTTGCGGGGTCTATGAGCTGGTCTGTTCGCGGATCATTGGAGATAACCTTCGAATAACAGGTCATCCTATTTGTGTGGTTGCGCAGATGACAGCACACGTACCTCTGCGTTCGCGCACGACGCGGTAGCTAGCACGACTAAGCCGAATGCAATGTAGGTAGCTTTCCGAGCTCGTGACTTGCGCTTTGATGTCTTCATGGCGTGCAAACCGATAGCGAGACTGTCCAAAGCCGTGAGGTTGAGCGTATGCTGTCTGCAAGTAACGTTGCAGGCGACCAGGGCGGTCGAGGACAAGGTCAGAACGCGGCTCAAATGATGCGTGATATCTGCCACGTCAGTCCGGCTATCTTATCTTTCCGTGATGTCAGATCAGATCTTATCGCGCTGGCCGTGACGACGCAGAATGCTGCACGAATAGCATTGATTCATAGCAAGAGCAGCATGCATCAGCGTGAGCCGATGAAAATAGTGTCTACATCGAAGGAGAGGAAAGATGCACACATTAATCGATAATCCTGTGGCTAGGAAAGGAAGGATTGAGAAGCGCGTCGCTCGGCCATCGTATTTACGGATGGGAACTAGGCTCTGCGATATAGAGGCGAGTGTGAGCAGTCTCAGTAGCACTTAATGGAAGGACGTACGGATCATTGAGACTCCGATACTTCATCCACTCCTTGTCATTCGCGTTGAAGTCCACTCCCTTGCGTCTCCACCATTGTCTCGCTGCTTCGCCGCCGCCTATGGCATCCTCAAGGGCCTCTTCAATGTCGCACATGCGATACTGTATTGGCAAGCCGCTCTTGTCCCACCATTCCAATACTTCTGGCCGGTTGTGCCTGGTTGCGCCAATCAGCGCGTCGGGATCGAAGAGGAGCTGGAGTCCGCTATCGAGCCACCACTGCAGCACCTCGACCTTGCCATGGCAGCTCGCATGGTACATCGCCTGACGGTCGTACTTGATTTCAGGCTGATGCTTTGCCCACCAGTCAAGGACCCCGACGTGTCCAGCGTTGCTCGCCATGTCCATGACCCTGCCGATCTTCATGTGCACCGTCCGCTCCTTGCTATTTCGTTTCCACCAGTTGAGCACCTCGATCCGGTTTTTCGCACTGGCCATCTCGAGCGCCGCTTCACCATATTCCAAAGGTATGCTAGAGTTGAGCCACCAGTCGAGCGAGTTGACATGGCCATTCCGCGACGCGCCCTCGATGGCCTCCGCTACTGATGAGGGTTCAGGTACAGGGATATCATTAGGATATTGTTCTGAAGCATTTTTCCACCAGGAGAGGACAGCAGCTCGCCCGTGCAGAGACGCCGCGATCGGTAGTAGGTCGCACTTATAGAGGTCGTGGAAGATGTAACGGTGATATGTGAGGAAGTACTCTAGCACCCGCACATAGCCAAAGCGCACCATCAGTGTGGCACTGATCTTTGTTGGTGGGTGCGCGTTGGGGTCTGCCGCTCGAATGAGTGGGAGATAGCCGGAGAGGATAGCGTAGTCCGTCTGGCTCGCGTCGTGCCAATCGAGGGGCTGAGGAAGAGAGGTAGGGACGCCGACAGCCTTCGTTAATTCCCAGTCGCCGACATGGTCCATGATCTCAGCAAGAAGCTCTACTGGCAGGTCCGGTGCTTTGACAGGACGTGAGCGAGGTTTGCTGGGACCTGTAGGGCCTGACCCGTTCATGAAATGTCCATTTGTGTCCGAGGGAAAGTGATACGTCTGAATATCGAACTCTGTGAGTCGGTAGGCGAGTTCGCTATCGGTACCATGGGTTGGTAATGCCCGAGCGGAAAGAAAGAGAACGAGCTGATCATGACTGAGACGAGTGTATGCATCATAGACTTGGTCAATATATCCTTTAGTATGCTTCACTGTGGGTGAGTAGCACGGTACTCTGATCAGGGGGCCGACGTACCATGTAACTGGGGACACCTTGCTTGTACTATGGCAAAACGCAAAGTGGTTAGACGCCAGAAGTTCCAAACTGAGAGCGGGCCGAGGTCGCTAGAAAAGGAAGGGATCGGCTTTGGATCCTAATAAGAACAAACAAATGAGGCCGTCCGGCGCCTGATGCGACTGGATCTTGAGCGGGATCGTCAACTATGCTCGAGTCTCTGCCTCCCGAACTCTTGTTATGCATCTTGAAATGCCTCCCACTACAGTCGCTAAGTGTGCTTAGGCAAACGTCGAAACAGTGGAATCAGCGCTTTGTCGAGCATGGACCCTACATCTACCGGAATGCGGCGTCTCACCACGGCTTCATCTCGTCTCCTGAGATGACCCTCGACCAAGCTATCCAGCAAGCCAAAACCGCTGTCAAAGATGTATCTACATGGGTTGGCTTTTGTGAGGCGTACGCCATTTGTTCTAGACAAGGTCGTCTCACAGCACGCAGGCAGACAGCGGTACCAAACCGAGAAGAATTGGTTGGGACGAGGTGCTGCGTGGTGTAGAGGGCTTGCAGAAGCCCACGACGATCTGCACAGAATCAAAATTGATGAAGAGCGTGGTTTTCTCATAACTACTCATCAAGATGGAGGTTTGAATGTGCGAGATCTGGAAACAGATACCAATCTATGGTCTTTCCCACCCGTGAGTGTTGACAAGGCTTACATCTGTGATTGGCAACCTATGTTATTTAGGCCTATGTGCGCCGATATGCACATTGCGAATATGGCAATGGCTTCCTCATCTTCGATCGTTTCGGCCATGGAAAAGAAGTCTGGCGCATCGCGTCAGAGCCTGAAGAAAGCCCCGCATCGCGCGACGAGTCACAATATCGCGTTTACCAATGTATCGCTCCTTTATTTCCTGAAAGCAAGGCCGCATTCAAGCCATGGGCAGTCCTTACCACACCCGAGCACACCCGAGCCTATCGTTTCGTGTACCCGATGCTCCTAGTGGCAGGGCCGGAGAAAGCATATCTTTGGGACGTGCCTAGATGTGACATCGCGCGGGTCATTCCAGATATTCAAACACCGATGGCGGGTGAGATACTCGGAGACATCAACTATGTCGAGCTCAGCCCGCTGCATGTAATCATCTGCGGCAGCAGGCAGCTCAGACTGTTTGACCGAACCTCGGGTGCGTGTGTGTGGTACATGCGAACGTCTCCGGCAGGCCAGCACTACAAGTCTATCGTATTCACTCCAGCCTCGGTTCCCCCACCTGACGTAAATGACTTCGCTGTGTTCCCCCGAAGTCCCGAACCGGGACTATTGGATCCCCATCATTACTCTCAATATGTGGCCGGTGCGTCCCCTTCCCGGATTTATCGGAACGATAGCTGATGTCATGTGCAGTCCATGCCTCCAATGACGGTAGAACGATCGCTGCACTTACGAAGGACTGCTCGCTCCTGTTGATCAAGGATATCATTCCTATCATCATGAACCGCGTCAAGCTTGAGGATGCTAGCCTTACATTGACTTTCAATCAGTCACGGTTGGGTAGAGGGCCAGGGTCGGCTATATACCTGGCCTTCGAGTTCGGTCGCGTCGGCGTCATCACAGTAAGTTCTTGACCTCTCGGAATGACGTGTTCCAGCTATGACGTGGTTTTCTCAGTCTTCAGGAGTCTTCGTCATCACTCTGGACGCCACACAGCACGGCATTCTTGTTGCGGACCGAGCTCAGGAACGGCGCGAAGCTGACCTGTCATGCAACATTCCTGCACGCGTCGCCATTGCCCAGTCGCCCTTTCCATTCCTCCAATGCTGCCAGATCCTGCCGTTCAATCAGGCTCGCGCTCTGCGCAATGTGACATGTCTGCAGATGTCGCAGGGCCGCATGTTCTTCATCTGGGACCCTCGCGCGATGCCGGATGAGCTAGATGGCGACAGTGATGCTGTGGATTCTTCAGATTCCGATGAGATTGAATTACTGCAGCCACATATGCCTGGTACTTTCCAAGCGGAAGACGAGGACGCCGATGGAGAGCCGGACCCTGAGCTTTGGCAAGCTGCCCACCACAATCCTGATCATGGCACATACCTTCCGGTATGGGATGCTGAAGAGGATGAGGGTGAGATAATCCAAGTCGATGAGGACGATGAGGACGATGAAGAGAATGACGACGAGGACGATGGCGGCGGGTTGGTCATACCTCATTTTCTCCCGGCGCATTTGCTGTTACAGGACGATGTAATAAATGGTGAGTTCAATTACGCTAGAGCCGAGCACTTCTGACGAAACCTGCAGAAGCTATAGTCGCTTGCATCGGATTCACACCATTCAGTCCAATCACGAAAACGACCTATGAATATCAAAACAAAGCGCCAAATTTACACAAGTCTATGTGATAGTCTCCCGTATCGGCGAGGACACAGACTCGTTTTCCGCTTCATTGACCCCTGGGGTGCTAGGGATGGGCACGAGGCGGAAACCGACCCCTGTATTTTACGCTGAGTGTCGTTGCTCGGATGTAATTGTTGCACTCACCGATGTGTGCCATAAATCTATTTAGATTTTTCTCCCTTTGGTCTGCGATAGTTAGGTCATGATCACGCAGAAGTAACTTGAGCATATCATCTATAGATGCAGTTAAATCGGCAACTCGCCATTCCTGCCGAGTAAACTACGGTCTTGCTCACCATCGTAAGCAAATAGCGAGTGAAGGTTATGCGGGTACACGTTGCTCTTCGTGCCGTCCGGCTTGAGCACGACTGCGAGCTGGTCCTGCAAGTTGTCGGTGCGCAGGATCGAGTTCGTGCGTCGCGCCTCGCTAATCGATACCAGCTTCAGACGCACACTGAGAACAACGAGGTGGCGGCACTCACGAATTCATGAGCGCATGCTTGACTTCCACCAGCTGCCGCTTGCTCTCTTGCGCTTGCTCCTGGAGCGTCACGGGTATGTGTTCCCGGAGCTGCAGGTCCACTTGCTGCCGGACCTGCCGCGCGAGCTCGCGCTTGATCTCCTCCTGGATATGCGATCTGTACCCAGTCGGTCACGAAAATTATAAAATTATATCAGATGCCCCCGTCAGCACGTACTCTAGCTGTCTTGTCGCCTGGTCCTTGAGCTGCTCCTGTATGAGGTCTTTCACCTCCTGCATCCGCACCTGCGTCCTCTTATCCTGTTTGCGAATCTGTTTGCGCATACCTTCGATTTGCGCTGCGGCATCTTGCTAATAATATTTCTCAGCACGTTCTGGCAGCAGGGGCGAAGAGACTTACCATTGAAGGGGACAACGCGGCGATCTTGGCCTGCTGCTCGTGTAGCGTACGGAACTGCTGGCCTCTGCAGACATTCACTCAGCGTTCGGGGCTATCTGGACATCTCGGACTGACATCGTGGCCATCGTGGCCTTCGTGACACCTATCATTTCGCGCAGCTGATCCGTGTCTGGACCATTGCGTGAGGTGCCTGCAAGAGCGCCGCCAGACCCACTGGCCTGTGGTGTTGTCTGAGCAGCTGTAGTCGCCATGATGCGTAGGTGCTAAGATGAAGCGGGTAGCAAGGAGATAGAACGCTCAGGAGACCATGCTTGTCGACTTATATACGTTCCGGTTGCGCATCGCCTCGACCTTGGCCTCGTGTACGCCTCGTGGTGTATGTCGCCCATCCATTCTTCATCATTCAGTCTCAGGAAGCTATCACAACTGTGGTGATCTAATTTCGCTTGCATGACAGTATATATCTAACAGTACACTTTTCGTTCCCGGATCCTATAATCCGCTGAAACCGAGACGAATGCAGTGTTACTGCATTTCGGGGACGATATCGGATCCCTTGCCTTTTGTAAGGTAATCGAGTAAGTTTGAGAGCGCGCGAATCTCCATCTTCTTCTGCGAATCGCATGTCTCCGTTCCCATGTGTGGGAGCAGCGTCGCGTTCGGGAAGTCGAAGAGGCGAGGGTTCACTGAGGGTTCGTCAGGGTAGACGTCCAGGCCAACGGCGCCGAGCTGAGAAGGACGCTGACGTCAACGTTGCTGTCCATTGAAGGAGTGATTTCCACTCACATGCCCATCCTCCAACGCGCGAATCATGGCAGCCTCGTCGATGACCTTCCCCCGCGCCGTATTCACGATGATCGCGCCCTTCTTGAGCTTCCGGACCATCTCCTCGCCGACGAGGCCCTCCGTCTCCTTTCTGAGCGGCACATGCACGCTCAGTACGTCCGCGATGGCGAGCATCTCGTCGAGCCTATCCGCAGGGAAGTACTCGCACCACTCGGGCGCATGCTCGGCCTTGTGGCGGCTGTGATACACGATGCGCATCGGGAAGGCGTGCGCGAGCTCCGCAAGGCGCAGCCCAATACCGCCAAGTCCAAGGATCGCGAGTGTGCGCCCAGTCGCGTCGTGGGCGTTTCCTGAGCGCAGCTGCGACTTCCAAAGCCCCGAGCGGGCGTCGCGTTCGGCCTTGGAAAACTGGCGGAGGGCTGAAATCATGAGGTACAAAGCTGTTGTTGCTGTGGCATCGTCGACGGCTCCTGGAGTGTTGGAGACGGTAATGCCTGTGAAGCGCGCCCTTGAGAAGACTCCTAAGCTTATAGAGAAATGCAACATACCCTCCTCCTTGCATCTCAAGACATCAATCTGGTCATACCCGGCACCGTTGTGCGCAATCCACTTGACACCACTCTCCGCGAGCGCATCGACAATCTCTTGATCGAAGATACCGATGTGATCCGCAGAGATGTTGTGTCTATAGATGCCGACGACGCCTTCATATTTTCCGCCTGCCTGCAAGTTCTTGAGGAAGTCTACTCGGTCAGGCGAGTCCATGCGCTAGCACTGCACTCAACGAAAGCTAGTAGGTCATTTGAGTGTATACTTACAATAACATCCGCAACACCAGCGAACATCTCTTCACACTCCTTGTGAGCCCACGCGAGGTCTCCTGCGATAACAGGATATGTCAGCTGTTGTCCTCTGCGCAAACAAAGTGTGCGTTTGAGCACGTACCGCATATCATCATCCGAGCCATCTTGTTTCTTTCCTCTCTTTTCCTCCTAGCGCAGTCCCCTGGCGCGGTTTTTGAGGGTGAAACGCTTGGATCGATCTGTGAGCCATGACGTCTCTTTATGCGTTTCTCCGAGCGGAAGGCCTGGCCCGGCGGTCCCGTCGATGCTGCCTTTCATGCATCATGTACCAGACTCCGCGAAATAAAGCATCCGGCGAGGATCGAATAGACTCGTGGCCAGCTAGGTAGGAAGTTGTATCGAGGGTATATGGGAGGTCGGTACGCTCGAATAGCTGACAAGTAGCGAGAGTATACTGGTATCGGGCCCAAAGCTCGAACGTCAAGTGCCTTTCGTCGGGTGAGGGAAGCGTGCAGGCCCGCAAGACGTTGCATATGATCCATATATCGCTGAGAGCGTGCTGGGGCGGTCCGAACAGCCGGAGACCATGTTTCATCGGCTTGAGCTTCGCATCGCGCAGAGCTTTGAGCAGAGTTCAGTCTCTCGGGGGCGTGTGGGGTTCGACATCTCGTCAGTGGGAGAGGTCAAAGGGCAAGCAGGGAAGTAGATCCAGGAACCCTGGTCCAGTGGCGGGTGTAAATAAATAAGCGCGAGATCAGTGCCGCTGCCGACTTTTTCTTTTTCTTTCTTTTCTTTTCCTGATTCCACATATTTATTACTGTGAGGCCCGTAAGACTACTGTTACATGAGGGCCTGTGCTACGGTCGGAAATAAGTAGTGCCCGTACTGGTGAGAATCGCCGTCGTCAGCGTCCAAGACGACGAGCTTACTCTCATCCCAGGCACATGTTCATTTCTTTCAGCATTGGCGTGATCGACGTAGAGCTTGTAAATCACGGCGGCAATTTTGAGTTAGTAAAGATGCGGACCGTTCTCTTTATAGCAGAGCAGGGACGGTCGGCATGTGTGGCACGCCAGGCCCTCTAATACTACCTACGGGACGAGGTTGGCTAAAAGATGACAATGACACAGAAAACACAGAGTGAGTAGCTCCGTATATGAAGTCGATATTAAGGTGACAGTAATCCACCTGTGTAAAGTGTTGACAGAGCGTCTCCGACTCCCAATGCGTGTCGCTAGCCTGGTTCACTACATCACGGAAGAGTTCAAATCCACCGGTCAGAGAGAAGCCGAAAACGATCATATGGCAACTCACAACGCAGCGAGATTTCTCGCATGTAAATAAGATACATACGGCCTATCCTTGAACGATCTGAAGTATCGACGTGTCAAGAACACCGGCATTCTGCGAAGGACGTCTTATGTTAGCTGCAATGTCCGGTGGGACGATCTGGCAAGAGATAAGAAACGAATATCAAACCATGGACTCCGGGGACGCCTGTCCACACACACACACATCAACGAGGACGAGCACACAGGCAAAGTGAAAGCGCTCACACCAGCATGACGCCCATCGGATGTTGCACAGGTGCAACGTTCTCCTCCACGGGTGAGTGCGCATCGAGCGTCGTGTGGCGAAGGGAAGTAGCCAAGTTGCGAGAAATGCGTGCCGACGAAGGCTATGTGCCAGAGTCCGGCAAGGGCGACAGCGGTGACAAGAAGGCGAACTAGGATCGAGGAGGCGTGATTCTCCGCAGCGGCGGGCATGTCCTGCGATGCAACCTCTTGAGCAAGCGCGGTGGCGTTCTTGGTCAGCTCAAGGGCTGCGTTGGCGACATCGCCTGTCATATCTCTGAAGGAAGCGGAGCTCCAAAGGAGACTGACAACAGTCAGCGCAAACGTAACATACGCCCTGCGCGTCGACGTTCCAGCCACTCATTCTTTGTAGAACTGACGGAAGGCACACACCAGATTCGCCAAGCTATTGGAGCTGCAAGCAGCATCGGAGTCGCCGCATAGAGAGAATTTGCGTTGCATTCCGTTGTCCTGCACAGATTGCGAGGCGCTTCTCGACGCTCCCGGATGTCGACCAAATGTCGCGTCATGCTCCATACGAGTATGATGCACACAAGGCAGCAGCAGCAACAGATATAAGACACTGCGTCGGCAACACCGAGGGCGGAGCTCGGACCGTGGTTGTAGAATTTTGCAAGCAACGCATTCGCCCTGTAAGTACGGAGTTGCTGAGTATCAGCGTCAAGAAGCCTCGAGTGGCATCCTGAACTCACAGAATGATCCGTACACAGTCTCTTGCAGACCAATGCCAAGTGTTCAGCAGGGTAGTGGTGAAATCTCTCCAGGCATCTTGGATGTCGGTGCTATCGAGCCGTGCAAGTCGCGCTCTCTCTCTAAGCAAAGCTCGCAACATTGCATACACGTCCATTGCGCCCCTTGTAAGAGAGTATCCTTGCCTACAATAGTATATACATATACATTATGCACGTCTTTCGTTGGGTGACTTCGGAACGCTCTATACTCTGTAAGTGCGGAAAGCAAAAGTTTCTCGTAGACAGCATACATACCGTAGCTGCAGTCCGTATTGATTCATCAAATGAATCCTAACGCCCTGATGTACTATAAAATCTGGCACTAGAGTGACCTGGGAAGACGCGGGTATCAAACTATGGATGATGACGAAGTCTGGTCGTGCACGCATCAAAGAGAGCGGGAAAGTAGACAAAGTGAAAGCACTCACACCACCGTGGTGCTCATCGGATGCTACGGAAGTATGGCGGCACCCTCTTCCGCGAGCGAGCAAGGCACGCTGAGCCCTGTATGGTTGGAGATGGTAGCCAAGCTGTGAGAAATGCACGCAGACGAAGGCTATGTGCCACAGCCCGACGAGAGCGACACCGACGACAGGAAGTCGAGCAAGGGCCGAAGGAGTGTATGTATTCGGAGCAGCGGGCACGCCTTGTGATACGACCTCTTGAGCGAGTGCGGTGGCGTTCTTGCTCAACTCGAGGGTCGCGTCGGCGACATCGACTGCTCCTCGGGAGGACGCGGTACTCCAGAGAAGACTGACGCCGGCCAGCCCAAACATGATATACCCCCTATCTAGTCTCGCGTGATAGAGGGAAAACACTGCCGGATAATGCCCGCTCATCCCATGTGCAATGCAGTCTTCGTCGTGGATCGTTGCATCTGCTCCCGCTTAAATCGCCCACGTGCCCCTCCTTTTGCCTGAATCCCCTATGCGAGCGGTTTGCCCGGTAACGCTGTTTGCTCAACGCATTCCGGAATACTCTCTTTTGAGCCCTTCCCTTTTGTCTGTTGGAAGTTGGAGGAAGTTCCTTGATGTACGTGTGTGAAAATTGACCGGGTAAGTTACCTGCGGTGTGAGCAGAGTGGGTACTGTGGATACTTTCACGGTCTAACGTATTCTTGCGTCGACAAATACCAACACACTATGCGAAGGGTATCTGGTATAGCCACAACGTTTGATACAATGCTCCGGGAGTAAACAGCGAGTATTAAGCCATAGACGCTAGCGAGGCCTAGTCGTGCGCGCTGCAGTGAGAATGGGAAGGTAGGCGTGTTGGAAACACTCACGTCAGCATGGCGCTCATCACATACTGCGTAAACATGGTAACATCGCCTTTTCTGGGTGGACGATGGTGTGCATCGAGCGTCGGATGGCGGGAGGGAGTAGCCGAGCCGCGAGAAATGCGCGCAGACGAAGGCTGTATGCCAGAGTCCGACAAGGACGACGGTGGTGATGAGCAGGCGAGCTAAAATAGAGGGTTGGGCTGTCTCCACAGCGCCGGGCACACCCTGCGACGCGGCCCCTTGAGCGAATGCGGTGGCGTTCTTGCTCAAGCTGAGGGCCGCGTCGGCGGCATCGACTGCCACATCCTCGGAAGACGCGGTGGTGCTCCAGAGAAGGCTAACGGTGGACAGCCCAAACGTGATGTACGCCCTATCCGACGTTACTTTAGCCAGATCACTCCCCCGTCCAATAGGGAGCAGGCACAGACCAGATCCGCCAAGCTATGGGCGCTATAAGCAGCATCGGAATCGTCGCGTACGGAGAATCTGCGTTGCGCTCCGCTGATTCGCACCAGCTACTGGGTGCTTCTCGACGGCTCCGGACGTTAAGTAAGTGTCGCTTCATGACCCATACGAGTACGATGCACACGAAACATCAAAAACAGCAGATATAAGATGCTGTTCCTGCAGCACTAAAGAGGTTATTTGATCCGAGATTTTGAAAACTTGCGAGTAATGCACTTGCCCTGTGGGTACCAAATCGTCAGGCACAAGCATATAGTGATCTCAAACGATGCTTTGACTTACAACATAAGCCATACACAGTCTCTTCCAGACCGATTCCAGGTGTTCAGCAGGGCAGTGGCGAAATCGTCCCATGCATATTGGATGGTGCTATCGAGCCAAGCGAATCGCATTTTCTCTCGAAAGTCCTCGAGATCTTGAGAGAAGCACGGGAACGAAGGGAGCGACAAGAGTAGTGCGTTGTAGTATGCGGAATGGAAGAAGACGCGGATGGTGGCCATGATTCGGCCAGATCTGAAGACTTGACGACGCATGAGGTCGTGAATCATAGTAGCGGTCCATTTATCTACGAGGGAAGCATGAGAAGGAAGGGAGAAAGACTTGTGATGTAGTCCGCCACTCACCAGTCGCGATGGGGACAACGTGCTCGTCGTGTTGGACAGCTTGAGAACGTTCGTCACGGGTATGCGCCCGAGAGGATGACTCGGATTGTGTGGGGAGAGTAGACGAACCAAGCATTGCGTGAAGGGCGATGAGCTCAAGCTGAACGGGTATACCACAGCTTTTATACCTCGCTTCGGACGCGCTGCCACCAGCCTGCGCAGGCGGAACAACAATGTCAGAATACGGGACGCAGCGCGCCAACGAACCGGCTCAGGCAGCTGTGGAAATGACGAGACCCGTCGGGTATCGCAGGGCTCGGCCTCCGGGATGACCCGCTCAGACCGTGTCTGCCTCGGTCTGGGGCAGTCATCATCAAGCGCAGCCTGACCGAGGACTTCCTCCACCGTGCAACAGCTTTGCGAGCACACGCGCGGGCACAGACGCGCACGACCAACCACATATGGGAGGAGGCTTGCGCCAGTACTGCAGGCAGAAGATCTCCCTCCTGCAGCGCCACGTCTGCTTTTGGCTGAGAGGCAGGGCGAAAGCTGAAGGCGGTGCACGTCTCGAGCTCATTCGCGAATCCCCGCGCAGCCGCTTGGTACGGTGACATATCTTGTTGTCAATAAGCGTGCGTAATGAGCAGCTGACAGATTATGGAAACGTCGTGTAGCCTTCCCGCAACGGGCCTGCCTGTTCGCTGAGAAATTTTCAGTCACACGCATCGTCAGCTACGTTTACTTAACAAGGAGCTTCAGTCATTTCATCTATGCGCCATAAAGCAACGCAAGTGCTATAACTCCGGATGGTGGTGGTAGGTGGTGGTGGTGGTGGTGGTGGCAGGAGTAGCCCACCGGCGACTGATGCGTCTGGGATGGTCGAACTCGGAGTCCGGTCCGAAACGCCGGTCGAGGACGGCAACGAGCAGCCTGGAGATCCTGGATCAGACGTTCGCAATCCATCGCACAGTACACGCTTAAACGTTATTCAACAGTAAGAAACAGCTAGACACAAAACGAGAGTACAAATACAGCTATTTAGTTTCTGAATCTCTTTGGGGTATACCACGTTCGCGACGTCGTTCCTGTAAACGGAAAAAGATACATGATACACCAAGAAAAATAAGAATAAAAACTAACAGATTAAGAGATAAGGTTAATCGAGCGAACACCTAATCGCTGAGCGCAGCCTTAGCGACCTCCGCCTCGAACACCCGCATCTCGAACGCATCCTTGAACTTCGCGAAATGCTTCCCGGGGACCGCGAACACGACGTGATCGAAGACGTCCTTAAACCGGGCGCCTTCCGAGGCCACGCCGCTGCCACATACGAGGAGCTCCGCCCAGATCGCAGCGATAGTCTCGACACTGTTCTCGCTCGACGCGCACCCGAACGCACCGAGGACGAGCGTATGGTCGCCGCGCTCCTCGAAGACGCGCAGAGCACGCGCCATGCGCTCCTGAGCGACAGTCCGAATGCCGTCCTCGAAGAAGTCGCGTTCGCCGGGGAGGATGACGTGTTTTGCTCGGACAGCGGCGGCGTTCACGGGCACCGCGGAGAGAACATTGATAGTGTATGGAGCAATGAATGCACCACAGACGGCACCAAAGGTGGAAGTGCTCTCTGTGGTGTCGTCTGCGTCGGCGCGGAAGACGACAACGTTAGGAGAATAGACCATGGAGTGGTCATGCAGGCCACTGCCGTCCTCTGAGCGATACTTGCGATGCTCTTGATAGAAGGCTTGCGCTGCCGGAGAACTCAGGCTGGCCACGAGTGAGCTGTGTCGTGCAACAACTTCTTCTTGCTCATCGCCGCCATGAAGGTAGCCGCCACCAGGTTTCTTGGGTGAGGCAAAGGAAAGAACGCCGACAGGGGAAGAAGGCGTGCTTGTCGTTGTTGTTGATGAGCATATACGGCGCGCAGCAACGAGGGTTGAGCAGTGCATGAAGTCAACGATGGTGCCAGAAGACGTGGTACGTCTCGAAGACGAAGCCCATTGGGCCAGAGGGCCAGAGTAGTGGGGATAGAATGTAGTGCTCTGTACACTGAGCAAGATCTGTGCAGAGATGTCGTGCGCAACGCGCACCGTAGAAGGCGCGGCCTCCTGAGATGTACTATCAGCGACTAGTCGCTGATCGGAATGAGCAACGGACGAAGAGAGAACGGATGGACGGCGTTCTTCGACGTACTTGCCATCTCCCAAGACGATCTGGCGGGTCTCCTCTGCGATCGTGGTCCATTGCTCGCGCGTCACCTTCCGAGCCGCAATGGCCAGCATCTGCGCCCTCCGCTTCGACTTTGGCTTCATCGTCCGCTGCTGCGCGTCTGGAGCGGGGCCGAGTCGCTTCAGCAGAGATGCTTTCTTCGCACGTTGCCGTTTGGAGTCTTGCGAGGCTACTTGCTTTGTTCGTATTGTTGGCGTGGTCGTTCGACGCTGTCGGGCACGGCGAGCGGGGATCTGTTTCGATTGTCGAGCCATGGTAGTATTAGTGTCTGCCTGTGGTTGAGATTGTCGGGTTGGGTTTGTTGGGACGTGGAAGAGAGGAGCAAAGAGACTGGGCCAGACCGCAAGCGCAGTCCTTCGGTGGAGCTGCCCCACACGGCAAGCCACGGCACCGAACCAAGCTTACATCAGCGCCGGCCGCACCGTCAGAATTGTGGGCTATTCTGAGAACGGTTCGTTTTGAAATCTAAAGTCCGAAGCAAGCTTGTGGCTTGCGACGCGCCATAAAAGGCAATAAGGACGCTCCGGCAGCCAACTCCGAGTAATCAAGCAGGCTCAGCTACCACCTACGACGCCACCAGGCCATTAATACTAACGCGTTAACCCTCCGCGTTAACCCTTGCGCGCACCTGTCTTGCAATGTTTGTCGCCGCCGCTGTCGGGTCGCCTTGCAGTATAAAAGCAACGTCCAGGCCGTCTCTTGACCAGTCCAATCCAATACACGACTGCCTCTGCTCCTCTTCACTATCCGCTCGACGACGAGGGACACGTCGGTGTCCGTCCCTGATACATCTATTCGCGTCAACCCCGGACGCGACTTTTTTCCGGACCCAATATGATCGCTACCACTCCGTGTGGTCGCGGGCACGGTCAATCGGCTTCAGTCTCACAGCAACCAGCTGGCGACAGTACTGACGTTCGTTACATCTCTGCTGCAGACCATCCTTCTTCTCGTTCTTGGCATTGCCTCCATCTTCCGCGTCCCTATGCGGCTCCTACTGCGACCACACCGGCGCCTATCCACATTGCTGCTGACGGCACCAATGGTCCTCGGCTGAAGATCTTCCCCCAGCTTAATATCATGCCTTTCTCTTCCGTCATCCTTTCTTTTCCCTCCGTCGTCATCTACTCTGTCATCGCTGCTTTCGCCTGGTTGATATCCCTCCTTTACCTCTATGTTTTGTTGCTCGGGCTCTCGCACCTCGACAGTTTGCTGATCCCCTTAAGCAAGCTATCCCGGCTTGTCGCTGCCGAGGCCGTCGCCGACCATGACCACCATGCCGACGCCCTCGCTCTTCTGCACGGCACCTGGAAGATGTACTTGACGTCGCTTGGGCGAGATCTAGAAATGGCAAGTGCGCTGTGTGCGGCGGTTCTCGCGTACGTCATCCCCCTCATGCTGCACGCCGTGTACGCCCATGATCGTAATCGATGCTGATCGAAAAATGAAACATATTTAGGCTCACGATCGGCTTGCTCTCGATCACAAGCATCGCGGAAGAAGTCGTCACAAAGACAATCGCTTTCATGTGCCTGTTCGCGTGTGCTGCCGGTATCGCGATCTCGCTCAACATGCGTCGGCACCTGAACAACGTTGCCCAAACCTGTGACGTTGTTAAAGACTGGGTCCGCGTGAGTGACCTGAAGGCAATATAGTCACATCTTCCCTGACATCTTCTGCTGTACAGGCTGCGGAGCTGCACGCTTCGTCTCGCTTCACGGCAGTCCCGATGCTGCTGGCAGCACCCTGGGCCTGGACTGCATGGTATGTTATTGTATGTCTTCGAAAGATTGCTATCTAATGTGCATGACCGCAGGTCAGTCCTATCTTTCGTCATAATCCTCCTAAGCTTCGTGTGGAGGCTCCGCTATCCCAACCTCGGTGCGAATGCTGCGCAAGAGCACTCCTCGCTTCACATGCTGGCCATGCTGCGCAGCGCCCGCCCGTTGAAGGGCAACGATTCTGACCAGTCATCTTCCGGCATCTCGGTCTTCCCCTGGACATCGCGTATCATCGTCGTCTTCGTCTTCATCGTCGCCATCGCCCATTTCGCTCTGACCGCAGTCTACTTCCGCAAGCTTGGCGTCTCCGTCTCCGAACCCGACACTGAGCTCGGGCGTGTTCCTATCCCCCGCAGCAACTCTGCCACCCCTGGTGGCTGCTCCGTCACACTAGACGACACTGTAACCAACGCCGCTGTTCCTGGATCCGCAGAAGCCATGCTAACGTCTGCGCTTGCCGCTCCTGGTCCTGTCGCTCTTCGCGCATAGACCAGGAGCAGTTCAATGCAAGCGTCGACACAACGCAGGCGGTGATACTAGCGGTAAAGTTTGTACCACGCTCTGTCCATCTGATACCTGCTATCGGTTCTAGCTCCCATTGTGCTTTAGCACTGTCGTACCCTCGTCTCGTGCTGTTCGTCCGTGCTCTATTCCTGTTCCGTGCCACCCTCTGATATATACCCTCTGTATCAACGCTAATCGACGCCGTCGCAGGTTTGTCCTGTACATCTGCTTGGTTGTTCCTGCCTCTTGCGACGACACTCAGGCTCGCTAGATCTATCTCTAGTTTACGGGCTGTAGCTGTATCATAAAACTTATACCCTGTCATTTGTTAATAATATTGCCCATAATTGTACTGCGACTCTGCGTGCAATTGTCAGTGTTGTTTGCTCAGCAAACGGATGAAAAAAGTGAAAGCGCCCAAGAATGGGCGCCACAAAGTGTTGCCGGCGCCTTCGACGGGTTCACGTACTTGTTGCGGACGACCAGCCAGTTTCGCGCCGACGTTGCTGAAAATTTGGTGAACCTCGCCTTCGACCTTTTCTCCCAGCACTTATCTGGTTCATCGCGTCCTATCGCCACTGCGAGGCTCCACCACGAAGGCGACTGATCGTCCCGCTGGCGTATACGCACTGGTCGACACAGCACCGTGCCACAGCACCTCCGGACGCCTGGATGCTTCCTTTCTCTTTCGCTATTCTTTCTCTGAATAAGGGTGATCTCCGATCTTCATGCATCCACCCGCGGCAGGCCAATGAATTTTTGCCTTCCGCTCTGGCAAAGTTAGCCCCGCCTCCTGGCCAAAGCACCCTGTAATGCGCCTATCCGTTGACACCCGTGGCTTTCCGATAACGCGATGAGCAAGCCGGCCGAAGACATGCTGTCGCGAGCCGATTATGCTTCCATGCGCGCCGACCCGACAGCCGACCCCGGTGTCGGCGAGCGTGTGTGGGACCCACTCAAGCCATGCTCCTCCCGGCCGTTCTCTCCAGGCATGCTCCTGCCGGGCCTCACGGTTCTTTTCTCTGCCTCCTTCTCTGTGGCCCCCATGTCGTGCCCACTCGCTGTTGATATATTGCACAATGGCGCTGCAAGCCCTGGCCACCTGGTGTATAGCCATGCCACCCTACGAGCCCAGCCAAGCCTTCTGTCCCACTGAGTGACGACGATCCTTACGAAGTGCCGTAGCTGATCGGTGCCACTGACAATCGTGGCTTCATGACCCCCGCGCCGCCGCGTCCTGTGGGCGCCCTGTTGGCTTTTGTCTGTGAAATATCAATGTGTGGCTTATGGCCCGCAGCCTTACATTTCTAATTCTGCATGTACGTGTACAATATATTGTTGCATCCACTGCGCGTGTCTCACAAGGCTTGGAGAACAGCTGCCTGTTTCCTCCGGAGTGGGTACGTATTTGGCGCGTTGCCGCCGTGTTACCAAATACGGCACGGCGGTGCGACCGGTGCACCGACTCTTCCGACGTCCAAGGAGCAGTAGACAGAAATCGCACGGGGCCGTCAATGGGGCTGTGCTGCACTGGTCTGGCAGTTAAGTGAAAGGTTCGTGCAGACGGACGGTGGTCTCGAGGGCGTCTCATGCTGTAGCGCAGACTTCATCTTTCGCGACGACTTTAATCTGGGTGGGAATCTTGCTCCTCCTCCCCTAAGCCCGTCCTGGTGCTATGTCTTTGCATCGCCCGCTGGGCTGCGTGTACGTCGCAGCACGTTAGTTCCGCGTGCTGATGAAACTACCTGTTTCATCAGCATCCCGTTCTACAGGCCCATCGTGTCGTGCCAAGCCGTCTGGCGCAGCGCACCCAGTACGTCTCGTATTACCACTACCCTACTTTGTACATGTCCAGACATCTCATTCCATTTATGTGTGCTATTTCTGCAGCGCCATTCGTTGCTTCTAGTCAACAGTTGACCTATGACGCCTGAAAGACGTACCTCCGTCTTGTTTCATAGCAGTGGGAGTTCCCTGATATTTGCAACTCCACCGCAGATCCCAGTCTACACGTGGTTTGCATGCGCAAGGTAAGCAAGCACTTGAAGTCGAGGTCCTCCTCGAGCTTAAGCCGCGAGGCGCGCAGCACTGAGCCTCCGCCTATATAGGCACCTTCCCGAGGATGCGCACCCCACTATACGGGCTGCAGGGCTACTAGTCTTCTGCGATATTACATCTCTCATTATTGCTCAATAGCACATGTAAGTGGTCCGCAACGGCCCATGCGAACATCATGCTAACGTCGCCGACGCCAGACACAATGACTAAACGCTCGATCCTCGACGCTCTTTATCGACTTATTGTGACACCAACATTCTGCTTCGTTGCTTCTGCCTATCGTTATCTCCTACTCGTTCACATCGATTCTCTACCTTACTTCGATTATCAAGCAAACGTTCTAGGTGAAGGGACTTCGGGCACTCAACGTGATCCCGCCCTCATCCCTCCATGCGTTCATGAACTCTGGACTGCATCCGGCGCAGTGTGCACATGTATCTTGACTCTGTGAGTCGCTATCTGTACTCATGTCCCATGTAGTATCTGACCGCGGCGTCCATGATCATGTAGATTATTCATCTCGCTACCCCTTCACTGCACAAGTGTCGCAACGTCAACAACCCTGGTCGCCATCTGCTTTTGCTGCGTGTTCGCAATGTCCCTTAGAATAATTATGACCTGGCATGTTTCCGCCACCGCCTCAACATGGCCGAATGCTGCCGAACATTGGACCACTTTGACTTCCAGCCGCACCCAATCATACTTCTCGGCCACCCCCATGCTTCTTGCGGCCCCGGTGGCATGGGCAGCATGGTAAGTGCCTTACGACGAGCGTGGCACAGCGGCTGCTCATCAATTATCTCAGGGCTTCCGTATTGACAACGGTGCTGTTCTTCATGGTCACGTACAACGGCTCCGTCGCTCTTGCCGTTGAGCAGTATGTCGAATTCGTGAAAGACATGAAAGCCATCGTGAACGGTTCCTACTCTTCGGGTACTCCAACATTGCCGCCCGCAGGCGTGTGTCGGACATCCCTGCTCACCGCATTCGTCGCTGGTGTAGTGGTGGCGATTGGGATTCTGCACATGTGCCTCATCATGACGCGTTTCTCCCAGCTTGGAGTCCCGTCATCTAATGAGACAATCCAGCATCCCCCATCATGCACCCCAGTCGTTTCGCGCGAAGAGCGAAGCAACCATTTGAATGGTCCCACTGACGCCGCACATACCATCGGCGACAACTCGTTGGCGTTCGTGGAGGAAGGGCGTCTCTCGGGCGATGACCAGGATCGGTGGGAATAAGACCGTTACTATACCGCTGTGAGTGCGCTCCACCCACAGATCTCATTTGCGCCGAGGCTAACTGATCCCTATGTTATCCAGCCATCGTCCCTTGTTCCAGTCTAACTTTCATCAAAATCTTTACGATCTCGAAAGAGGTCGCATCACGCATTCAACTGCGCATCCCCTTCACATTCCTTACATTTGCTGCTCCATGAATGTTTCTTTCTATTTTTCGCTTTGTTCTTTTTAATATCTCGCATCCGCCTCCGCGGCCCTGCCTATTCTTTAAATAAAGAAAAAATATTGCACTAGTTATGCATCCATTATTTCTATTTATTTGTTTGTCCGCTTTTTTGATATCTCAAATTTGCCTTCGTGTTGACTCCTTTCCCTTCCTTCCCTTCCTTCCTTTCCTTCCTTCTTTTTTTGTTATTCAAAAATTGCGCTAGTCTCGCATCCAATGCTCTCTACCCGTGCATTGGATCATATTCCCCGTGTATGTCGAGCCAGTTGTTCCGATTTCAGTTGATCCATAGCACACGTTTTCGGCGAGGCACCTGTAATCATGATCCTACTCATATATTTGTATACTATGATACACAATGCACAACAACACGCGGTCAGTACAGAAACCGGAAGCCTTTCTTCCTTTCCATAGCCTCTTCCACAGTCAGGCCCTCCAACCTCGCCGCCTCTTCGATCCGGTCCCGCTCAGCATCAGTCAAGTCTTCGATTCCGCTCTTGTCGAGCTTCTTGTTCTGCGACACTAACATACAGCGCATTGCTAAACACATATCAATGCCTCTGCTCTCATCCTGATGGGGAACCGAGACACGCACCGACCGCGAGGACGGAACTGAAAGCAAGAGACGCCAGACCGATGATCATCGAGGGGTGATAATTGGGGCCCCACTCGGCCTTCCACACATATGACCCAATGCTGTCCCCATGTCATCAACTGCAGATCTTTAATATGAGCCAGAAACACACGCACAGGGTGCCCAGATTGCCGATCCCGTTGACGATAGCTATTGCGGCCGTACGCTTGGCAGGCGGTCTCGGGACGACGTTAGCAGTCCATACCAACGTCAGAGCGAAGCCTGAAAAGCGAATATAGCCTTTTAGCAGAGTGACGGGAGTGATGAGCAACCAACCTGCATATCCGCCAGTCATCAGGAACATGGCGAAATATCGGCCGCCGACAGACATCGTGGACAAGGCGATAATGTAACCGATCATAACGCTCCACCACGGTCCCGACACGTGAAAGAATCGCTCGCCGCTGCGGTCTGCTCTATGTGTCATCATACTAGTCTGCCGGTATTGCTCAGCGGCACGCACCTGCATGCCATGCGTTTGCGCAGCAGAGAATCGTGGCAAAGATCCACGGCGGTCTGTCGTGCCAGAATCGATTAGCCGCACAATGTTAGATAAAGGATGGTGGCACTGACGCAGCAAGGAGTAGGCTGACGGTCGTCGAAAATCCCAGGGTTGCGGTCAGTCTAGGAAAAAGGAGTGTCGATGTCTTGTCAAATAATCAGATCTCAAACTCAAGGCTCACGTCGGGAAGAAGTTAACGAAACTCGAGCCTAGAAGTAGCGAGCACGTCATAACCGCAAAGACATAAACCTTCGGATCCTGCAATGCCTGTTTTAAACCTGTCAAAGCACTTCAAAAGATCGTGAATTAAGTGGGAGCCACTATAGAAGTCGGGGACATACGTGTCGTGGACGGAATCCTCATCGGCTTCTCCAGTGTCCTCGGCAAGACGAACTTGAGCGAGTCTTCGTTCGGCTTTTGATAACCATCGAGTATTATGTGGCTATTAGTTGGGTTCAGTCTCCGCAAGCCTGCAAAAAAAGACATATCTCACATAATCAGGCAGAGTCCAACTATACACCGTCAGCATGCCACTCCTAAGTCAGCATTATATGAAGAAAATGTGCTCACATTGCGAGCAGGCCGATGAGAACGGTTATGGCACCCTGAGAGGATCTCAGTCTTCGTGCACCCGTATCCGAGGGGCAAGAGATAACAAACCTCAATATAAAACAGCCTGGAGATGGGATAGCTGTTAATAGGTTACAAGACGCCGCGGGCACCAGATACGTACCACCTCCAGGCTCTGATACCCAACTTGCCTTCCATGTTCGCGAGGATGCCGGCAGCAATCAGCTGACATCGTTCCCAAGATTAGACTGCAAAAAATGCCGTACACGTTGCAAACGCTACTCACGCTTCCAAAGGCGTTTGAGATCAGCAGACCACAGTAGAGAAGGGCAGATCGGAGGGCCAGTTCCTGATACAACAGAATGAGCAATAGGTCGACACTTTTAGGTCCAGAATACATGCCTTGCGCGTGTACCAGCGAGAGAGCAGGTAAATTGCTCCTGGGTAGAACGCAGACTCGGGTAGGCCGATGAATATACGGGCGGCTAGAATGCCTGCATAATTCTTCGTCACCTGCGGGATCACTATTCAGTTTTGCTGACTTGATAAGACCGAGCTGCGAAGCGCGCACCCCAGTCAAGGCACTGGTCATGCCCCAGATGCAGACACAGGCGGGAATATAGTATGACGGCCTGCAAAGGACTAAGTTCGGCCCTAGTACCTTGCAGCATCTACATCTACGCACCGTGATATCCGGTTTAAGATCATGTTCGATGGGATTTGCGCAGGGACGTAGGACGCATAGAGAACGGCCAGCACCGTCTCATACTGAATGTCTATCAGCACAGGTTAGTCAGCAGACAGGATTGAGAAGAAGACAGGTTATATACCTGTAATATGTAGGTCGTGCTCTATTCCATACAGACGAGCTGACGAAATGGCTGTCCGCTGCATCATGGTCAGTACGAGTTCAACTGGCTTGTACGTGAACTTACATCGATGTAATTGAGGATAAAGACCAGTACGATAGTGGGTAGGAGCCGAGTATCGAGCTTGCGAAGAAGCGTCTTCTCTGCTCTTTGTCGTATTCCGGGGAGAAGCAGCTCACTGTCATCGTCTATGGCTGTCGCAACCCCACTCTCTTCGAGCATTGACGTAGGACCTTTGACCTTGTGCTTCTCTTCGGACACCTTGTCAGATGTTGAGTGTTGTTGGCTCATGGTTGAAAGCGAAAGCATGGAGCATACTGGAGGCCGCCGCTACCTATATGTATCCGGCCATCCGAGGCCAAGTCGGAGAAAGAGTAATCTACGATGTGCTTCTAAGTCGCATTTAAATTAAATGAAGGCCTACAAGGGGAGCCATCAGTCGTAAAATGATGGTCGAAGCAGATGAGAGTAATGTTGAACGCTGAAGCCGGAGCTTGGCTGGCGTCCCAATGAACTCTCGAGCGCGCTACTAGTTTTTGTCCGGAGTGCGAAAGATTGAAGAACACGAAATCGTCCACGCGTTCGTCCCTGGTCTTCACTTCATTAGAATGGCTTCTGTCCACGTGTCCGGGACGACTTGCGGAGTAGATAATTCATATACTATGATACATAGGCACACAGAGCCACATGGTTAGTACAGATACCGGAAGCCTTTCTTCCTTTCCATGGCTTCATCCAAGGTGAGACCCTCCAGCCTCGCGGCCTCCTTGATCCGCTCTCGTTCGGCGTCTGTCATCTCCTCCGCATCGCTCTTGTCGAGTCTCTTGTTCTCTGCAACAAGTATGTAGCGGACCACTGGCCGCATGTCAGTGCCTTCGCCTCTGTCTAAGACGAGAGCTATCGTCACGCACCGAATGCGAGGACAGAACTCAACACGAAGGACGCTAGCCCGATGATCATCGAGGGATGGTAGTTCGGGCCCCACTCTGCCTTCCAGGCGTACGACCCAATGCTATTTCCAACAGCGTCAGAGGGAAGCCACTTGGCGCAAAATACAGATCGCGCGCACAGATTGCCCAGATTGCCGAACCCGTTGACGATGCCAATGGCCGCAGAGCGCTTGGCAGGCGGTCTCGGAACGGCGTTAGACGTCCATACTAGAGTCAGCGCGAAGCCTAACGAGTACGAAGTGAGCTCTTCGCAGAGAGGAAGCAAAGGAACTTGGTTTACCTGCATATCCGTTGGCCATCAGGAACATGGCGAAGTAGCGACCGCCGATAGACATCGTGGACAGGCCGATGACATACCCCACCATGGAACCCCACCATGGTCCGACAATGTGGAAGAAGCGTTCGCCGCTGCGGTCTGGGAAGTGTCAGTATGATTTCCGCCGTATCTGCCTGGAGTCGTGCCTACCTGCGTGCCATGCGTTTACGCAGCAGAAGATGGTTGCGAAGATCCATGGCGGTCTGTGGTAGTGTCGGTGTCAGTATCAGTTGACTAACAGACACACGTAAGCAGTAGGATACGGACGCAGCAAGAACCAGGCTGATAGTGGTGTTAAATCCCAGAGTTGCGGTCAATCTAGATAAAGTACAGTCAGAGTCTAGTCGCAGACGGTAGATACCAGGATGGCCTACGTTGGGAAAAAGTTCACGAAGCTGAGCCCGAGCAGTTGCGCGCATGTCATGACCGCGAGGATAGACACTTTCGGATCTCGGAGTGCTTGCTTCAAACCCGTGAACGCACTTCGGGTCATATGAGCCTTAGGCACGAACGTGAGAGTACAAACACATACGTATCGTGAGCCGAGTCATCGTCGGCTTCTCCAGCGTCCTCGGCAAGGCGGACTTGAGCAAGCCGTCGCTCGGCCTTCGACAGCCACCGAGTGTTATGCGGCTACTTTAGGGGTCAGTTCTCCGCCAGCCTGCAAAAAGTAAACATCTCTCACGTAGTCGGGTAATGCCCAACTGTGAACCATCAGCATGCGGCTTCGGCAGCTCAGTGAAGCATGTTATACTCACATTGCAAACAAGCCAATGCAGACTGTTATAGAACCCTGTGAGAGATTGTCAATTTCCTCTTCCCTGTGCTAGTGGAAGCAGCGTGCCTCAATGTAGAACAGCCTGAAAGCGAATGGTCGTAAGTAGGGGAATGGTCCCATCCACAGCCGGCACGCACCATCTCCAGGCTCTGATACCCAGCTTGCCGTCCATGTTCGAGAGGATTCCAGCAGCCATCAACTGGGGTCGTGTCTATAATTAACCGACTATTACATGTTATACGCGTTGCAAGGAAACTCACGCTTCCGAAGGCGTTTGAAATCAATAAACCGCCATATAGAATGGCAGACCGGAAGGCCAGTTCCTGACAAGAGGGGTGAGCGATTTACTAGATCCGAGGAGTCCCATGGGAAGAGACGTATACCCTACGAGTGTACCAGCGGGAAAGCAAATAGATTGCACCTGGGTAAAAGGCAGCTTCGGGGAAACCGACAAAGATGCGAGCGGCCAGGATGCCTGCGTAATTTTTCGTCACCTGTGGAGCATTTTAATAACGTTGTTCGAGCCAAGGCTTTGTACGCACCCCGGTCAGTGCACTCGTCATCCCCCAGATGCAGACACAGAAGGGGATATAGTAAGATGGTCTGCAAGATGAGTTCAGAGGGGCGAAATAAGGGTGCGCGAAGAACGATACGGACCGCGATATCCGGTTCAAGATCATGTTCGATGGGATTTGCGCGGGTACATAGGACGCATAGAGTACGGCGAGCACCGTCTCGTATTGGATATCTGTTGATATAAATCAATCATCACCAGGTATAGGGGGCTAGATAGATGTATACCCGTAAGGTGGAGGTCTTGCTCGAGGCCCTTCAAACGTGCCGACGAAACGGCTGTGCGCTGCATAAAAGTTAGAATAAAAACTCCATGGAGAAGGTAGACTTACATCAATGTAATTGAGAAGAAAAATCAAAACGATGGTGGGGAGGAGTCGGAAATCGAGCTTGCGAACGAGTTTCCTCTCAGCATGTTGGCGGGCTTCAGGAAGGAGTAGCTCATCATCGCGATCTGCGACTTTCGCGACGCTCTCCTCTACATGCTCCACCGACGGAGCAACTTTGTCAATGTACTTCTCCTCAGAGGCGGCGTCGGACAGTGGGCGTTGTCGGCTCATGGTTGGAGATGAAAGCACGAAGTCCTCTGGAGGACCGCCTGCTTTATACCGACCCCACGGTCGTTATCTTTATGAGCGATGAGTAGGCTTCTGAGAGACCCTGGACATTTGGGACATGCCTATGCCTGGAGTCGGAACAAAAACGGTACACCCATGACCTCCTGTGCCATACTGAAGTTGTATGAAGCCGCGCCAATGGAGCTGTATCAGCCGTGTGATGATGGTGGGAGTTTGACAGGAAGGTGTCCTCATCTGCCCTTACACTGGCACCGCATGGCAGGCAGCCGCCAGACCTTCAACTAATCTTCCAGGTCCACGTGAGACCATGGCGCACTGAGCCAGGCAGGACGATCCCTGACAAGATGGAAATCACCCATCGCCTGGCTGGCTTCTAAGTTTCCGGATATCCAGCGAGTCTCATACGCCGCATGACCCGGCCATCGAGATTCTGCACATTATTCCGAAAGGCAAATCAGGCCCTTGAGCGAAACTACTTTCGAGTGCGTACCTTTGCAGTCAAAACGATCTGAACATTGGCGCAGGGTCCGCTGATGCTGACTCGGAGCTTGCCGTACCCCACTCCGCTTTACAGCCCGCCCTGCAGGCTTGGTCCTAAACCACACACGCTCTCGCACAGAATTCGATATAAGGAGAAGATTCGCTGAGTCGTGTTGGTAGGCTGACCCACAAAGCTGCTGAAGGAACTGCCAAACGCGATTCTCCCCACACATGACTACCCTCGCCGGACCGTCATGGCCAGTTCTTCAGGATGCATGGGCAACTTTGCAAGAACTTTGTGCGATGACGTACGTCCGCGACAACTTCTTGTCTGTGATTCTTCTTCTGCGTTTGTGTCGTAGATTATCCCGGCTATGCGGTACTTGTAAGAGGCAGGCCTGCAGGCTCCCCGGGATAGGCAACGGGTGTTCTCCACCGTACCGACTGCCGACTGCCAACTATGCCTCATTGAAAGCATTCATCGAGCTACAAGCTATAACGTATATTTATTTTTGCGATATCCTACCGATTATTTGCCACATTACATCTCTGTTCCCCGCTCTCTGCCTGGTATGTGAACGTTAATATGCGGCTCATTTAAAGGAGCAACTCTTTCGGGGACTACTTCCCGCCAACTGTTAAAGCGCTAGGAAGGCTCGCTGCGTACGCACTATCCGCTCAGGTTGCCATTTCTGCAGTACCGTCCTACGAAGTACCTCCTGGTTCTCCGGGATATTACCACGGCAACTCTTCTGCCGCCGTCACCTTCGACGCACATTCTCTATTCCTCGATGACAAAAGGCTGTACGTCTTTAGCGGGGAGGTCCATACTTGGAGGATGCCCAGTGGACCTGCCATATGGCGCGATGTTTTCCAGAAGATGCGAGTGAGTGCGGAAAGCTTGTCATGCCGAGAAACCTAACCCTCAGTCTTTGGCCCGCAGGCCGCAGGCTTCAATGCTATATCGGTATATCATCATTGGGGATTGTCTGAGGGGAAGCAAGGCTCTCTAGACTTCAACTATTATCGATCCCACACTGATTTGTACGAAGTGGCGAAGGAGGTTGGCCTTCTGGTAATCGCGAGACCTGGAGTAAGTTTTGTAGTATGTCCATGAATATATTTCTAACGTAAATTCTAATTCCAGCCATACATCAATGTAAGTATGGCTTGACAACTACTCGACAGTGCTTTTCACTAAAGTTTGGCCGGCAGGCAGAAACCAGTAGGCCGAACTTGCTGTTTCCATAGCTAGCCGTGACACTAATTATCACACAATTCCTAAGCTGGAGGCGGCTTCCCAGGCTGGTTGACCAACAATCCAGCGAAAGCAAGGACGAATGAAACTGGATTCTCCGAGGCATGGACCTCTTACATGGATGCGGCGTCGGAATTCATCAAACCGTACCAGGTCCGCCCCTCATTCGTTTCGTTCCTAACGAATCTCACACAACGGTGCAGTATCCTGATGGACCAGTCATCGCTGTTCAAGCCGAGAATGAGTTTTTCGAATCTTCCTCTGGGGATCCGGGGCGATCTGAGAGCATGGTTCAGATTGAAGACAACCTTCGTGGAAATGGCATTACAAAAGTCCCCATGTCAGTTTCTTCTTCAACCACTTAAATTTTAGCTCACATCCTGATGAAAGCACTCACAACGATGCTTCTCCGTCTGGTCGTTATGCTCACGGTTTGGGCGAAGTTGATCTGTACATGTGGGATAGTTATCCGCAGGGCTTCGACTGCGCGAACCCTACATTATGGCGCGAGATCAACAGCGGAGATCTGGACACTGCTCACAAGGTCAGCTCCTTTCCATAGGGATGTTGAACATTCACCTTACGATGTACCAGGCCATTAATCCCGATATCTTTTGGGCAACTGGCGAGTTTCAGGCAGGCGCTTTTGATCCTTGGGGAGGTGTATGTATTTCTCTATTTTCTGATGGACGCTGAACTGAATGAAATCGTCAGTCCGGCTACGACAAATGTTTCCAGCTAACTAATGAGCAATTTGCAAACGTATGTGCCGTATATTCTTGGTGCCTTTCCTACTCATCATTGTCAACCTTCGCTTAGATGGTTTACAAGGTAAACGTACCCCACTGCTGTAAAATCTGCGCTTGCTAACTATATACAAATTTTAGAACAACTATGGCGCACAAACTACGTATCAGAACTTGTACATGGTTTATGGCGGTACCAATTGGGGAAATCTCGCCGAACCCACCGTTTACACCTCGTATGTCAGCCCATACTCCCGTTGCGTTTCAGCTGCTGACGATACACAGGTACGACTACGGAGCCCCGATCCGTGAAGACCGAACACTGTCGCCTAAGTACTCCGAAATTAAGCTTCAAGCGGCGTTCTTGCACGCTTCACCAGACTTCCTAGTCGCAACGCGATTTGGCAATGGTACCATAGGCTTTGGCACCGCATTTTCAGACAACCCGCGGATCTACACCACTGCCCTCAGTTCACCATCTGGGGCGCACTTCTACATAGTTCGATCAAACAGTGTTACGTGCGTATTTACCTTGGAATGTGTCCTTTGGTGATCTCACTCGCGTCGAGTCCAGGCACACAAACATGACTAAGTTTACGTTGCGAGTAAACACGACGGAAGGTCCCTTGACGATCCCACAATTCGGGCCTCAGGCTACGTTAGACGCTCGGGAAAGCCAGATACTCGTGTCTGAGTACTCATTCAATTCTCATACCTTGAAATACTCAACAGCCGAGGTACGTCTATTGATGATCTCTTTCGGCTCAGCCAAACGTTGAAGTGCACCAGGTGTTTGCTTGGGCTACCATAGATTCGACTGACCACCTGATCCTCTATGCGAACGAAGGACATCAAGTCGAGGCCGTGATATCTGGAGTACCCTCTGACAAGCCTAAAGTCACCGGTTCCTCATCTATTTCAGCACGTACTGGGCCGATCGGCACTTTCATTATCACCGGTTCACCTAAAGGCGTTTCATCCATCTCCCTAGGCAATACCATGGTATTTGTCGCAGACAAGCACACCGCGCTTTCGTTCTGGAACGTCCACCTATCTTCTGCAAACACTACAGTGTACGACCGCGCTCCGGACGTGCCCTCGATTTTTGTGTTTGGACCGTATCTCGTTCGCAACGCCACACTCCTCGATGGGAGAAGCGTTCTCGCACTGCACGGCGACATTAACGCTACCACGACTCTCGATGTCGTTGCGCCTTCGTCTGTCAAGCGCGTCATATGGAACGGGAGGACAGTTCACGTCCAGAAATCGAATATTGGCACCTTGCGAGGCATTCTCAAGTTCACGGCACAGGCTCCAGAACTGCCGGACCTAAGGACCGCGGAGTGGCTCTGCACCGACTCGCTTCCTGAGATCCAGAGTAATTTCAATGACAGCAGCTGGGTTACGGCGAACAAGACCAGTACTGGCAGGCCCTACCAGCCGTTCGCTGGGAAAGTGAGCTATGTTTCTGGGGAGTCTTAGAGGATTGGTTCTAATTTTGCTACGCAGTACATGCTCTACGCTGATGAGTACGGTTTCCATCAAGGTCAACGCCCTTGAGAGCTTCTGCCTGGTCCATCGACTCAACATTTACCCTTGCAGGCAACACCATCACCCGTGGACATTTCACGGGCAGGAGTGCTATCGGTGTTCAGCTCTCTGTGCAAGGGTGAGTCGCAACTTTTTCATGGACGTCCTGATTCTCAGCCCCAGTACTTAAAAGCGGGTATAACTTTGGTTACAGCGCATGGATCAACTCCAAGTTCCTTGGGTCAAACCAGGGGACGAATCAGTACTCGGCGGGCGGTGGCGTCGACCTTACGAACGACACGTGGTTGTTCGACCCCGCTGATCTGAACGATGGGGACAATGTCCTCACGGCCGTTCTAGACCCCACCGGTACGCGGTGGGCCATGGCTCTGCAGAGTGGCTGTGCTGACCCTGAAATCAAGGTTTGGAAGAAGATTACAACGGCGATGATACGTTTAAGGTGTCCGGCATCACTTTACATCCGCGACGCTCAGCTGATGCAGCACTCCTAGACCCCTCGTGGCATCAGAGGGTATAGCCTGCTTGGCAGCGGCGACTTCGACTTCTGGAAGATTCAAGGCAACCTTGGCGGCGAAGACTTCCCTGACAAGGTTAGAGGACCACTGAACGAGGGTGGACTATTCGTCGAGCGAGAGGGTAAGCACTACCCTCCGTGCTCCCTTGACTGACTCTGACCCTCCGCCCAAGGCGCGCATCTGCCGGGCTTCCCAGCAACAAATTGGAAGCAATCCCGCTCCTGCACACCTTACATCGGCATTTCAGGTGCTGGAATCCAGGCATACCGCACGACCTTTAGTCTGGACTTGCCCTATGAAATCGATACGCCTATCGCCTTAAAGATAACGCGCACGCCGACGAGCAGCTATCGCAGCATTATCCATATCAATGGCTGGCAATTCGGCCGGTTTAACTCCAAGGACGGACCACAGGAATTGTTCGTAGTACGTGTGCATTTATGGCCCCCGTGGATATTATCATTGATGCCATACCTCAGCTTCCAGAGGGCATCTTGAAGCATAATGGAAAGAATGAGCTGCTGGTCACTTTGTGGTCACTAGGTACGCGGAGAACTGTCGCTCTCAAAACGATGCTACTCATTTCCGTCTCGCAACAGATGCTGAAGGAGCCAAAATGGCAGACCTTGAGCTTATTTCGACTGCAGTGGTGAGCACGAGTAAGGAGAGCACTATCGGGTTGGTTCAGTCGCCGAGTTATCGGGACCTACGCTAGTGTGGCCTCATGTACGCCCGCGCCTCTGTAGGAGCAGCATATTGAACGTCCGTTGATGCACAAAATTGTCGCCCACCGGAAATGAGCACTGCATGGACGCTGAGATAAACCGCCCCTGAGGCAGGGGCAACGCAGACACACTGATCCAAGCAGGGAGGCGCGATATATATGATGGACAGGAAGCGGCTGGGGGGCTATGCTACAAAACACTACCCCTGGACCCCATGTCAAGCCAGGAGACAACCTACACTTTCAACGTCCTCGATCGGCCGGGTCCGACCATGTCAGCGTCCGCACGCCGCGATCTCGTGGAAGAGCTCCGTGCGCTGGCCGCAACCTGCCTCAATCCCCTGCTAGAGTACCAATGTCTCTCCACCGCGCCTACCGCGCTCGATGACAAGCTCATCGTCATGATGCGCGGCAAACAGACGGCATGCCTCCTTGCCTTTGTCTCTGCCGTCTACCTGCAAGTGTCACTCCGAGAAGGTGCCCCCACGAGCACCATCCTGCACACTGGCTTGACCTGCATCGCCCCCGCGCTGCGCCGCTAGGGCCTCCTTGCACCGCTCTTCTACCACATTTTTGCGCATCTGCATGCCTGCCCCGACTATGCACGGGGCATGTGGGTGACGGGGCTCTCGGCAGTGCCGAGCACGCTCGGAGAGCTTGGGCAGTACGCCGCGGACGTGTATCCGAGCCCGTGGAAGGCGGCGCCGTCGGAGATCCACGTCCGCATCGCGAAGATCGTCGACAAGCGGTACCGTGCCGCGATGCTGATCTCGCCCGACGCGCACTTCGACGAGGGCACGTTTGTTTTCCAAGGGTCGAACCCGCAGGGGTCGTGCTTCAGGAAAGATATGGATGACCACCAGTACCATCATAGAGATGCCACCGTGAATAACTTCTATCGACAACTGTTGGGGGATGACAGGGGCAGTGAGGTCCTGGCGATCGGGTTTTTGGATTGGGAGACTGTGTTCGGCATGTACCAGAAAACTAGGAAGATGCAACGCAAAATATTTGGTTCAGAGGTACGTGGCCCTTGCTTTGCAGATGCAACGGCCGCTCACCAGCTAGTAGGCGAAGCTGTAAATTACAAGCTTCAATGCGAGGTTGTCGTCTTTGAATCTTCGATGTATCATGTATGACGTAGCATTGAATTTCCTATATATATATATATATTCGCCGCTACGTGCAGCCATCATCAGCTTGCGAACCTGCAACACCGCTACCCAGACGAACAGTCAACTGTTCTATTACTCTGAACTTACTGCGCCATGGCAGGCAAACTTCCACTTGCACAACTGTCATCCTTGCGTATAACTAAACACCAAATCCCCAAGCACGGTGGTATCCCGAACACCTCTATTCACAACAAACCACTCACAATTTACCATGGTGTATTCCCCTCTCCGGACTTAACTGCCTCGCACATCGAATCGCACTTGAAGGCTGTCGAGGTTTGCATCCCACAGTGGCGGTACACCATGTTCGACACGACACACTTCCACTCGACCACGCATGAGCTGCTCGTGATTGCATCTGGACATGGAAGGCTGCTTTTCGGAGGCGAAGACAATACAGGGAAGGTCGAAGAGGAGGTTACGAAGGGCGACGCGATACTGGTGCCAGCGGGAGTTGGGCATCGGCGACTAGAGGTGTCGCCTGACTTCGAGATGGTCGGGTCGTACCCTGCTGGAAGCGCACATTGGGACATGTGCTACGGACGCAGAGGCGAGACTGGGGTAGAGGAAAGAATCCGCAAGCTGGGATGGTTTGAGAAGGATCCTATATACGACGGGGAAGGACCTGCTCTGTCAGATTAAAGGCCTGGTCTCACAACAGAATGTAAAGCGATCCACCTAGATTCGTGAAACGCACTATTTGTACCTGAAAATTGAAGTCAACATGATACAAAAAGAGATGCTGCGTACTACCCGCACACATTGGTACTTGCATCACGTCAATAGTTTCATGGTACCCGCATAGAAGGGGGTGAAAACCACATTTATTGTTCCGGAGCCAGGTATGTACGAAAGGAAGTCAGGCGAGGAGAAGGCATGTAGGGGACCACCGACCCATCTTCTCTCCATGGGTTACCCCGGCGAAGAGACGACAATTGGGTGCTAAGACATCCCGTTGGTCTTGACACGACCTGACACTCGAACGACCGCGTGATCACGCTGGAGAGACCAGACGAGCAGTCATGAGCAACATGGGGAAAATTATGGTCGTGTCGCCGCACGAAGAAAAGCAGATGCGGCGCTAAGCGCTATGAGGGAGATAGTTTAGGGCAGGTCTCAACCTATCCCGTCCATCCTACGAACTTCGCTCACTGCAAAGTGCTCCTGAAATAAATACACAGTTTCTTATATCAGCTGTCGTGCCCCTAGAGTGCGACATTGTCCCAGAGCACACGAACAGGACCTCCCCATCGAACTTGAGACCAAAATCAATGTCATCAAATTCAGTGCCTGGCAAGCTCTGCCAAACCGAGCCAGCAACAGAGAGCTTCCGCTCTTGAGACTCGCCATATGGACCTTCATCAGATACGTTGTCAGCTGGCTTGTGGTGCACTGGTAGGGACGGATAGCGGGGACGAAAGGCCTGAAGGCCTGAATGCTAATCTGCCGCCATCAGGTACACCACTCGCAACGATAAAGGCTGCCTCGAGAAAGCGTATGCCCAACGCCTGAACCCCCATCACCACCCGCGGAGCTCTTAACTGCAATGTCACTCTACCTCTGCGTCGATTGTGGCGGCTCCAAGACGTCTGCCGTCGTTTGCGATGCCACTGGCGAAATTAAGGGGCGTGCGCTTGGTGGACCTTCCAACTTCGCATATCTCGGCATCGACGCGTTCACGGAAGCGGTCAAGGTGGCCGTCAGCGACGCCCTCAAGACATGTACGACACCCCACTCGATCGGGCCGGTCTCGCTGCCCACGAGCCAGCCTCTTTTCGCGGCAGCGTGGCTCGGCGTATCCGGCGTCGACAGTCAGGGCGCGATCGACACGATCACCCCCGTCATCTCGCGGCTCCTAGGCATACCGAAGGGGCGCAATCTCATCGTATGCAACGATACGCACCTCCTCGCAGCACCGCTCCAGATGCACGACGATGTCTCGTGCGCGATCACCTGCATCGGCGGCACTGGCGGCATCGTCGTGAGCTTCACGCAGGAGGCAGACGGAAACTTGAAGGAGATGGGCAGGGTCGGAGGCTGGGGCTGGATTCTGGGTGACGAGGGCGGGGGATATCATGTCGGTCGGGAAGCCGTGCGCCAAATCATCTTGCGTGCGGACGTCGCGTCGGTGGAAGGGCAACAACCAGCCGAAGCGGCCAAGGACACGCTCGTCGGCCGCGTCATGAAGCAGTTCGGACTGAAGTCGGACGTCTATGAGCTCCTCTCTGCCGTGCATATTCCGGATCCCGTGCCAAGTCTCACCACCGCAGACCTCAATGTTCCGCCATACCTCTACGTCCCACGCGAGAAGCGGCTTTCACAGCTGGCCCCACTCGTGTTCCAGTCTGCGTTCGAAGACGGAGATCCGCTGGCGCTAAAGGTTCTTGAGATCTCGAGCGGTGCTCTCGTCGAGCAGATCTGCATCCTGCTGCGTCCCCGCGGAGTCAAGGCGAGCGAGGGCGTCATCTGTTTTGGAGGATCGCTGGTTGGCGTCGAAAAGTATAGGAACATGATTCTGGACCAACTCGCACAGAAGGGTCATGATTTCAAGCGTGTGGAATTTGTTGACGACGCGGCGGCAGTGGGGGCGAGAGGTCTCGCAAGGGCACACGCAGTGTGAAACTCAAGAGAAAGAAACTAGACTTAAATGTATTGCTTGGGTATACTCCTGCGCATAGATATCGTCACAATCTGAAACTTCGTCTGCAGTGTACGCTGCGGCGTTCTCTCGAGCGCGCTCGACATTCCGCAGCCGGGCATAGCTCACAGACCCGCCCGCAAAATCTGGGCTAAGTTGCTTCTAGCCCCCTGGATTTTGGAATAGGCACTCCGTAGCTGGATCAGACGTCAGTCTTCTGTCATTCAACGTTCCAACGGCGGGCGAGACAGGGACTACATGAGCGCTGCAACATGACGGCCTGGCGCTCCGAAGCCAATAGGACCGGCGTAGCGTGATACTGTCCGAGACCGCTGACAAGAATATGAGTAAGTGCTTACTTATGGGTCGCTGTGCATTTCCTTGGATAGCCCGTTGGGTGTGAGCCATATTTTGGATGCGCGGCACAAATGCCGCGCCTGCCATATCAACAGTGCGAAACAGATACCCACGTGCGCTTCGACCAGAGATATATAGGCCCAGTGGCCTCGCAAGTGAGCAACGACAAAACAACCAAACTCCCATCGAAAACAACTTCACTCTACTCACCAACGCCAAACGAGATGCTCTCTGTGAGTAGCAGTGTTTCCCTTCATCTAAAGCGGCGGCTAACATTCTGGTTAGGCTATCGAGACCCCCAAGAACACCCACTGTGGCAGCAGCTCTTGCAGCTGCGGTAACACGTAAGGGGTCATCTAGTTTCCCAAGGTGATTAAGGTCAACTCACTTTACTATCCCCGCAGTTGCCAGTGCACCGCCGACAACTGCAAGTGCTGAGCACACAGCCTTTCCAGCTAGCCGCTGTCTTCCAACGTTTGGATCTTTTCGGCCGCTTCATGTACCAGCTATCAACTCAACTCTGTATGGATGAGTAACGTCATGGTGATGGATGAATCTTCGTTGAATTTATAACTTTGAAAGCTGGATGTTCTGAGTGCATAGCTTCTGGTATGAGTGGCATGGAACGTGGATAAGTCTGGTGAGTAAGGGAATGTTAGACTGACGAAGAGACCGAGACATGCTTCCTGGGCAAGAACCGCCATGATATGGTGATAGGTGTGATGTAACAGTAGGCAGTGACTGTCTAATACTGGAGTGCCTGCAGTCGCTACTTTGCCATGTTTCCTATGGCATGGGCTTGCACAAGCAAGTCCGACACCTCCGTCTTTTCCTTCCCGTACAATGTTCACTTTGTCAGGCCCCGCATTGACGTTGATCTTGGCATTTAACGCGATTCCGAGACTGCCTGACAAGCGCTCCGAGTCTGCTGCGGGCAGCGTGGGCACCCTGTGCGCGCGGGTTTGGGCTCGTACAAAGGGATCTGCAATTGATGCCGCAGGGAGAGCACCGGTTCACACGTGCGGATTGAAGGTCGAGTGAGCCACCTCACGATGATCACCAGTCCGATGGCATCTCTCGCGCTCCGCTCCGTCCTCGCGTCCGATGCATGCCTTCGTTCTCCGGCCGTCCGAGGTGAGAGACACTGATTCGTGCGTAGCAATGCGCGTTGCATGCTGGTATCACAGAAAAGGCTCTACAACTGCGGGGAGACAACGAGACTGGAGGGCCTTGCCGAGAAGAGGTCAGGGACAAGAGGAAGGATTACCGGCACCGTTTCTGGTTGCATACTGTTGTGCGTCGTGTATCATGGTGTGCGAGTATATGTGTGAGATGATGATCGTGGGTGCCTCACCGGATGCGTCATGCGTGTGTAACCGATCCATTGACACTGAAACAACTGGGTATACATGCGTGGGGAAGTGGTACAGTGCGCAGATAGAGAGTGTCGACCGCATAAGTGCAATAATAAGGATAAATAAGAACGAGTGAAGCTGAGTCAGCATGGAAGAAAGTGCGAACAACCAAAAGCAGTGAACATAGGAACGAAAGGAGCGTGAGGGAGATGCGCAGTCATATAATGAGAACATTAGACCACAAGGACGATTTTCATGGAGACGTAGGGGTCGATGGCTGCGCAATATCGAGATCTATCAGTCTCACGGTGGACTAGATCCTTTGACACAGCTCACTCACAGCGGTGTAGTAGCATTCTTGCTCCTGCCGGTCCTCGCCAGATAACGGGCGTCCAAGCTGAGAGAAACGCGTTATGATGAGGCTTGTATGCATGATTCCAGCCACCACTACTGAGCCGACGGTCAACGCGACGAGTAGAGATGCCTGATATTCATCCGTATGCGGCGACGTGGGTGCACCCGAGGAGCGGGAGCCGCTGATGATGGCTTTCATGTTATGCACGAATTCGACATATCGCTCAAGGGTAACAGCGATAGAGCCGTTGTACATAACCATGAAGAATAGTGTTGTGGCCGATATGGAAGCCCTAAAGTAAACGATGAGCAGCTGCTACGTTATGCTCTAAATGAGAAGCCTACCATACTGTCCACGCCACCGGAGCTGCGAGAAGCATGGGGGTGGATGAGAAACGTGAGCCAGAGCGGTGGGAGCATAAAGTAGCCCAATTTTGAACAGCGTTCGGCCATGTCGAAGCGATAGAAACATGCCATGTCATGAACCTTGTGAGACAAATCGACATCAGACAACAGGCGCAGGTAACAGCCAACGCCGCTGACGTCGCAACATTCGAGTTATGAAGTGGATGAGAAATGAACGACCTAGATAGCCATGAAAAATTACCGTCAGTACGGCACTATGCATAAACCTCAGTAGTGACTTACAGTGCCAAGATACCCTTGCACAATACATCAGACACCGTCCAGAGCTTGACCACACACGAAGGGACGAGCTTGAGCTGAGCTTCTGGGGTCGTTTTGTTGGGTGTCTCTGGCAAACATTTGAAGTAGGAGATAGAGGCGATGTGAAGGAGCAGCAAATAGCGATAGATGAACGAGATGAAGATTAACATCGGCGACCCAATAAATTGGTAAAGAGTGTCGGGGATGGAGCGCCTAGTCATCATACCTGGCGTCGGCGACGTCAGTATGATGTTAGTACGGACCGTAACATACCACTTACGTGTATTTTTGTAACAATGAGGAAGAAGTAGATTAGTGGTAGTCCTTGCGGCTGAAAGTATATGGTGTGGTGTCAAGGCGAGGGTACGCAGCTGGTGAGTCTATATAGGCTCGAAGCTGGGGTGTTCTTTATGCGTTGAGCTTGAGGAGAACACGAACAGCGGAGATTTGTTCACCTTTCACGCACCTGCGGCGCGTGCAACGGAGGAGCCATAGCTACGCACGAGCTCCCAGCGTTCGGTAGAGCCGAGTAGAGGCGCGTTCTTCAAGTGTCACGGCGGACTTATTCTCCTTTGCAAACGACGAGTCAAGTGATAAGCCCATTGCGCATTCAACGCGACGGGATGTGCGATCACATACAAAGCATGGTAACAAGGAATGCACTGTTTGTACCAAAATTTGGGATGGCGTGACGAACCTGTGACGCAGGATGCTGATGAAGCAAACACGCTCCCCTGGACCCTGGTAAGTAGCGTTTTACACGCTTCCCGAGTTGCACAAAAATGCATGGCGGGCGTGGAGTTCGGAGAGAGGCAGTGATGTGCTCGCCTCCACGGAGGTCGCCACAAAACCCGTAGGCGGGGCAGCATGGAACGTCTTCAGGGCCACAGCACTTGCTCATCCGCGTAAACCCCTTGCTCTGCCACCATACCAATACTTGGTACAGCCTCCACCGCTGGTCCGGTGCAGCCTCCGTGTACTCGTCCTTGGATGCCGGCAGAGTCGGTGCACTGGCGCCACAGGCTGTGTCGCATTTGACGGCGTGTGTGACAGTCCGATAAATGCGCCCAGCTAGAGAAGACGAGGTCAGCTGCTCATCAAGCTCGCTGAGATTCAAGAACGGTAACAGAGGCAGTGATTACGCACACACAGGTATTATAAGGCTGCGGACCCCACGTTCATGATACTTCATGTTTATTGATGCCAACCGGCGTTTAGGCGATCTTCAGTTATACGGATCGACCACTTCTCTTTCGAACATCATGGGATAATCTTAGATCCTCGACGGGACGGGAGATGCGGCTACCCAGGAGCGGGAGGATATGCCACGGTACATCAGGTAGCCGAGGCCTGCAGCGACATCATGTCAATGGCGTACGAATATAACGAGAATATTACGAGGAAGGGGTAAGTAAGAGCCGTAAAACCCAGCACGAGCACGTATCGAGAACGGCCGGGAGGAACATGGCTTGAATGGTGCTGATCCACGCTTACCGACACCAGGATCGACCGTTGGGTCGACACACCTTGACACATGTTCTGCCTGCGATAGCGTGCCGTCAACCCATTTCTCCTCGTATTCTTCAAAAAGCCGCAAATGTCCACAGGTAGGCGCACCGTGAAGTGCTGAGACCCAGGGGTTGGGCTGACTCCGCCTGAGCGGATGGTCTAGTTCATCGAGCTATCGTGGACGAATGCTTGACAGGTGACAGCACCTAATTCAAAGCAGGTGCAGCGTATGAGGAAGGAAGTCTCCATGCGTATGGAAGGGCTGTGAGATAGTACAGTATCAACCAGTGCCGGCGTCGGATGAAAGCAGGGGCCGTGTTCGCATAGAAATCTCCTGATGGCGATGGGACGCGATGGGCTAGCAAAGAGCCAGAGCATAGTCTAGGCAAGGACTATCAGATCCAGCGACATCAGTAAAAATGCGACTGATTGTCCGCGACTAGCACGTACACGGCCTCGTTGAGATGCGAAAGGCGCGAACAATGCGGCACTCGGGATATTCAATTCGAGCTTGGTGACGCTTCGCAGGGAGTGGACGTCTTCTCGGCAGCTCGACGTCCGTTTGCTAAGTAAACTACACAAAATTGCGGGGAAGTAGCAGGTATTGTAAGCCATGGTCAGAGGCACAAGCACTGAATCAGGCTGTAAGGAGAGGCTGATGTGCGAGGAGACTAGCCAGTGTTGTCGCGGCCCTAAATGTAGAGAACACAGCTGCGAAAATGGGAATCAGCACCGATACAGAGGATATAGCTATATATCATAACGAGGTACGAGATATGAATAAAATACGGACACAAAGCGTGAGCCAAGAGAAAACGGGGCAGACTGCCCAGAGGAGTTGGGGGCGATATCAGATGTCAGAAGGATAAAGAAAGGCACAGATTTACCCTTAGCATCACTGTCAGCATTGCACTGGTGCTTCTGCAGAACTTCTCCTGCTAAATGCGCGAAGGGCGGGGGCAGCGAGGCTAGCGAGTGTAGACGTTAGCATAGTTTGCTTGGAAATGGCGGCACCGTTTTGTGTGACGGGAGCCGCTACGGGTAGTCGGGCTGACGTAGGGAATAAAGACGCGTCTAAGCTGATGTTGGGTTCGGAAATGAGGAGACCAAGCTTGCAGAAGTAGACTGCAGTAAAAGCGAAGTGGGCGACAACAATGACGGTACGAGATGTCTAGGGGGAGGCCAAAATGCCGGAAGATCAGAATCTCTGTCTTTCAGGTCGACGGTGTTGCGCAGTACCGTGATAGCCAGCTAATGGAGCGGGGAATGCTCCTACATAGCGTTCGCGTCGACAATGGCGTGGCTGAGTCTCCCCACAAAACTTAGGAGGATTATGACTGGGCTGGCGTGCGACAGAGCATATCGTATGGTAGCCTCCCGGTGAAGATATAAAGCGACATACCATGCAATCCAAGCCCACAGTGCTGTCAGCAGCATCGGGCTCGCTGCCTGTATGCCAGAGGAGAAATAACCATGTGGCGCCCTGGCCACCCACACGGACCCGGACGCAGACAGCGTTGCGTGCTTACAAAAAGTCGTTCGAGTGGCGACATACGTGTTGAGCCAGATCGCGATGCCGGCGGCGCTGGAGACGACGATCTTCGTCACTACATCTTCCGTGATGATCTAGTCGTGAATCTGAAGGTGTTCTGTTTTGATTAGCTTGAAGATCAACGGCGTGCACGTACGGCGTGCGGCACGAGAGGGGTGACGCACACGGGGACTGTTGCACACACCGCGCACTGGCTACCTCCAAATCCGACCAAGCGACCTCATTTACATCTCCTGAGTACTCCGCCGAAAAGCGAGGATGGCGATATGGTGATCATCATGGGGTCGGTGATTGCTTCAGTAGGTTGGGGAAGTCTGTACAAGGGCACCAGCAAGCTATCGAGCTCGAACAGCGAAGCATAGCGATAAAACAAGGATATTGGCCAGGCAAAGGCGACGATGAGGGATTGGATGGCGACGGAGAAGAAAGAACGATCAGTGAGTGCGCAAAAGAGCAGTCATCCCTCAAAATGGACGCTGGCGGAGTAGGCTGTGCAACTGCTTTGTTTATACTGGAACCCAAACCAAGGCAACGTCACACTTGTACCTCAACTACAGGCCTCTACAGTGCACGGGAAGGGATAAGGGGCACTAGCGCAACCGTAGCTGCAGTATAACGATCCCTCAGCAGCCTGAGTGTCGAGACAAGAACAACGAACGCAAATCTCAAATTTCCGCGACGTAAAACCTGGACAACTGGCGATGCTCACTCGCGGCATCCCAGAGATTTTATATATGTACAGCCCAGTGGCCAGCCCACTCCCTGGGGCACTCGGGCTGAGATGTGATGAGTAACATGACGAAGCCCTGCCATCGTAGCGCGCAAGCGACACTCGTGAGATCCGCGTGCTGGGCAATGCTCTCGTCGCTTCTCGCGTGCACCTTGAGGTACACGGCGGAGACGAACCGCGAGGGCGCAGCTTGCAGAGGTGTCGCGTTCTTGTCCAGTGCATCAGCTACAATGAGGGGACATCGGTAGTAGGGCAACGCTGCAGGCAGATCTTCGCCAGCTCGCAGAGCTCTTGAACTAGCTCGCTAGGAGCACGTGCCTGTCTGGCTGTGCTGATTAGGGTCCTTGGACGGTGTAGCTATTGGCAGGGCTGGATATGATCAGTGCGGGGCATGAGTGCAGATCTGAGTGGCACTATGCATATTGTCCCATGCAGTGCGTCCTTAGCGCGCGCAAGGCGACGTGCTGAGCGCTGCGCCCTCGCGATGCAATCTTAGCGAGCTAGCACGGCGACACGAAAGTCAATCAGCGATTGCGGACAATGTCTCAGCTCGAGATTTGCTTGGCGTTAGGCCATGGATGGAGCGCAAAGGTATTCTGCACGGAATCGTTCATAGCTTTAAGTAGCGCACTGTAAAAACCAATAGCATTCCCTCTATGGTGAGCTTGTGCGCCCATAACATTTTACTGGCTGTCCTCAGCCACCAAAGCAAGGATCATCCTGCAAGGCACGCGTGTCAGGAACATGTAGCTGCGCAGGAGGAACGACAGACGCACCGGTACAAGTAGTAAAAGAAGCTCAGGAGGTAAAATCCGAGTTTGAAGAACACCTCGTTCTTCTGGTGTCCCATTGTGCGGAAGATCTCGGTTGCGTCATACATGTGGTTGCCCTTCAGCAGCCTGTGAAGACATACGTCCCACGTCAGATTGCGAATGGTAGACAAGGAACGGAGACGCACTTATTGATATTCCATGCCAGCAGAGGGGCGTTGAGTAGGAAGGCAGTCCACTGGCCCGAGAGCAGGAAGCACAACGCCAAGAACGCGTGCGCACCTCCCTCTGGTAGGGGGAACTAGACGAATTCACGGATAAGCGAGCGTGACCGCACAGTGAACAGCGTACGCACTTTGTTCATCTTGTTACAGAAGTCTATCGGGTTTATGTAGTCTGTCTCGAGATCGGAGAACATGATGATCTGCATGATTCAGCATTGTCAGACACCACAGCAGCACCATTCCAGGACATAATACATACGCAGAAAACAGATGCGAACATTAACACGGCAGCCCAGATCACCGCGAAGAGGAACAAAACCCAGCCTGCCCAGCACATGAGCAGATGAGTACATAACTTCGTCCGCGTATACCGCGTGTGTCGCGCAGCGAGGCAGACGTACCACCCATTTCTGCAAATCCGCTGACGGCAAAAACAAAGAAGATGAAGCAAGAGGTGAAAGGATCAGAAAGAGACGAGTAGGGAGCGGAGGAGGTTCAACGCCTCGTCAGACCCGCTGGAGTCGTCACACCTGGAAAGACCGCGTAACGCCCACTGCGCACGTGACTCGCCGGCAAGGTCCCTGGTCAACGGAAGTTGGATTCTGAAACTGCACGCTCTTGGAAGCCGCCTAAACACGCACGAACGACGTGTGAGGTGCCAGCAGGACGTCGAGAATAAATAGGAATATTTTAGGCTCACGTTCGGGCCGCGACGTAATGAGCATTGCACAACAGACAGCCAACTCCGTATTCAGTAACGTAAAACAGACACTGCGAAGACATGCAGGAACCAGAAAACATCGAGAGTGCGCGACAGATGATTCTAATAGATCGTAAACGTCCGCTCAAGGGCCCAAACTCCCCCTTGCGTCGCAGGTGCAGGACCTGATGTCTGGTGAATATCATCCTCGTCGTGTGCCTACGGCTCGAGGGAGTATGTTGGACGAGCAACAGCGTCTTGCCCTGACAGTGCCAGTGTCAGCCCTAAGGACATTTGGCTTATTCACCTTCGGCGATAAGTGCGAGGATCATTCTGCGCAGCGAAAGTCAGTCTCCGCAGCCAAGCGCATACATGTGCTGGCAGACGCACCGGTAAAGGTAGTAGAAGAAGCTCAGCAGGTAGAATCCGAGCTTGATGAAGCTCTCCTTCTTATGGTTGGGTAATGTGCGGAAGATTTCCGTAGCGTCATACATATGGTTTCCTAGCCGGATCCTGTGGCAAGCGGCACCAAATAAAGATACTTAGAGAAACATCTACGTCATGTGCAACGTATCACTTACTTGTTAACATTGTATGCCAATAAAGGTGCATTGAGCAGGAACGCTATCCATTGCCCCGAGAGCAGGAAGAGAAGCGTCAGGAACGCGTGCGCAATATGCTCTGGTAGGACAAACTGGTCTCAAAGTCAATACAAGATCAAAGATACAAGACTGGCGCGTTACATACTTGATTGAGCTTATTGCAGAGGTCAATTGGATTTATGTAGTCGCATTCGAGGTCGGAGAACATGATGATCTACGAGAATACTCGGATTCAGCTTGTGGGCTTATATACAAGAGAAATTGGGACGCACAAAAAAGACCATCGTAAACAGTAGACCTGCGGCCATGAGCACAGAGAAGAGGAACAACCATCCTGCGCGCAAAGCGCGAAATAAGGATCAGCTGTGGTAACACGAGTTGTATATGCGTACCTGCACCCGTCATAGTGGAAGCTCTAAAGAGATCGTAACTCTGGGAATATCGAAAGGTTGCGCGTACTTCCGAGGCCAATTGTCGTAGAGGGGAACAAAGTAGGGTGGAACGGGTCGGGGAAAGATAAATGGACGAGAGAATCCAAGAGGTGCCTCAACGGCGTCAACGCGGCTGACGTTACGCTCATGGTCACGGCGCTGACTTCATCCCGTCACGCGTAACGGCAGGGTCCTCCCGAACATCCGTCTGCAAGACGCGTCGAAAGTAAGTGTAAATCTCAGTCCCCCGTGGAGACCACGAGACTCACAACAACACAACACTGTCTAGTAAAAATGATTTCAATGGCGAAAACCCACGGCATGATCACGAGTTGCTTGGCTTTGGCTCTGAAAGCGTGCGTGCAGCGTATCCACTACGCGAATTAACCATATATCCTCTCGCCGGTGCGTGCGAGCAAGACACCTCAGAAGTTACTGTGGCAGCCAAGAGTTAGATTGGGGGCTGCACTCTCGCGCGAGTGAGGAATACAACCAACATTTCCCGATCGAGGGCAGCTTCGATGGTCGTCCGAATCAAGACATACTTAACCCAACCTGCTCGATTCGAACCACAACACCAACTTCAACTTCAACCACCACCCCCTCTGTCGTTTTCTGCATACCAGCCGCCTAACTGTTGGCACACCCTCACCTTCGTTTGTCGCTCCAATCGAGCAATTCTCGTCAGGACACCTCACATCCTGACGGCTGCCTCGACCTTCGCTCCCCCTCGTCCCTAAACAACGAGCGCGTCCACACTCTCACACACATCGCCCCGTCTCTCGCGTTTGCCATGCTCCCCGTCCAGCTGGTGGCAGTCGCCTGCATGGGCGTTGTCTACAACTGGTTCATCACTCATCCCTACGTCGCAAAGAAGGTCGTCCCCGCAAAACGGCTGCTCATCTCGGCATCGAAGCAGGCAGCAAGAAGGGTGCGAGAGCTGCTGGACAGCGTCTCGCGTCTTCGCCTCCAGAACCTCGACCCGTGGCAACCAGCACCGAGTCCACCGGCGACACTGACCACCGCGCCGTCTGTTCACGCGCTTGACGTCGCACTGCCGTCGCCGCCACCGCCACCGTCGATACCGCGGTTGAAATTCGCGCCGTCGCCACCGCTCTCGCCGTCAACACCACTGTTGGACTTTCCATTCTCATCCCGGTCCCTCGTGCCAGTATCACAAAAGCGCTTTCGTGCGCCACTACTCTCAGCAGTACCACAGCCGCGGTGCCTCGCGATCGAGAGAAACGTCACCTCGCATTCTCAACAGTGCCTGATGGTTGATCGTCTCAGTCCGCACGCCATCTCGACGGTACCGAGCTCGTGGTCGGTTCACGTGCGGGTGGAGTACAGCCCTCTTCTCGGCGCGCTTGTCGTCGTGTGTGTCGTCGTCCTGCCCTGTCTGGTGGCGATCTATCTCGTCTTTGTTCGGTTGACGCGACGGATAAGGTGGTACTCCCACAGGGTTAGCTTTGCTTGTCTTCCTATGTTCGGTGCTTTGCTTACTCGCGATTTAGAGTCTCGCCTCTACGAACAAGGATCAGGTGGCCGACTGCGAGGTTATCGAAATCAAGACAGAGGGCGCCCGTCGTCTCGAGCAAATAAGCAACTGTATCCCCGCAGAATGCGAGGTCGTCCCTGCTGCCACACCCGCTGCTTGCTACTTCACAACACAGGCCGAGCTGTTCGCCGCATGCGCGCAATCCTCGTCGTTCACCATCGACTGCTCCAGCCTGTGGGACATCCCGCCCGTGGAAGCGTATCGCAGCTTGCACTTCCGCGTCACTCCATCGGTCGCTCGATGCGCTATTGCCCAATGGGTCGCCACACTCAACATGCGCCTTCTCTTCTCAATGCACCCAACGCCATCGCACAAAATGCTTGAACGTAGAATAGCCCGTACCAGGGCGCCGCCTTCTTCGTGAGTACAGCGCCACACAACATGTCTCAGTATTAAGCTGATGAATCGATTTCTCCTAGCGTCGACTGGTCTGCGTTCAACATCGCGCAGTTCTTCCGCTGCGCTGAGCGCGTCGACTGGACTGAAGTTAACGTCGGCAAATTCTTCCGTTACGTAGAAGCAATGGACGTGTCTACCCTCAACATCGGCAAATTTTTCCGTTGTGCCGAAGCGGTCGACTGGCTTGACGTTTCTGTCGGCGCGTTTTTTCGTTGTGCGGAGCGCGTAGACTGGACCACGATCGACGTCGGCAAGTTTTTCCACCGTGCAGAGGCTGTCGACTCGTCCGACATTAACATTCGGGCGTTCTTCTGCTACGCTGAGCGCGTCGACTGGACCGAACTCAACATTGGCAAGTTTTGGCGCCAAGCAGAGGCAGTGGACGTGTGTACGCTCAACATCGGCAAATTCTTCTATTGTGCCGAAGCGGTCGACTGGCTTTATGTCGATGTCGGCGCATTCTTCCGCTGTGCGGAGCGTGTAGACTGGACCACGATCAACGTCGGCAAGTTCTTCCGCTGTGCAGAAGCCGTCGACTGGTTTGACATCGACATCCGGGCGTTCTTCCGCTGTGCTGAGCGTGTCGATTGGACCTCGATCAACGTTGGCAAATTCTTCCAATGCGCAGAGGCAGTGGACTGCTCTGTAGTCAACATCGGCAAGTTCTTCCACATCGCGGAGGCCGTCGACCCGTCCGACATCGATATCAGGGCATTCTTCAGATGCGCAGAACTCGCCGATTGGACGACATTCGACATTCCCCAATTCTTCCGCTCCGCGGAGGCTTTCGATTGGACGACTGTCAGGATCTCAGACATTTTCAAATTGCGATTCGCAGAGGCGGTCGACTGGTCTGCCTTCGACGTCGCAGATTTCTTCCTCTGTGCGGAACGTGCCGACTGGACCACCTTCAACATCGCAGAGTTCTTCATCTGTGTTGAGACTGTCTCCGAAACGGCTCCCCCCTCGTCATCCCCCGAGGACGCTCTTCCCGATGACGCCACCGCCACTCCTGTCGTTCGACTTGACATCCCAGAAGCTGCAGACCAGAGTCCACCCGAGGCGGCCATCGATCTTCCAACTGAACCGATTTCTGATGCATGTGACCACATTCCAGTTTTCCCAGGGTCGCCATTGCTTTCGGAAGAATGGTACCTGCGCAAGAAGCGGCCCGCTCAGAAGATTTCGAAACAGATGATCGTACCAACCAGACCACCGAAGGAGGCGTCGAATGGACAGTCCAGCCGTGCTCGCTTGACACTGAGGATGCAGTTGGGCGAGGCGGTTGTCTTGGCACTCGCTGATATGGCGAGGGAACCCGAGAGCGATGAGGATCGCATCGATGAGGTCGACAACGAGCGCGAGGACGAGGATATGGGCAAGAACGAACAGAAGACCAACGACAAGACCGGAAACGATGTGTTGCGCGAATGGAATGTCGAGGGGAAGGAGACGTCGTTGGAGGCACACGTAGAAGACAAGACGAACGACGCCGCTCAACATCACCCGCCGCCTGGTCCGACTTTAGATATGACTACAGAGCCACATCCACCATCCTATGCGACCGTAGCCACGACGAGCATTAATGCCAATGCGGACCAGAATGCACAGACGGAGAACAAGCCGAACCGCAAACCGAGACGCCGAGGCGGAATGTCCGCGAGGGTGGCCAAGAAGAAGGCACTAGAGCAGCAGCAGCAAAGGGACGAGTCCGCGTCCGACCAATATGCAGCTCGCCGACACGACATCCTCAGCGGAGAAGTGACCCACCGTATATCTGGCGCCTGGCTCATTCCGGAAGCCTCCCCGGACATCTGGGCGCGTACGTATCCCCCGCACGTCGCCCAGAGCTACCCGTCGCCGCCGTCGGGGACGAAGCCAAACAAGAAGTCCGACGCGCTGCGCCAGAGACGACACGGTCGAGTGAAGCCGTTCCTGGGCAAGGTGCAATACCCGACGAGGCCTGTCATCGTCCTCGGCCACGACATGCGGTATGCCAGCGATGTGCGAGCCCAGTGCAGTGAGGAAAGGAGGGCGCGGAGCACGGTGATGGACAAGAGGCGAGAGAGGTGCAAGGAATCGGAGTACATTGACCATCTCCTGGTTCCGCTGAAGCCCAAGATCGGGGACGTCTCGCCTGAGCTAATGGCGATTGTGGCAGAGTACGAGGAGGCGGAGGCAGCTAAAGCCGCAGCAGCAGCGGACCCGTCACAAGTTGGTCCCCCGCCTTCGCCCGCGGTCCGCCCAGAAAACGCCGGTCAGCATACAACTGCCCAACCCACTGCTTCGTCGTCGCGCACACCAGCTGAAAACCAGACGCCCAACCTCCAATCTGGTGCCCTCCAGAGTCCGACGACACCGACGACGGGCATTCCTCACACCGAGTCTCCAGACTCTTCTGGCACAGCTCATTTCCACGAGGTGCGCAACTAAAATATTTATAATGCTTTGAACATGCTTAGACCTATTATTGTGCAGGATACAGCAACCGCGCCCTTCGCACACGACGGGTCAACTTCGCCGCAGGCTCAAAGCGTTTTTGTTTCTCCATTCTCGGCCACTGCGACTCCGACAACTGTGGTTCCAGTACTTACATCTTCAGCTGACTTCGCCGACGGTCGCCCGTCGTTGGTGACGGACCTCTCACCGACGTCGCTGACCGCTTCGCTGTTCACTCCAGGTTGCACGTCTTCCCAGGATACAGCCTCATCAACCTCGACCATGACCGAAACTTCGCCCTTACTTGACTCACCAGACGACTCGACCACGCCGGCCACGACCACGTCATTTGCTCTTCCGTCGACCGACATGTGAGGCTGCTCTCTACTGCTTCGTCTCCTCGCCGCAGCACATCTCGCCTATTCCCACCCTCACCCAGTTGCCCTCTATAACTCCACAAAACTACCCGTCATTGCCATTGTTCTCTTTCGTATTTTGTCCGCTCTCAACCACTACCACCACCAGCAGGCACTTCGATGACATGAAGACGACACTCCCACTCGCTGGGAGGGACGGCGGAGCCCCTTCGCGTCGTTCCCTTGACTCGAGACTGATCCCTACAGATACGTGCGGCGTGATGCCAGCACATCTATAGTCAGTCGACGGTCATGGGTCCGGACCGGCTCGGCACCGTGACGTTCAAATCGTCTGCGTCGTCTTTGTTAATCGTCGTTCGTTCTGCCTCGCCTTTCGTTTTCGACATACCCTCTTTTAATTTTGCCTATCCTCGCGGTTAGACCCCTTTCATCTTCGCGTGGTGGCCTTGGCGGCACACACATCGTTCTATCACCGGCACTGGGACGTCCTATCAGCATATCCATCCTTTCCTCGTTGCGGCGGCGGCGGCATATCTGGCTCTCTCTCGGTCTCCAATTTGATTCTTCGCGAACGTGCATGGTCGGTTGTCCATCCCGCCTGGGACTCTGGTCACCTTCGGTCTCAGTCTCGGTCTCAGTCTCAATCTCGGTCTCAGGTCTCGGTCTCGGTCTACCCTGGGTTGTCTCTCTCTGCGTACTTTGGCCACTCTTCTTTGCCTCTGGTCTCGTCCATGGTTCGTCACTCGCTTGGGCTTCTGAAAGGGACCGCCAATTACAGTATAACTTGTCTTGCAGCTTGGATCTCGGCTCCAATCTTAAGGTTACGGCCTGTTTCGACAGTTTTTTCTCTTGGACTTCTTTCCTCTCACATAATGATCGCTTGGCAGTGCTCCTAGATAGCTGCTTCCCGTCTCTCTTTCCCCTTAATTTGTAGCGAATTTATTACCGGGCCTCTGAGATTCTGTAAGAACATACTAATAGACTATTATTCAACATACTGCGACAGTGTGCTTCTTGGGATCAATGCTGGCGTCCGGTAAGTGGCGGCCAGGCAGATGGAGGGATTGGGCTGGTGTATGCATGAAAGGTGGCACCATTAACTATTTCCACGATAAGAACTCGATACCACATTGTTGCGATTGCCACCACCATGAGACATAGCGAAGTAGTACAGCATAACAATAAGTATATCGCAAAACGTTGGTACAAGACCATAGGCGAGCAACAAACACTAAGCGGAAATACAAGATACGACGCTGCAAACGCGAATTATCTCGACAAGGCCTTCGTGTCATCGTCGTAGATGATTTTCGCCGGCCCTCTGGAGGGTATCACAATTAATCCAAGTATCCACTTCACGATGAACACGCGTACCTCTTCTCTTTACCCTGTGAATAATAGTCAGTATCAAGTCACCAAATAGATATCGATCGCCACTTACATTCTCCACCCAGCTTATTTGCGCCTTAAACTCGGTCAAGCCGCAGAGGAGAACAACTTTGAAGTCCAGAGTATGGTATGTGTTCCCTCCGCGCTTCTTCCTCTCCTTTTTCACCTTAGTCGTATCAGCGGAGACGGTGCACAGCGTTGAGAACCTCTCTGGTATGTGGTCAGCATCCTGTCGGGTCGTACATACAGAGGAATGTCCCAGTACCAGGTTCAGCATCTGTCCACTTCGGATTCTTCACGCTGCCACGGTAGCAGACTATTGTGGTGGAGATCTTGTTGAGTGCGGTGATGGACGACGCCTCCTTGTAGAAGCACTGCGAACATACTTCGTCTTGCTCGCGCAGGCTCGTTCCCTAGCATCAGCACATCAGCGCTGCCGCCATCCATGTTGTGTTCTGTGCAGTAGCCAGTTTACCTTAGCGAGGATCAGGTTGAACGCATTAGGAATGACCATCCGGCCAGACGGACGCATGTACGCCTTGCCGCGGCGCTTGATGTGGTCGCTATCCTGCGGATTGTACTCGATGACACAGGTCGTGCCATATGTGAGGCGTGCCACCCGCACGGAGACAAAGTGCTCGAGAAAAAACCATACTGCGCCTTCTGCGACGGCCTTGTTGCTAGAGATAGAAATTGAGTTCGCTTCGCAGGAGAGGAAAGACAGAGTCGAACTTACCTATGGTTTTCCGGGCGGCAGACTGCGATGCTAGAGTCCTTGAGGGCTCGTTGCAGGCTCACATAAAGCCAGGGACTGGAGGCAAAACCTCCGACGAGGAAGACAGTCTGAAAATCGTGATGAGTCAGGTCTAACTGTGATGTGGGCAGCTACGGCTTGACAAACCGATATAGCCTTGCTCGACGCGAGTCGCTGGGCATGGATTGCGTCGATAGTCCTTGCTATTGATGGAGCAAAGAACGCGGCTAGCTCGTGCCTATAGCAAGAGTGAGCAAGAAGCCAAGAGGATAAGATAATAGCAAGCTTACCCTTCAAGCACCAACTGGCCGCTCTTAATGCCGAATTCGGGATCTTTATCGCGTGTGGAACCGAATCTAATCCATGATCTGTCCTGATCACTCCTAAATGTCGGCTTTGCGATGGTCTCGAAAGAATCTATCATGCATGTGATGTCTTCGCTATTACCGTACTGAGACTTTGCAAGTTTCGCCGTCAAAAAAGTTTTCGCTCTGTCGTTCACTTGCGCTGATCCTTCTACGATACCTGTGTAGTAAATCTAGATAAATGACTGAGGGGACAGTGGGGAGAGCTTACAATCCGGAGGAGCAACTTCCTCCATTACAATTGGAGCTGAAGTCACGAAGGTATAGGTGGTCAAGTCAATTGTGCCACCACCGGCATCAACGACAATCACCGTCTCGCCATCCTGTGAATCACCCCGATGAGCAAGCGCTTGCACAAGATGGAAAGACGAACTTTCAAGACGTGCGTGGCAAGACCTCGCTCTATGCAGAAATGCATGCTCGCCTCTCCTTCGGTCACGAAGTGCACTCGAGCGTGCCCTTCCGCATTGTCAGGTACCAGTCCCGCCATGATAGCTGCCCGCCTCATTTTGGCTTGCTGGGATCCCTCCCAACCGTTAGGATGTCCTAGAACAACCTCGATGCGGTCTACGACTGAATTCCATATGCTTTCGCCCGTGAGGGTGCTCTCGATAATATAAGTTCTTGTGCAAGAGAGCAGATAGCGCAGCATGTCTGCAAAGATCGAGATAACGTCCTTTCCAAGTGGAAGAGGTCGGAGGCGCTGGCGAAGCTCCTCAGTTTTTAAGGCTTCTGGACAAAGGTGCAGCTTCCACCTAGCAATCCCAACGTTGTTATGCTTAAGCTTTGACAGATACGTTATATGGGAAGAGCACGTACCATTCCACTTTTACAAGGTCCCGATCCTCGGCCTCTAGCCTCATTGAGGGAGATGCAGCCTCTGCGCCTGCCGCGAAAACAGTTCCATCTTTGCTGTAGTACAATATAGATGGGACCTTCGCCGCTCCACTCTCCTGACCGGGGTATCTGCGTTTTAAAATATGCATTCTACTCATTGACTAGTTGGGGCTTTGACACATACCTGGTCACGGTATGGACCCTTGGGACTTCTTTGGGGTCCAAGATGGCGTAGCTGACGCCACTGAAAGTCGTGCCCACATCAATTGCCAAGACGAGGGATCTGGCAGTACCGGCGTATGCTGTATTACAGGGCATAGCAGGGCGATTAGGCTTGGTCGGGTAATGGCGGTGAGACCTGAGGATGAGGGTAGACTGAAGGAAAAACTTGGACCAACCTTGCGAACTTTTGAGATCACGAGATCCAGGATGTCTGTGGTGGGGAATTCCCTTCCTTGGCTGGGGCACTCCTCGTTCAGGAATCTGATAGCCTCATGCGAACGAGCTGTCGGTTGATCCCGGGCGGTGCGCAGCCCGTATAAGCATCCCATTCTTCAAATGTGAGGTAAACCAGCTGGCTATAACGTGGCAAGACAACACGCTGGGGTTAGGGAGGTCTAGGTATTGGACGCGTCAGCTTCAACGTCTTCGCCCTCGACCAACCCTGCCTCCACAACATGCGCTATCCGTCGTTTGCTCGCGCTCAAGCGGTTGATATCACCGTTCTCGAACTCGCCACCCCTGCAATACCCTGCGACGGCGGGAGCATGGAGGGGAGCGGGCTTGGTGCGGAGAGAGTCGCCAATGGCGCCGAAGACGAACTGCCCCAGCCTGACCCTGTGGAAGACGGACAACCTCGCGATCAGGCGACGGGACGTAGGGGGGTCGGCGGTGGGCCGGTGCGGCGGTTCCTAGGAGAGGCGATGGCGAGGCAAGGCAACAACGATCGAAGGCTGCCCCGTCGAGGACACCAGCAGGCGAGTGTCGAGGGGCGTTCTGGAGAAACGGAATCAAAGCGCGAGCTCGAGGCCTTGCGCAAAGAACTCGAGGAAATTAAGGACTTGCTCCGTATCCGAAGCGACGAGCTGCGCGGCATACAGTCCTTCTTGGATACGACGGACAAAACCTCGCTGGCAGACGTTCGCCGAACGGTCGAGCGCTTGAATGCTGAGAGCTTCCAGCTTGCAGCCACGCTCGCGAACAGTTGCCAGTATAGCCCAAGGGACCGCGCTCATTCGCACAAGGAGGAAACGCGAGCTAGGTTGAAGTTGGAGAGCGTGCTAGGAAAGAGGATGCTGGGGATGTTGAGAGTGGTGAAGCACTGCGAGGACCCCCATTGCGTTCAGCTGGCATTGCAGGCGTGCCTCGCCTCGCACGCCGCTCGCTTGAGCACACAATGGCACACAAATGTCACCGAGGATACGCGTGTTCTTCAGACCGTCTACGACAAAATTCGTGGATCGGGTGAGTCGTGTATACTAACGTTTAGGGGATATAGTCTTACCTTTAAACCCTGCAGAATGTCCACCAGTAAGCCGTCGCTGGCGAGCATTGAGCTACAAGTTCGGTGCACAGAACTTTGAAGCTCCTGAGCGATCATCAGCTACCTCGAACATCGCTGCAGAACTTGCCGACGTACTATTCTTCTCAGGCGCCGACATGGCTCTCCCGGACATTCACACCTTGGTGCTGGAACGAGTCTCCGCCAAACTTGAGGCACTGCTGGAGATCGTAGACTCGCTACAGAAGATATTCTACGAAGATGTCGTCTCGTGCGAGCTTAGGCTTGGCCTACCGCGATGCGGTCAACGGTTCGACCCAGAAAGTATGGACGATATCAGCGCCGAAACAAACAGTGCGTCGGGGTCACGCCTGGAGGTATTGTGCGCGACAGAGGTCGGCTTGGCCAGTCAAGATAAAGCGTCCGACGACAACTCAACCGTTTTGCTCAAAGCGAAGGTCGCTTCGGAAGCCATAGTCAACGAAATACTTCAAGCTGGGACCAAACAGAGATGCTCTTGTGAGTCTAGATTTCCTGCTAACTTTATCACGCTCACCGAGAACAAGCCTCGTTCCACGCGAGAACTCATTTCGGCAGCCGCAATGGAAATCGCCACTGTCAGAGAAAACAGCACCAGAGGGACTAGACCAAGGGGTTGTTGCGGCGTTATCTCATACCCTATAGAGAGGAGGCGTGAGTGCCATCATGGTTGGCCCTATTCGACGGCTCCAGGCTCATTCGCCTGCGTGGTCCCAGACGCAAGGGTTGAGTCTGTCGTTCGCACACCGTTCGAGCCCTGCTGAGACATGGTTCCTTGTGAGAAAAATATACATACGATATCATTGTACTGAGAGGCTATCATTCACGATTCTTGAGATCACCGAACGACCAACGCGTTTGGGGCGTGACATCGGAGGCGAGGATCGTCCAAGGCCAGATCGTTGCGGATCTATTGCTGTTCGCCCCAATGTTCGTGTGACATTTCGCACGCGTATGGGCAAGGCTTTGAGCCCGTCGTTCTCGCATGGCCAGCAGTGGACCGCGGTAAGGAGTCTTCAGGGTCCCCACTGGCGAATGCGACAGCTGATCATGACGCGACGCCGCAGCAGGAGCCGGCACCGCCCGGTCGGAGCCCGAAATCCTCCCGGGCAACACGAAGCGCCAAAAGCGCACATTTTTCTTTTTCCTCAACCCACCGCGTCGGCGAAGAACCGCTATCGCAGCTCACGCACAGAAATCGGCCGCGCGCCGTCTCGCACTCAGCTGCGGGGAAAGTCCCCGGAGGACGGCCGAGCGCGCGCATGCGGTCCCGAGTCCGCGGCAGACCCCCGCCTCTAAGCTCGGCGGGCCCGGACGCTCCACATCGGGATGGGCGGGCGCGCTTTGCTCCCTCCTGTCGTCTACCCCCCTCCGTGGGCGGGCGGGCGCGGGAGGAGCTCGCCCCAGGGCCCCGCTCGGCCGACTCGTCGTGCCCGCAACGGACGCGCTCACCCCAAAGGCGGCGGGGACGCGAAGACACGAGCGTCCCTGTTCTGCTGGGCGTGTTTCCTCGCGGGCGGAGCCACGGTTACTCATAGACACAGTTATGCGGTTGCGCCGCCAAAGGCGTAAACACAATGGGGCTTACTCTCGCCCGACGCGGTGTCCATATTTTGCTTTATTTTTTGCTTCCTTCGAGCGGTTCGTCCGCTCTGTTCTGCGCCGAGAGGCCTGTTTTGGGTGAGTGTCATGCTCTTCCGCTCGTCTTCTTAGTGATGCTTCAATTTCTATTGAATTTCTTCAGGGAGTATACCTTGTACAGCTTCTACGGAGGCTGTTTGAGGGCGTGCTCCAGACTTCGACACCCTGAATGTTTTATGTCTATATGCATATAGCCTTGCTGACCACGCTTTTCACAGGATTACTATGCACTATGTAAGTGAACAGTGAGCCGGGCAAAACCACCTGTCCTTGTCCAGTGTTACTATACGTGCCCAATACACTTCGTTCCACTTCTCGTTGGTCGCCTCTGAAGTGCAAGAACATGTGTTGTAGTTAGCATGAACGAAAGAGTACTCTACGAAGACCATGATACAGTGCGAAAGCCAGCATATTATATGAATACAGTCACGTTGCGAAATAAGCTCTATCCGAACTAGTCCCTGAGAAGCATACCGCAGTACTGAGTTGCTCATCGCTCCTTTCTTCGACCTTCGCCATCGTCTTCTTCACCGCCAGTCCACACCCTCCAGATTTTGCGCGTGACATTCCGCGCCAGGACATAGGGCTGGTCGCTCTTTGCCTTCTCCCAGAGCATGCCGGCGAACTTGAATTGGCTCCCAGATGCCAAGCTCTCGTGTGTCAGCTTCATGACCTTGTTCGTTGGTGCGAGAAGGTTCGCTAGGTATGTATTGATTGGAGGTAGCGGAAGAGGTATGGGGACTAGCAACGTTGACGAGGTTGTGTCAGGGAAGGGTGGGTTCGGTAGTGTTGGTAGTGAATCTTCAGAGACGAAAGTTACGTTCGTCGCCGACGGCGCAGTGTCTCCATGTCCTTGGCTAGGAGACTCGGGGTGAGATTCAGGGTGGGACTCGGGCTGGCTATGATTCTCTTCGTGAGGAGGGTGCCCATCTCCGCTGACTGGAGAGACCGCCGCCATTTGTTGCGCCCGCTCCCACTCCTGGTTGACGTCGTGCTTCATCCTTGCCCATTCTGCCTGCCTCTCGAGGTCCGTCATCATCCCGTCCATCTTCTCCTGCACCGCCCACTTGTTCTTCGTCAACCACACATACCAGCCCGCCTTCCATACCTCTGGGTCGGTCTCCTGCGCCTTCGCGCCGCTGCGAATCGCCTGGCTCTCGTGCTGAACATCGTTCACGATGTTCTTCCAGCCCTTGTTCCCCATCGGGTCGTAGTCGTCTAGATCATCCACCTCCGTGTCGTCTGCACCGCTGTCGCCCACGCGCTGCTTGCCGGTGAGCCAAGAGGGCAGCCGCTGGCCCTCTGGCGGCAAAGGTACCCTTGTATCGCCCTCGACCTCCTTCTCCATAAGGCCCTGCGGCGTCGACTCGACGATACGCATCACCTTGCGAACTTCATGAGGGAAGACTTTGCGAATGCATATCGAGCGGCACCAGGGTTCTTGGCCTTGCGCACGGCCGCGCGCCGATTGCGAGCAGTATGTGAAGCAGCGTTCGTCCGTCTTGTACGAATGGGCTCCTGCAGCAGTACACGATAGGAGTGGCCAGTCAGTACTTCACATTGTGCAACGTAAACGAGCGTCGACGCACCTTTGGGTGGGATCAGGATACGGATGCTAGGAAGTTTGTTCCAGTAAAACCAGTCCTGGTTCGGTCGCTTCGCTGAGGACGACGGCGATGCGCCCGGTTCTGAGGGTTGCGTTGCGCCTGACATTGCTGCTTAGGCCAGCTGCGGTTTGGTACGGCGACGGCTATCGATCTGCAAAGTGCTGTGATAGAGTATATAGCACAGAGATGGAGTTAAAGAGTGTGTAGATGCTCAATGGGGGTCAGTGCGGGGAGGGAAGAGAAGAGGATGTGAGTGGAAAGTATAGGTGGTGGTCAGAGTCTAGGCCAAGTCAGCATCCAAATACGCCAATCGCGCGCCAATTATAAGCGCTCTTCTAGGAGGAAGACCCCAGAAACCACCGAACGTCAGACATCAGTAAAGTCCCTAGGATAGCAGTATTGAACAAGGCTTCGTCACACAGTAGATTACAAACAATAGAAGCAACGCATAGTAACGTAGGACTGAATCATCAGATATATCCAGATATCGCACAGCGATGGATCAAACTACCGTCACCGGGACGCCTTGTTTGTAAACCGCGAGTCCCACAGTCATGGACTTCGCCACCTGCCGACAATCCTCGCTTCGCATCTGGTTCAGGCAGCTCATAATTTGCGTAAGTTGAGCGCTGATATCAGTGTAATGACCATCCATCTTAACACCAATTTGGTTCACTATACCATTACGAGTTGTCAGCTGTCAACTACATTGACGAACGTGCGAAAACAGACCGTCATTGTCCAGCTCGCCAAGGTTCTTGACCACCTCAAAAGTAGCACGAAGGGCGCATAGTTGACTTTTGCACTTTTTGACACGCGTCAAGAAGTCATGTGCGCAAGAGGGCTTCACTGTGGAGGGATGAGTTCGCAGAAACACATGGACCTGCAAAGACCCACGAATAAACGACGTGCGGCTCCACTTGTCCATCAATGAAGCGCTTTCCATGACCAGAAGAATGATGTTTTGTATACAGCTTTCTGTCTGCTTCGAGCCTTTGTATTTGTTCGCATCGTTCAGGAGGTCCCTCATGGCTCTAGCAAGCGACTTGATCTCTTCATCGACCCGCGCATGTGCTGTGAGAGTCTATGTGTGATTTCATCAGCAAGACTCGTTCATGATAAACACAAACACATACGTTGTAGACAGCTGCAAGGAGCACAGTAGCAAACTTGAGGATAGGATGCGCCTACACGATGTCAATATTCAGGCCACGCCTTCAAAACCAAGAGACGTACACTGGCCAGGTGTTCCCCAAGGTCTCCGAGCATCTGAATGCTTTCTACCACGGCCCGTAAAAAATCGGCGGCGTTCCTCTGATTTTCCGCGGAGGATAAACGACGCTTCGCGGCCTCTAAGCCATGTGATAAGTAGTTGCAGTCCAAGTCAGCGTTCATCCGAACGGCGATGCGACTGTCGGGACTATCACCCGAGGCCAGTTTGTGGCGTTCTGTCGGAGTCGGGAGTCAGTCCAAGTGCACATAGGAAATTCACTCACCATCGTATCTGCCGAGGAAGATATGAAGAGGAGCTTCGAACTCTCCGAGAACTTGTTTACCACGGACTTTGCCATCACGGCAGACAGCGAACTTTACAAACGACGAGGGGTGGGCTGGACTGAGTATAACAGACTTCAGTCTGTTTGTCCTCCTAATCGTAGTCATAATGCTCACCATTTGAACGGCTCCGGCAAACGCCACAGAGGATCGTTTTCATGATCACCAGCGGCTCCGCTAGTATAGACTTCCTTCCCGTCGATAGACATGGTAAAGTACGCATGAAGGGATCGCCAGCAGTGCCTCTCTCGAAGGGAAGAGACCTGCACCTCTGGTGGCAGCGGAATGTAAGCACGTGTGTACACTTCAAAGACTTGCTTGCCGTCTAACCTTCGAGAGTGACGATCACGAGTTCTGCACCATAGCCTACTGGCGCAAGGGCAACATTATTCATCTGCTGAATCACCTTGGCACTAAAGATGACGGTCAACTACGGCCAAGAGCCGCAAGGTATGAGACGTACATTTGAGGCTTTTCTTGTTCCCTTATCATCTTAGAGAGGACTAAGACCTAGGCGATGGTTCAGCACTATGGATCCAACCACTATATATGCCCTGACGAGACTCCAGCCTCGAGGTGAGCGATGCTGCGCCAGATGGAGATACCACGCTCGATAGTATCCAACAGCTCATGACGAGTCAAGACCCTAGTCGTCGCGTCCACGAAATGGCAACCCTATCTAATCAGTGATCCGTCGACGCGCAGGGATACCATAGGCTGAAGATGGAGAGATTGCCAGAAACTGTTTCAAAGCCGCTCATATTTGTGGGAACAGATGGATATGTCAGAAATGACTGGTGGCACACGCAGAAACTCGGCTACAGGCTCGCGGAGCGTCATGATGTGGCGTAAATGCCTTGCACTGCTAAACGCCCGGATCTTAACAATGTCCTCATCAGCGAAAGGCGCCCCGAGTCCAATACAGTTGGGCAAGTACTTACCCACAACTTAGGTAATTTGGCGGATGAGCAAGCGAGTGCACGACGAGGGAACGGCTCTCGATAGCGTACCAGCTGCGACGCCGATGCATATGGAGACATCGTTTACATTTGCAGAAACGAGTAGAACATTCAGCGTTCGTGGACCTAACTTCTGGTCAACATGCCCCGAGCTCAACGGCCTTCATCACATCACTCATGTGAAACTTCTGCCTATTGTGCCTGCATCTCGCAGGCACGTTGTATCCGGCAGGCGGGCTGCAGCCCCCTCTTCTCCGCTCTGCAAGGCTGTGGAGAACGGGATCTTTTAGAAGAAACGCCAGTGGCTTGGTTGTGCTCACGGAATTGAACGATACGTACGACACCAATGGTCATCTCTGTATATTTGGCTTTCTGCCGGTCAGATCCAGGGTCAATTCTGCTAATGTGAGTGGGAGCAGCAATGTCGACCGGTGTCGGACGTGACGTCTTGAGGGAGCGGGTCCTGCAGAACCTCAGGCGCCTTCGCCAGCCGGATGAGTTCGTCCATCGTGCCAACTTTCTTCGCAGAGAGCAGCTCAGATGATTCCGTGTCAACATCGAGTGCGTATGCATTGACCCACCCCTGTTCAACGTGGGTGCCTACGGCGAAGTAACAAGGAGACACACCGGGCGGCAAACATGCATGCTTCTTGTTGGTGGAAGGGCCCGCTCTAGCGATAAGTAGAGACGGAAGCCTTACCCAAAGGCCCGATATCGTAGGGTGAGGCATATAGGATCCCAATGGCACGTTCTGCTGGTACGCGTCATCCCTCGGGTCACTACCCACCAAGGATTCGAGGCAGGCCATTCGCAAGGCTATACTGAGTACGGCGGCAACGAGGACGCTTCCTCTGCTCCGGACGCTAGCGGAGACAGTACTTCGGAGGATCCTGTGGTGATTCGCGCAGGATACTAGGAAAGCAGGACAGAGATCTGATTTCATTTAGGTGTCGCAGCCCAGGGACACGTGTATCTGGAAAACTCTCAGTCAGTCATTGAGCGAATGGAACGATAAAGCATCACGCCACTCTACATGGCAATGAGGAAACCTCATGTCACGCCCTGGGACCTTTCTTCACAATTCCAGGTAAACTTCGAAGTCTTGAATTAGAAGTACCGCACATTATACGCTTCCAACGATGTAGCTTTTGCATGTGGAACTCCCTGCTAAGACGGCTCATGGGCAGCCACGGAAGCGAGGCATTGGTCTCGACGAGCAGACGTTGGGCATATTCCACCCCCTTTCTTAACGTCCGGCGCGAAGGTCCTGGCAACGCTGCACTAGCAAATCTTACTACGCACAAAATGCTGTCGGAAAACTGCTCATAACCTGCGCCCAGCCGGTACTCATCAAATGGGACGAGCGCAACACAACGTATGTGAAACATCTCACCGGGTCCAAAGGCTATGGTAGGCAGGTCGAATTGATGTGAGCGAAGAAGATCAGCGAGTGGTATTGGCCGTTGATGCTGCAGAGACGTGCCTCTTTGAGCCTCATCCCGCCAGCCCCGGGATAATACTGCCGCACGGGGCAGCGACGTCGCTGTATCTTAGGGGATCCCCGAACATTGGCAATGCAGCAAGTACCCATAACCGCTGAATTCGAAGACTCCTACTGGCATGTAGAAGAGGAGCTGGGCATAGGTCGTCGTACGAGGTGGAACAATAGCCTCGGTTCCAGGGTGCGGCAGGGTGCAGCGTTAACAAACCATTTGTAATGGCTGATTAACGGACTTTGAAAGTTCTGTTGCTCTATAGCGCCCCTGCAAAGGAAATTTAAAACTCCGAAAACTCCTATTACAATTCTCTAATAGCGGATCGACCGAGACTAGTGTAGAACAAGATGAAGAGGCGCGCGGCGTCACACTTTCTCTAATACTGCCGGCGTCCTGGATATTTATCACGGTCCTTTAAAGTTCACATTCTTGGACGATCCGCAGCTTGTTCCGCCGCGACAGCTGCCAGTGTAACGTCCGCGGCCGGCAAGTGGCCGGCACCGCCACGGGATGCTTTACACTGTAGGAGATGAGCGGAAGTAACAGGAAATTTGTGGTCGATCAGGGGCAGAAAGCATGCGAGAGATCAAATATCTCGGCAGCGGGTCGTTGCCGCCTGCGGCGTCCGACAACACAACGACCTGTATATACTCAGTAGCACTTCGTTGCAATACTCTTTGCGCAAAGGTGCGCTCAAACGATGTGTAAGGCTCGCGCTACGTAACACCGATTCTGAAACACTTGGATTGCTCGCATAGTCGCCGTAAATGCGAAGTGTCTCATGCACAGTTACCCGAGGGGGGCCCAGATTCAGCGCTGCCTGTGTATCGTATGCATGATATGCGCCCTTCCCTTTCTCTTTATAAAGCAGTTGTCCGGGCGATCTGCCTTTTTTATTCCCACTCGATAACCCCCAGCCATGAAGATCTACACCTCGCCTTACCCGCCTGTTCCGCTCGTGCACGAGTCCGTCTTCACGAATCTTTTCCGGACCCATTTCAACGAGCACCCGCCCGACGCGCCCGCATTCATCGACGCCGCGACAGGTTTCACGATCACCCGTGCCGGGACGTGCGACCTCTCGCTCTCTTTCGCCCACGGACTCCGGCATGCGTTCAGCGAGCTGGGCGGCGTCCCGCTCGCGCGCGGGGACGTTGTCATGGTGTTCTCGCCCAACTCCATCGCCTGGGCGCCCATGATGTTCGGCGGCTGGGCCGCCGGGCTGCGTCTGACCCTCGCGAACAGCTCCTACACGCCGCGCGAGGTGGCGCACCAGTGGAAGGACAGCGGGGCAAAGACTGTGCTCGTTCATCCTGCTCTGCTGCCCGTCGTCCTCGACGCGTTCAAGCTTGTGCATGTGGACACCTCGGAGGCGCGACGCAGAATTGTCGTTATAGATTGGCAGACGAGTCATGGTTCGGCGCGCCCTGGGGAGTTTATTTGCATGACCGACTTGATGGATAAAGGTCGGCTGTCCGAGGAGGAAAAGTTTCTGGGGGAGCAGGCGCACGAGACTACGCTGCTCTGCTATTCTTCTGGAACTACGGGTAAGCCGAAGGGCGTGGAGGTGAGTAAATTCGGTCTTTGACTCGGTGGAGAGAGCTTAACAGATACTATGCAAGACCACACACCACAACCTCACGTCTATGTTCGATATGGCTGCGATTACGTTCCCGAAATTGAGTAACCCGAACCCTAGGATGCTGGCCATGCTACCCTTGTATCACATCTATGGTATGAGAAGTCTTGTCGCTGAAGTACCACATACGCTGATTGGTTCGTGCTCTAGGCATTATCAAGTTGTTGGGATGCCAACTTCATCGTGGCGTCCCTCTCGTCATCATGGAAAAATTCGAACCTGTGGCGTTCTGCCGCGCAATTCAGGACCATAAGGTGACCCAGGCTTTCATCGTGCCTCCTGTCTGTGTAGTGCTTTCGCAGCATCCTGGTGCGTCTGTCTGTTGACCTGTCAGACTAACGTTGAGCTTACCTAGAGGCTAGCGGTTGAACAGTTCAACTTGACAAGTTTGGAGTGGCTATTATGTGCTGCTGCCCCCTTAAGCCAGCAGCTGTTAATGATGACCAATGACCGCTTGCACTCTGTCGGAGCAAGAGTGAGCATCACTCAAGGTAAATGCAGCGTCCATCTATTATCTTCATGCAGGAGCTAAACGCTGCGCAGGATATGGACTCACCGAGACCTCGCCTACTCTGACGTTTCAAGATACCGATTCCTACTTGCGGAAGGCCGGCAGTGTTGGATCGCTTCTGCCAAACCTCGAAGCCCGCCTAGTGGTCGATGATACCCGTGATGCAGCAGAAGGCGAAGCTGGTGAGCTATGGGTTCGAGGACCAACGGTTTTCAAGGTTTGTACTATACCTTTCACATAAATCCACGCCATGTTCACTTCAACAGGGATATCTGAACAAACCAGAGGCGACTAGGAATGCCATTACACCGGAAGGCTGGTTCAAGACAGGTGACATCGCCATCCGGGACTCGGAGGGATACTACACCATCGTCGACAGGCTAAAGGAACTAATCAAGTACAAGGTGGGCAATGCTGCTTACGAGATAGAGGAAAGCCGTTATCAACTTCGTGCACTCAGGGCTTCCAAGTCCCGCCTGCTGAACTAGAGGGCGTGCTGATAGAGCATCCGGATATCGCGGATGCCGGCGTTGTAGGCGTTTACTCTGATGTGGAGGCGACGGAGCTCCCAAGGCAAGTTGCGATACGTGACTGTCAGTGTCTCGGGTGCACCGCTTACCGGGACTGTAGAGCATACGTCGTCCCTGCTCGCAAGTTGACACCTGGGGAAAAGAAAGAATTTGCAGAGAGTGTAGAGAAGTGGGTCAGGAGCAAGCTTGCACGACACAAGTACTTGCGGGGCGGTAAGTGCTTGCTTCTTCGTTATCACCGCAGCTCACGCTCGAGCTCAAACACAGGCGTGATCGTCGTCGATGCGATACCCAAAAGGCAAGTTCTCATTTTTCACAGGCTTATGAGTGTCTAGACTGACTTCCACTATCTCCTTCAGTCCTGCAGGGAAGATTCTGCGGCGGGAGTTGCGCGAGCAGGCGAGAAAAAAAATGGCCCAATCACGAGCGCTAAATGCAAAGCTGTGAACTTCGTGCTTCTTTTGGCAACGTTGCGCCCCCGACCCGGGACGAGCGCGCCCCCACAATCGCCACGACCCCGAATTCGCGACCATGGTGGAGGCCTGTGTAGGACTACATTACTCGATCCCTATCTGACGTTACATAATGTCGCTATAATACCTATTGGAATAACGCATGCAATCTTGTATTCGTCTTATCGAAGCCACGCCGACATTCCTATACATTTCCTAAATACTTCATGCGTCGCTTTGTTCCTTAACGCCACCGACGAGTATTTCTTCGCGAATCTGTTTCGGTCGAGAATCATGTGCATCCTAGCGGCGCACTTATACGTGAGCATTCCTGAATGTCCCCTTCGCACCACACCTGCCTCTCGCCCTCCTCACCACCATGAAGATCTACGCTTCCCCGCATGCTCCCGCCCCCGTGCGGGACGAGTCTATCTACACCAACCTCGCTGTGACACGCTTTAACGATTTCCCAGCAGAGCAACCCGCGTTCATCGATGCCGCGACGGGTAGGGTAATCTCCAGAGAGGACTGGCACCATCTCACCCACCAGATGGCCTGGGGCCTCCGCAGCGGGTTCGCGCGACTCGGCGGCGTCGGGTCCCTCGAGCGTGGCGACGTCGCAATGATATTCTCGCCGAACAGCCTCGCGTGGCCTATCATGCTCTTTGGTGGCTTCGCCGCGGGCCTGTGCATGACACTCGCGAACAGCTCGTACACCCCACGCGAGCTCGAGCACCAGTGGACGGACAGCGGCGCCAAGGTTGTCTTCGTGCACCCCGCCCTGTTGCCGGTCGTCCTTGAGATGTTCAAGAACTTGGATTTCGACCTCACGGCCGCGAGGCGGCGAATTATCATCGCGGACTGGCCAGCACGCGACCCGATTTCCAACGACTACATTCGCATGCAGGACCTTCTCTATAAGGGACGGTTCTTTATGGAAGAGAAGTTCCCTGGTGAACTCGCAAACGAGACGGCACTCTTGTGCTACTCATCAGGAACGACTGGAAAGCCTAAAGGTGTCATGGTGAGTGTGCTTGGCATGTTTCCCCACACTGTTTTCAAAAAAGGCTTCAGACTACCCACAGGAATTTGACGGCGCTGCTACCTATGGTTGATATTTCATATCCGAACTTGCACGAGCCGAACCCAGTCATGCTTGGTTCTCTTCCTTTCTACCACATCTATGGTTTGTCACACGCTTGCAGCGCATGCTCAATTTTTCCAACGTTTTTCTGCTTGTAGGCGTGTTCAAATTGTTGCATTTCCCATTCATACGCGGCATACCAGTCGTGATTATGCAGAAGTTCGACATTACGGACGCCTGCAAGTGGATAGAGAAGTACAAAGTCACGCAGATGCTCGTCGTTCCGCCGATGTGCCTCCTATTTACGCACCATCCCGGTGAGCTGCTCTGTCCTCGTGTCAGAATGCCGTGATTAGCTGACTTGACCGTCCAGCGGTTGACAAGTACAACATATCGAGCCTGAGACTGATGCTGTCGGGGGCTGCACCCCTTGGCGCACCGCTGGTCATGGCCATGTGCACTCGCTTCAAAAACGCTGGTGCGGACTTCGCCCTTATTCAAGGTCCGTAAAGGCCTCTATGATGTAGTCTTGCGACACTTACAACGTAAAAGGCTATGGTCTGACCGAGACGTCCCCGACGACGCACCTGCTCCCAGCTGAGGATTTCGTCCGGAAAGTGGGAAGCGTTGGACCTCTGCTTCCAAATCTAGAGGCTCGACTGGTCGTTGAAGATGTCCAAGAGGCAGCTGCGGGCGAGCCAGGCGAGTTGTGGTTGCGTGGACCGAGCATTATGAAAGGGTACTTGAACAACCCGGAGGCGACGGCCAACTCCATTACCCCTGACGGCTGGTTCAAGACGGGAGATATCGCGATAGTGGATGAGGAGGGTTATTATACTATCGTTGACAGGCGGAAAGAGCTGATTAAGTACAAGGTGTGGTTTTTCTTACTTGAGTTGAACATGTCCGCTCACTGAAGGGTGCCAGGGCTTCCAAGTCCCACCCGCCGAGCTGGAAAGCGTGCTTTTGGAACACCCAGAAATCGTTGATGTTGCTGTTATCGGTGTAGTCGATGAAGCTGAAGCCACTGAGCTACCAAAGTAACTCAAAACACTACCTCGTTCCCTCAGCTGCTGACTCTCTCGTAGAGCGTACGTTGTGCACAAGACCGGTCTCCAGTTCCATGAAGAGCAGGCCTTCGGCTTGGCCGTGCAAGAGTGGATTAAACCCCGCGTTGCTCGTCACAAATACCTACGCGGAGGTTAGTATTGTGCTTACATTGATGTCTCTGACCACGTACTGATACACTCACAGGAGTGGTGACTATAGAAGCTATACCCAAGAGCGCGGCAGGCAAGATCCTTCGCCGGCAACTGAGGGAACGTGCAAAATTAGAATTCGCATCTGCCAAAGCGGCAAAAGCGAAGTTGTAAATATTAGTGTACTTGTCTTACGTGCTGTACAGTCGCAATTTTTTCTGTATTTCTGAACCCTGGCAAGCACCGTGTTCGTCGGGCGTGAGCTCATGACTTATGAGGTGGCAGTAACAATCACGTGGGGTAAGACGCCGGATACGCTGCTGGAAGAAAACGAAAGAGGAAGAGATCCTCGACCCTCGCTCCGCCTTCGTTGTCGGGGACAGTCTGCCCACCCAGCTCTCGTTCTTCTTCCTCGTCTTCTCACCTCTTCACTTCCCCACCATGGCCTCTCTCCTCGAACGCATGAACATCGACACCACAGGCTCTGTAGGACCTGTGCGCAACAAGTCTAACCGTGGAGGAGCATCCCCATATGTGCGCCAACGTCTTGTCCTCATTCTTGGGCCTTCACAGTCCTCACCCTACTCCTCTCATGTCCCATAACCTTTCGCTCCTCCTCCCCGTCCTCTCCTCACGCATACATCGTGCCCCTATCTGGCCACGTAGAACCGCAGCTCCCGCCTGCCCAAGGGAGACGTCAATGGCACCTGGCAACACGACCTCTATGCCACGCACAACTCGCTCAGCGCTCGCCTGGGCAACAAGGAGCGGCCGCCGAAGATGAACATGTCGATGGCGGAGCGTGCGCTCGCGGAGGCGGCAGGCGAGAAGGGCATTTCGATCAAGGGCGCGAGCTCGCGCGGCAACGTCGTCGAGGTCGGCGGGCTCGCCGACGGCACAACGTCCGAGGACGTCGAGGTACGCATCTTTCCCCTCTATTCGTCCGTTGCGGACAGGACGCTGATATCGACGGGTGCGTGCGTGCGAAAAAAAGGCCATCTTCAAGCGATGCGGGCCCGTCACCACGCACAAGACGGTCAAGCTGAGCCCGGTCGTCGTGCGTCTCGTCTTCAAGAATGAGAAAGACGCCCAGGCGGCCGTGTCCAAGTTTCACGGCCAGCCCGCGGACGGCCGCATCCTATCGGTGAAGGTCGTCGGAGGCTCGAACGCCTCCCTGGCCGGACGCCTCAGTGCGGCTGCTATGGACAACAGTGACAGTGTGGACGTGTTGATGGACGATTCTGGATCCCCGGGCGGGTCGTGAGTAGCCCAGGTCCTCTTACGGAGAACGCGGCTCTGACTGATGGCGGCCCCCATTCCAGGAAGCTACGCTCGGACGAGATCCTCGCCAAAGACTCCCGCGCCGCGGTTCTGGTCGCACCTCCGGGTGCCGACCCCCGCGAGTACACATCGCACCCTACGCGCGGCCGTGGTCGTGGTCGTGGCCGCGGAGGCAGGAGGCGTGGCGGCGGCGGCGCCAGGATGGACATTGACTCGTAGGCACACTCCCTATTCCCTTCTCAGCTCTCCATAAAGGTTCTCTTCGCTTGCCTCCCCCCGCTACAACTATTGTGTGCCTGTGTATAACGAATGGTACTCATGCCATGTGTTTTCAGTCTGGTTCTCTGCAAAACTAGTCCGCGCTGTCTGTTCTTGCTTCCATCATGTAGTCTACGTCACCCCTACTTCTTGCGTCGCGTTTCGAATATTATACCAGTTCCCCGCTCAACCTCAAACCTATCTGGATTGTACTTGGTTCAAGAGGCACGCATTGTGTTGAACGACGATCCATTAGTAAGCCCTTACAAATGCCCAGAAGCGTAGTCTGAAGTCAAAATACAAGTCGAGGGAACATCAAAAGAAGTCGTTCAGGAACACTGTGGAGCGACTAGGATCCGAGAGAGAGGAACCCCGAGAGAAAAGACAGTCGAGAGAGATCGTAATTCCCGGTAGCTGAAGTCGAGACCCCAAGCCTGAGGACAAGTCGCCATAACCGGTATTCGTTCCAGATGTTCGGTGTATAGAAGAGAACCCGAGCCCAGCGCCGAACTAAGGGCCATGACCAGATGCAGAGAAGAAGCGACGAGACACCCCAGGGAAGGCAGGACAGAAGACGACTAGAGACCCAGATGAGATGTATACAGTCACTCTTGCACGTCCGCGAAGAGTAGAATCAGAGACCAGGGAAAGCCAGAACCAAACCTGAAGAGAACTATTAGTCGGATGCAAATGCAGCAGAACAGACGATGCTTGCCACGAACCACGACATCGCCACGCCAACCAGCGTCCGAGCTACTCTCAACATTTCGTCAGAGGAAGATGTGCCGCTGCCGCAGTGAGGAAAAGGACAGAAATGCCGACAGGACGTCCGCAGCGCCGGTGATAGATCGACGTACAATGCCGCCAAGGCCCACCACGCAAAGATGGAGAGGGGAGTATAACCGCGAGAGTAGATAAAAAAACGAAAGGAGAGCTTGTCGAAAGCGAAAGGCGTGGCAGATCGGACGACGGCTGACAAGGACGACACGACCGCTTTGAACGTCGTGGGGCCGAGCCGTCCCGAAGCCACGACCGTCGACAACTGGCTGCAGATGTGCTGGCATCACACCGCGCGTGACATCTGTAAAATTCAGTCTCGAGTCAGGGGAACGACGCAGAAGGGGGCACCGTGCCGTCTGTTCTAGCGAGTGAGAGTTGCCGCCTTCGGATCGTCAAAGTGCTTGCCAGTGGTGGCAGCAGCGATTGAAAAACGGGACAAAAGTACGAAAAAAGAGGACGATGTGCAATGACGGGTAGTTCTGTGGAGTTATAGTAGAGGGCAAGCGACCGGATGGGTGGCGGGAATGGGCGAGAGAGATGTGTTGGCGGGCGGCGGCGGGGAGACGAAGCGGTGGAGAGCCAGTTCTCAGGCGCTGGCCAAGGGAAGAACGAACGACGTAGCCGTGGCCGGCGGGATCGGGTCGTCTGGCGAGTCAAGCAAGGGTAAAGTCTCGGCCATGGTCGGGGTTGGTGAGTGGGAAGAGGCACGAGCTGCAGTTGACAGTGAAATTGGTCGGCGGCGCCGGTGAAAATTCCACTGCCAGCGATGGACAGTCACCGACGGGGTCGGCTGAAGACCCAGGTGCTGGAATAGCTGTAGCCGGAGCCACAGCGGTCGAAGGTGTGGCAGGGAGAGTACACGGCGCAGAGGCAGAAACGCTCTGAGCTCGCGGCGAAGTCGGCCCGTCGAGTGCAGGGTGCGCGGCCACTGGATCCTGTCCAATAGATGTAAAAAATGGTTGAAACACGATAGATGGCCAACATGCGCACCTCGGGGCGATGAGCAGTGCCAGAAGAGTCCGGAGACTCGGTGTGAGGAGTGCTTGTCGTTGGCGCCGCCGAGCTTCGGAGGTGGTTAGGCGTCTGAACCTCAGCCGGCGTACACGACGTCAATGGGGTGTGTTGGTGCTGACTGATGCTCTCTGAGCGGACCGCGGGTGAAGGCGGGATATGCACCTGCGGCGCGTCCGCTGCTGCTGCTGCTGCTGCTGCGGCCTTAGCAGCCGCTTTCGTCGCCTCCGCTTCCTCGTACTCTGCCACAATCTCCGTTAACTCAGGCGAGACGTCTCCGATCTTGGGCTTCAGCGGAACCAGGAGATGGTCAATGTACTCTGACTCCTTGCACCTCTCCCGCCTCCTGTCCATCACCATGCTCCGCGCCCTCCTCTCCTCACCGCACCGCGCCCGCACATCGCTGGCGTACCGCACCTCGTGGCCGAGGACGACGACCGGCTTCGTCGGGTACGGCACCTTGCCCAGGAACGGCTTCACCCGGCCGTGCCGTCTCTGTCGCAGCGCGTCGGACTTCTTGTCCGGCTTCGACCCCGACGGCGGCGCCGGGTAGCTCTGGGCGACGTGCGGGGGATACGTGCGCGCCCAGACGTCTGGGGAGGCCTCCGGCACGAGCCAGGCGCCAGACACACGGTGGGTCAGCACCTCTCCGCCGAGGATGTCGTGTCGCCGCGCCGCGTACTGCTCGGACGCGGCCGCGTCCCGCTGCTGCTGCGCCTCCAGCGCCTTCCTCTTGGCCACCCGCGCAGACATCCCGCCCCGCCGTTTTGGCTTGCGGTTCGGCTTGTGATCCGCCTGTGCGTTCGGGTCCGCGGTGGCGCCGATGTCCTTCGCGGTTGCTGCTGCGGTCGCACAGGGTGGTGGGTGATGTTGTTCCGCGGATCGGCTCTTGCCGGCAGCTTCGGAAGTCACGCTGGGGGGCGGGGGGCAACGTTGAACGGCGTCGTTCCTGTTCTCGTTCTGGTCTCCCGCCTCGGGCCGTGTCTCGTCGATGTCGTGCTTGTGGAAGGTGGCGCCGCCGGTCTCGAGTTCCCGCTCGTTATCGATCTCATCGACGCCATCTTCGTCGCGCTCGGGTTCCCTCGCCGCATCGGCGAGTGCCAAGGCGGCCGCCTCGTCCGACTGCGTCCTTAGCGCCGATCGCGCACGGCTGGACCGTCCCCTCGACACCTCCTTCGGTGGTCTGGTGGGAACGACCGTCCGTTTCAGAGTCTTCTGCGCAGGCCGCTTCTTGCGCAGGTACCACTCCTGCGATAGTAACGGCGACCCGGGGAAAGCCGCAATGGGGTCGTGCGCGTTGTCCGCCTCGGGTGGAATGTGGTCTGCAGCCTTCGAGGCGTCAAGTCGAACAGCCTCTGCGTGGCGGAGGAACCTGCCGACATCGATCGCGGTCCACCCGGCGCGTTCAGCACAGCGGGAGAGCCGCCCGACGCCGAACGCAGACCGGCCGACGCTAGGAGAAGAAGAAAAGTCGATTTTCATCAGCTTGGGGACGCCGAGAGGATAATGTCAAACGACGCTATTAATAAAAAGAACACTCACGGGCGAGGCGGCGCTCGGGCACGCGCGGCGGGTCTGCGCTCCGGCTGTTTGTGCGGCGGCGGCGGCGTCGGGGAGAAAAGGCGCACGTCGGACGTGGCGACCGACGGGGCGATGGCCGCGCGTCGATCGGCCGGCGGGGTGACGCGGAAGTGCAGGCTGCGATACGCTTCCACGGGCGGGATGTCCCACAGGTCGGAGCAGTCGATGGTGAACGACGAGGACTGGGCACATGCGGCGAACAGCTCGGCCTGTGTTGCAAAGTAGCAGGCGATGGGGGTGGCAGCAGGGACGACCTCGCGTTCCGCGGGAAAACAGTTGCTTGCTTGCTCGAGACGACGGGCGCCCTCTGTCCTGATTTCGATAACCTCACAGCCGGCCATCTGATCCTTGTTCGCAGAGGCGAGATCCTGGGACCGCAAGTGAGCAAAAGCGTCGAACATGGGAAGACAAGGAAAGCCAACCTTGTGGGAGTACCGCCTTGTCCAGACGAGATAGATCGCCACGGCACACACGACGACAAGCGCGCCGAGAAGAGGGCTGTATTCCACCCGCACATGCACCGACCACGGGCCCGGCGTGGCCGCGGCGAGGGCGTGCGGACTGAGACGGTCGGCCGCCAGACACTGCTGGGAGTGCGAGGTGAGGTTCCGCTCACTCGCTCGGCACCACGGCTGTGCTACCGCCGAGAGTAACGGCGCGGCGGCCAGTGGACTGGGAGGTGCTGGCCGCCACAGGTCGTCGAGGTGTCGGAAGGGAAGGCGCGAGGCGCTGTCCAGCAGCTCTCGAGCCCTTCTTGCCGCCCGCCTCGATGCCGAGATGAGCAGCCGTGTTGCGGGGGAGACCTTTGTTGCGACGTAGGGTTGAGCGATGAACCAGTTGTAGATGGCGCCGATGCAGGCGATTGCCACTAGTTGGACGGGGAGCATGGCGGACGCGAGAGACGGGCTCGGAGAGTGGGTTTTCGGCGCGTGAAGGGGTCGTGGAGAAGCAAAGTCGAGGGTCGCGAGTAACGAAGGTGGGAGGCGCGCAGACAACTGGGCGGCTGGTATGCAGAAAACGACGGAGGCGGTGGCGGTTGAAGTTGAAGATGGAGTTCGAACCGAGCGGGTGGTGGGCGTCGAAGCTGCGTTCGATCGAGTCAACTTCCAGATTTAGACGAGCATCCGCGGCCTCGAGGGCGGTAGTGACGAAGAGAACAAAGCACCAGATGCAGATGGCAGGGTGTAGCGTCATGCAAGCGTGGGCTGGATGCATCGTGGTCGCGCTTCTATTATCACATCTGCCGTCAGTGTTGTGATGAGTGCGTGCGCCGTTGTCGCCTCGTCGACAGTTTGCAGGTGGGCGTCCGGGAGAAAGAAAGGAAAGTGCCTGCCGCAGGAAATCCGCACCCTGGGGGAGAGATGACCCGAGAGGCGAGTTCCATGACTGTGATGTACCTTGACGTGAAACTGCAATGGTGGGCAGGGCGGCGGCGGGGCGTCAAGAGGAAGATGGCCTGAAATTTGAGACACGGGAGGCACGCTCGGAAATGTCAGCGTATGCTTTGTGGCGGGCAGAGGCCTGGAAGGTCGCCAGCTGCTTTGTGGCGCCGCCGACCCATCTCGGAGCGCGCTTGATTGCCTCGCTGATGCCCCTGATGCGCACCAGCACGAGCAGCGGCCGTGGGCGTCGCGACCTGCTGCCTGCAACCTTGCCAGCCTGTTGCACTCCCCGTCTGTTCCTATCGCACGAAGCCCCCGTCTCCTGCGCCTGCTGCACTCCCCGTCTGCTCCCCCAGCACGAAGCCCCCCTCGTCAGTGGAGAGCCCCGTCTCCACCCTCCCCACTCCACAATCCTTTCGTGCCATGTCGCCGCGCCAGCCTTTGCTTTCCCTGCTTCCCGTCTTCGCCTACAGCTACCACGACAGCCACCACGACAGCCACCACGACAGCCACACCTGACAACACTACATAATGACACCAGCACAGTGTGAAACCTGCAGCGGTGTGGTAAGTCTCATCCCTCCAGCGTTCTCTTCTCCCGACCAGCCGCGCTAAATCACCCATCCGTTCTCTCTGATCTCCTCCTCCCTGCCATCCACGCATGTCCAACCCAGCCTTCCCAATCCATCACCAGTCCAAATGCACCCCTCAATCTCGCCGTCATTTTCGGTGTCATCGGCGCCTTGGCTGCCACTGCCGTTCTCGTCTTCATCTCTGTCCCGTCCCTCCGCCGATGCACTCGATCATCATCCAACCGCAGCCCCGCCATTCATCCGTCCCCACGTCTGACAGATCTCGAAAAGGCCCGTCGCCCCTCCTCCCTTGGGGCCACCACCCGCCGCAAGAGCTCGCTGATGTCTTACATCTCTCGCTGGAGACGCGGCTTGGGCGACTTGGGCTCCCGCAGGACCCAGAGGAGCACCTCCTCCTACGATCCTCTCCCCGAGGGACGAACAGACGACGATCTGCACGCCCATCACGAGAAGCAGCAGGAACGCAAGGCCAAGGCGCATCCTGCACTTCTCCCTCTCCCTCCAGCCCTATCAACCTTCACATGGTCAGACCTCCGCTCAAATAACACCAGCGCCGATTCATCCGCAGGCGCCACCTCAGACGACGACGGCCTCGACACTGCCGACACCTACAGCTTCCCGACCGACGCCGCCACCCTCTCGCACACCACGAGCCACAGATCCAACAGCTCTCGGCCCTCGGGAGCCAAACCAGAGCCGAGAACATTCGGAGTCGCCGGCCCATCAGCTGCAGGCCGTGCACTGCCCCCCGCATCAACCGCTGTCAATTCCCGGACGCAGGCACCCAGAGACCCACACACGAAACGCAGCCTCACGCCGCCTGGCCTCAGCTCAAAAGCATCCTCTGTCGCGCCAGGTTCGTATCCCGATTACATTCATCCAGACGTCCTCTTTGCAGACCCTGGTGGCGACAAAGCCCTCGCTGCCGATCCCCACCCCCGGGTGTCCCTCCCACACGCAGCATCTGCAACCTACTCGGACAACCCTGGCATCGACATGGATCCCATGAAGCCTCCGCCCGCCAACCCCCCGCACCCACAGACCAAGTCGTCCCTCTCGCGCTCCCTCTCGCGCCCGGGCTCGCTCCAGCTGCCCTCCCCACCCGACTCTCCGCCGCTGCCCGCGGGCCTGCCACCATCATCATCGTCCTCCTCCCACCGTTCACACACCCACAGGCGCCCGCCATCCCACGTCCCATCGCTGTCCATCGGCGTCAGCGGCAGCGGCAGCACCGGCACACGCCCGCCCCTGGGCTCGACGCGCTCCGCGCCGATCAGCGCCACCCTTCCATTCCGCCCGCCGCCCACGTCAGGCTCCCGTTCGGCGACGTCCGCGTCCGCGTGGTGGAGCAGCACGGCATCGCCGGCCCGCCCCTCGACGCTGTCCCCGCCGCACTCGCCGCCGCGTGCGTCCCTCCAGCAACAACAACAACAACAGCACGCCGCGTCGGCGGGCTCGCGTGCGTCCTCTCCCCCGCTCCTCACGCAGGCGTTCCGCGCGCCCCTGCAGCGCTCGCCGTCGCAGTCTACCACCACCACCACCACCACCACCACCAGCAACACGACGCACACGCCCCTAACAGCGTCGCCGGCCCCGATGGACGAGGGCGGCAGCAGCAGTCGTAGCAGACACCGCTCGACGATCGTGACAGGCAGCAGCAGCAGCACCGCTGGCGAACGGCCGTCGCGCACCCCGCTCGGCGCGCGCCCGCGTCCGGGACCTGTCGAGCTTCTACGCGCCTCTGCGGTCCCCTCCGCGTCGTCCGTGTCGGCGGCAGCGGCGGCGACACCCGGGGACGGCTATAACAGGCGGCACGACGGGGACAATGACAATGACGACGACGAGGATGGCGCGCGCCGTCGCGCGCACGCCCGCCGCGCGTCGCTCGCGCTCCCGCAGACGACGCCCCCTGCCGTCGACAAGAGCCGGCTCCGCCGCGAGAAGGGTCAGAGCGTCGCGGTGGTCGCCGCATCCCCTGCGTACTTTGAACACGCGTCTGCGAGCGGCAGCGGCAGCAGCGCGCCGCACGCCGCCGCTGCACCACCACCTGTGGACCGGGCGAGCGAACACCTCGCGCCGCCGCCGCCGTCGGCGTCGTCGACCTCGCTGGCACCGCGCCCGTCTGCGACGCGCAGGCATTCGGTCGCGGTACAGCCGCAGCAGCACCAACAGCACCAACAACATCAGCAGCAGTACCACCCCCACCTCGTGCGACGCCACGACTCGCCCGCGCTCCGCCCGCTCCCAGCGTCGACGCTGCTGTACCCGACCTCCCCGCCGACGTCCCCGCCTCTGCGCGCGTTCGCGCCGCACCGCGAAGGGAGCGGCGGTGGCGGTCTCAGCGGCGGCGGTCTCAGCGGCGGCGGTCTTAGCAGCGGCGGTCTTGGCGGCAGTGGCAGTGGCGGCGGCGGCGCCAGCCTCGGGCGCGCGGCGTCGATCCGGCGCGCGGCTGCGGACCCGTATGCTGCTGCTGGAGGACGCAGCAGGAGTGGGAGCGCCGTGAGCCTTGCGGTGCTTGGTGAGCGGCCTGAGCGGGAGGGCGAGGAGGGCGAGGAGAGGGAGAGGGGAGAGGAGGGAGCGGGAGAGGAGGGAGCGGGAGAGGAGGGAGAGGAGGGAGAGGAGGGAGAGCACGGCGGCGCGGAGAGAGACGGCGCGGCTCCCGCCTGTCGAGCGCCTCGCGCCGCTCGAGTTGGGGGAGTTCGAGGAGAAGGGGAGGTAAGGAAACAACAACAACAAAATTGCGAGAGGATGCATAAGTTATTGCGCCTTTGACTGCGACGTTTTTTCTCTCTGGAGGCTGTCTCTCTGTACTCTGACGTTGTCTATGCCCGATTTTTTTTTTTCGTGTACATTGCTTTCTGAATTTCTTTGTATATCGCTGTACAAAGCAGAGGCCGCGACGATTTGTAGAACATAATTCCGTAATGTATTGTTACAGACAGACATCAATTTTTTTTCGTGTAGTACGGAAGCATGCACACACACGCACTGGTGACGCTGGAAAACTTGCCGCAAGAGTAGATTACACGCACAATCATCGGTCCGAGGTTTCTTCGAGAAAACGGGAGCGAACCTTCGTCACCCAGCTTTGTCACGGATATCACTGGATCGCCCATCGCCTGGTGGCGTCCGGCTGTTGCCGACTCAGAGCTGGTCGCGTCCCCCTCATCGGGTGCACTAACGCAGGATGTTTGGGTCAAAAATGTGCTGCCTGTTTTGTATCATAGCAAATCATCATATTTTCCATGTTGCTTAACCCACTACTCGCCTACCGATGAAACAACTTAAAGGCCGGCACGAGACTAATTTAAGAAGGAAAAGTTGCCACAGAAAAGACGAAGAAATCCTGAGTATATTCCAACGCCAAAAAAGTAATGTGTTCTGTTGCAAAACAGGTAATATAGCTACATCTTTTCCGTGGCAAAAAAAAGTCTCTAGATCAGTCTCATGCGGCGGGTGTCCGCACGACCCTAACGTTGACGTCGACGAAAAATGAGGTATGATCTGGAGCGAACTACATGCGGACTGCGAGGACACAGTACTCGTGCCGAGACAATATGACCTATTTCGACACAAAGCAGGCAATGTATCTTTACGCGTTGACGTAAAGTTATCCCTGCGTATCGTGTGTGGCGGAAAGGGTTCAGATTTGTCTTGTGTACGAAGCGTTAAAATTTTAACGTTTAGGTGCGCGCATTTACTGTAGTTAGTACCAACCTGAAGCTTTGAGGTACTGCTCTATGCGCTGCTCAGACTTCTCGACCGGCCGAAAAAAACAAAGAAGCGTTTCGGCTCGCTCCCCTTCCCGATCGACCACGAGGACAGGAACTTCAAACCCGACGGCTTTGGTAGCTTGATAATCACCCTTGACATGCGGACGACGACGTTACCCTGGAAAGGGTGCGAACATGCAGGCCGTCTCAGACGGTCTCAGACCCCTTGATCTCGCGTTCATCATCAAAGACCTCACGCGACGCAGGAGCATTCAGGATGCTGACAGAAGTCGTGACCATGTAGCGAAAGGGCTTCTTTCACAGGCGCTCCGGATGGAACTTTGTGTTTTGTTTCCCGGGGTGCGATACCAGCCTCGACGGTCCGAGGTTTCCGGGGTCCGGAGTCTCTTTCGATCGCTCTTGGCGTCAAACAGGCTTCGGCTGCGACACTTTTCTCGTCGTCCGCGTGCGACGGCACGCTCAGCGGGAGTCGCAGGGTGCCAATCGAGGGCCTCCTCCATCAGCCGTGTCGCCGGCACGGGCCGAGGACGTGGGGCGAGCGATTGGCGTGGGCCAATCGCGTCACGAGGCTAATTCCTGGCTCGCCGGGAGGCTACAAACTTCAGAGGACCACAGCTGATTGCTCTGTGTTTGATATTAAAATGATTGATGAATGGTTTCAGGAGCCACACCCTCGCGCGACTCCCGCGACTAGCGAGCTCAAAATTACCAAGGCTGCCGCCTTGCCGGAATTGCACGCGATTGTCATGGCTAAGACCAGTGCCTGCACATGCACGGCTCCGCTCTTTGCGGTGCAACTACTATTCTTGGACTGCACCGTAGAGAAAAGCGCTGTCATTGTATCTGCTCTTTGTGTTTGGGAATCGAAAGATCAGGTGTGTTGGCTGATTTAGTGGTTATACACCCTATTCTGATAGAAACATTCAGGTCGGCTGCACCGAGGCCATACAATTCATGGTCGTTGCCGTAAGCTGACTCGGAACCCCTTGAATTCTGGAAATTTGTGAGGCGCGTTAATAACGACGTTTCTGCCTTGCATGCTCGATGTAGAGCGTTTGTGAACGACTACCGATGGAGAACTCAGAAGGACGCGTACCAAGCTCGTCCGATGTCCCTGGGGATGACCTTCAGTGCTTTGAGCACAGGGGCTTCCCTAGACTTCCGCGGAGATCTCCTTGCACCGACAACGTCGCGGCCAATTTAGTCGACAAGGTGCACTGCATCCCGGGTGACCTCGTTTCCGAAAAGCCTCTCGCTGGCTTATGCTTTGATGTCATTCACTCCTCTATCAGGTCGGCAAAGAACGGCCTGCTGAAACAAGTCTCGAAGCCACCGCTTTTGCCAGTCGCCTGAGCGTCCACTGGGGCGACAAGTCTCCATCTAACACGCGAAAATTTTAGCGTACAATAGGTGCGTACTTGGTAATTAAAATCTTACTAGTTGTACTGCTCTCAAGTAGTTGGCTTGTACAGGCTAGCTCGAATGGCTTCCACTATGTAGCACGATAAATGACTTATCTTACGTATTTTGACAATCCAGGAACCCACAGGCGATCCGGCCCGCGGCAGAAGAATCTTAATCTCGTGAACGCGCGCAGATAGTGAGATCTAAACCCACGAACCCTTTCCACATGAGAATCCGGGATGACATGCGCCGCACGCAGGGCGAATACAGGGAAACGCGATGAGGTCCAAATGCACGGTACCTTGTTTCGCGGAGCCTTTTGGACCCTATCCGGATAAGAACTCAGACGTTCACTGAATGCTGCTGCAAGGTGAGAAGCCGTAAATAGCGTTTACTTCGCCCATTATGCCCATTTTATCACTTCCATCGCATCTCCGGCCAGACAGAGAACCATTCTAGCGGCCAGCCACTGCTTCAGTTTTTGTCCGGTGCTTACATTTCCGCCGCAGAGCACGGCTCGATATGTCTTACCACGCGCCCTAACTGAGATTAGTTCACATGGTCTTACACATAAGATTTGATCTCGGGTCCCCCGCTTTTTTCTTTAGTCTATAAACTGCCGAGGACAGATTAGTCGTCCAAACCACGGCTCATAATCAACTTTTCCCTGCTTACCGGACAAGTCGCATCGTTATAGCCTCTTCGACCCTCGGGATCGAAACTCAGGGGTGACCTTGCCACACATATCCAACCTGAGTGATGCTCGTACTGCCCCAACCACCCCAGACTTCATCCAGAATCTCGGCGGAGGCGCCACTATGGATTCCGACTGAAGGTCTGTCTATCTGCCCATTTTCCAGTGATACTGCAGCGCAGACGGCAGTGGTAGCCGTTTTTTGCTCTTCTCATGTTGATGCATTTTCTACTCGAGGTTCAGGTGAACCCAACAACCATATGCAAGTCGTCCAAACGTGCAAGTTCAATGACGTCTTTGCTGCGACTCAGCTCTGGATCATCCCCCATGCTGACCACAGCAAGTGCGCTCGAATCAGATCCACACCCGGCCACTGCAGCCGCCACCAAATCCGCCGAGCTATTGGATCTCCCGAGTGCGCCTCTTTGAACTCGACGGGCTTGAATGCGGCAGATTACGGAGCATATGACTGTGGTCAACACAAGGCACAGCGACACGCCCACTATCATCATCATCATCATCACCCCAACCGACAAAGCGAGAGTCAGAAGTGGGACAGTCCGTCCGCAACCGGAATGTGACCAGTTAATTGTACGCATCTACGCTCCATTCCTCTCTCTCTTACGCCTCCTCTATATACATCCGATATGCGCCTACATGCCACAACATAGTCATTATCAATGCTGCCAAATGTACTCAGGCCTCTTTCCCCCTCGTTAACAATAACTGGCTTACTGCGTCTGGCGCTCAGCCTATGTCACCTTGTTCCAAGGTAGCTTGTACGTTGCACATGGTCGTCAACTGCGCCAGAAAGAGCTGGCCGGTGCTACCGTGACGCAGACCCAGCAGCGAGGGAGACAGATATCTTGTCATCGGTAGCAAGGGGGCGGGCTTTGGTCCGTGTTCTTGGTGTTAACGTGACACCAAGAACACGGACCAGCTCTGGCTCACCATCCATGCCTAACTGTTGCGCATCGGAGGCTTGTCCCCTATGACAAGAATCGAGTGGTCACGCCGACCCCGCAGCCGCGGAAGTTTAATGTGTTTTATGGTCTGCGCTGGCAATGTGGTGTCCAAGAACCTGTAATGCAGCGACAATGGCTCAGCCTACGCGCGACTTTACAAATACCTCCAGGTTGTTGGTCAGAACCTCATAGCGGAGTCATGCATATCAGTGGACTCGGAACCACGACCTTGAGACCTCGTCGCATTGGTGCGGCGCCCATGGTATAAGTATCCACACCTACACGTATCGTACTTAGAAAGCAGTGCATGATGTCAGGATATAATTACTCGCGCTCGTCGCTCAAATGTCCAAGTAGTAACCCGCCATCTTTCTGGTGGATGGTTCATCGGCTCGAAGAGATAGACGTGGTACAAACAATAGATGATATTACTAGTATATAATGTATGTATCGTAGTACAGTGGTTATCCCTTTTTTATTTTCGCGTGCGGAGCGACACACTCACGCGTCAATATCTGCCAGTAGCCCAAACTTGCTCCCGAATCCTGCACCGGCTTTCGCTTTGTTTCCCACTGGCGACGATTTGACCGCCTCTTTCTTGTCCTTCCGCTTCTTCTTGCCTGCGGGTTCGATGAATGCACTTTCGAGGCCGTCGTTAGAAGCTCGCCACAGTCTCTCCGGGATTGCATCCACCGCGAGCACTTTCGTACCGGTGAGATACGCGTGGAAGCGACGCCCGGAGAAGCGTAGGACAGGACTGAGGAGCTCGTCGTTAAGAAGTAGCACCTCTCCAAGGCGCATGATGCAGTCAAGCGTGACGGACACCTGCGCCGTGAGCTGCACGTTCCTGTCAACGATCGGCACCTGCTCCGGCTCATCTTGCTCTCCGGTTAAGGTAGTCGGAGACGAGAAGGAAAAGGACGCAAGGAAGGCGCGTGCCTCGACTTGCGTCCACTTCTCCTTCTCGCGCGTTTTGTCGTGACCACGCTCTTGGAAGCGCGCGTGCAGTTGGCGTACCACCCAACGGAGGACTAGGGCGGCCGTGCGCTGGTCTGCGGGCAGCGACCGAATTAGAGTGCTGTCGCTTTGTAGGGCCTTGAGGAAGAACGCGAAGCGGTCTTCTGGTGGCAAAAGTTGTATGGGCGTATTAAAGCGTGTCTGGTTGTGGTTCGGAAGTGAAGCCAGGAGTTCCGACAAGGGGGGTACGATCACGTCTTCGGACGCAAGTTTCGTACCGCGACGAACATATTCTTCGACGACCTTCGATCGGGCCTTCGGGGAAGCAGGGTTTGATGCTGTCGCCGTTGTTTCAGATTTGGCTCCATCCAATGTACCCTCTTCAAAACCGTTGAGCTGTTGAAGGGCTCCGCGCAAAGGAGCGAGCGGGTCGGCGTCTTCCTCCGAGTCTTCCTCTACCACGTCGATCAGCTCATCCTCGTCATCCTGCTCGGGGGCATTCTCCTCCGCGGGCTGTGGTGGCTCCGGTTCGGGCTCCGTTCTTGCTGGCAGTCCCAGCGCATCATCGAGCAATGCATATGTCCAGAGCTGGATCGGCCTCCCAATGCTACGAGCAACGTTCTCCAGATCCGGATTTTCGAGAAACTGGCGATACCAGAACGTGCCTGAATGCATGACATCGAGCGTATGCGGGTCCAGCCGACCGATGCGGTATGCAGCTACGTAGGCAACCCGTACGCGTTCTCTCTGTGCTTCCACGTCGTCGTCAAGGGGGTCACTTGGGGATGCAAGATAGCGCAGCAAGGGGCAACTTGTGGCATCATGCAGCGCACAAACGCCTTCGGCCCAGAGGCCCTCCGTTCCGAGAAGTGTGCCCTCATATCGCGGGATGGCGTACTGGAGAGTCGCTTCGACGACCCGCTCGACAACTCGCTCCTTTTCGCCTGACGCCATGCTGTCGACTGAGCGAACAATCAGAGCGTTCACGGCGCGCTCAATGAGCTGCATAACGCTATGCACGGCATGTTTGTTCTTGTTTCGTCCTGCACCGAGGGCAGCAGACAGGATTGTTCGCAGTGTTGTGGCGACACGGGTAATGCGCTGAGTAAGAGTAAGAGAGCGCTCGAAAAAGAGCCACTGGAGGTTAGTTTCTTGAGAAGTCGTGGCTGAAGCTTCTCTCTCGCCGGTGAAGTCGTTTCCGACAAGGGCACCAAGTAGAGGTAAGAGGGAGATTGGTAGCTGGAGGTGTGTAGCAAGTGTTGCGGGCGAGTAGATAATAACCGACAACTGCAGTCCGGATGCTACGTCTGGGGGTACGATACCGCGAGAGACGCTGCTTTTCTGGGTGGCAGTTTTTTTCTTGCCTTTCGATACGACCGTTTGGAAGCCGTCTTCTTCAGCGTCACCCGCGTCATCATCATCTTCCGAATCGAGAGATGACCATGCCATGAGTGCCAATGGAACATATCCGCAATACCCTTCCGCGTTCAAGATGACGAAATCTGAGTCGTTGCCGACGACGTACCCCCCGAGGCGGGCTGCGAGCTCGACGGCATAAGGATCACCCTCTTCGTCTGCAAAATGAATTTCAAGTACTTGATCTGATCCGAGGTTGCGTGCGATGCCTTGCAGGGTCTCGACGCAAGCGGCGTACATACCCGGCGGTAGCATCACGCTCTCACGAAGGAACCGGGGCGTTGCGCGTGAAGTCGCGGACGTGCGAAAGAAGAGATGCGAAGGCTTAATGGTAGACCTGTTCATGCGGGAGATAATAGTGGGGAACTTGATCTCGGGGAAGGGACCTGAGTGGAGATGGGCATCGTGAGCGGAGTATACGAGCGAAGCAAACTCACCATCGAAGACGAAGTAAAGTCGCAGTCCGACACCTAGCCATGCTTTGACTATCTTAATCACAAACTCAGCAAATTGGTTGTATTCGCCGCCGTAAACCCAAGGAAGTCCTGCCCAAGCAAGGACTTCGTAAATGAAGCTGAAGAAAGAGCTAAGCCACGAGTAGTGAGCTAAAGTGAGATGCACTCACGACCATGCGTCTATAACAAACGTCGTAGGTTCGCTCGGTGCTACGTCTGTCGCGAAATGAAGCGTCTTCGCTAATGCAGCGCTGTGCTCGTTGATGTACGTCGTGAGGCCATGCACTCCCATTCCAAAACGCTATGACTTCGAAGCGCCAAGCGAGGCGGAAAGTGGGGAGGCTGATGGCGGGATTGATGGCGGGATTGGATCAGAGCGCTCAGGCAGGGCCGTTCGTTCAGCGGGCGCCAAACGCGATCAACTGTTGATTCGGGACGGTGACCTGCAGGGCGTCCCAGCAGACTCCCAAAATCTACACAATTCGGCTGTGCAGACCCGCAACGTCCCGAGTCAAATACACCTAATCCCAGCGATGTTCAGAGCGGTTCATGCAGTGCCGAAGCGTCCCGCCTTGCGAGTACGCTTTCCACTATCCTCGAGTGTCTGCGGTGCGACCATCCGCCTTCTACGGAACCAATCAACCCGCCATATCTTCCAAAGCACCAATGTCTTGAAGAGACATAAGAGCACACTTGCCTCGTCAGGCGTTGCCTCCGCGTATGTCATACAACCGTGTTTAGCGAATGCATGCAGATCCCACGCCTGACTTGTTCAAGGTAGACCAGGCCAATATAGAATCCCACCCAAGTCCATTATCATCGTGAATAAACTTCGCACAAAACCGGTTGTGGACGCTATTGAGGCATTACTCAGGTACAGTTCATTCGCTTATTTGTGTGCGGTACTTACGTGGGTGTTTCGTAGTTACATGCGCGAAAAGCATCCCGACGTGCGGGTATACCATGAAGATAGGACAGATAGACCCGAAGGCACGGAGATTTGGCACCCTGGTATGACTCTACATCATTTTAACATCTCTGTTAAATATTCATGGTCTACAGGTCCTCAGGCTGAACCAATTGACTTGATAGTCACACTCGGTGGTGATGGTACCATATTGCATGCAGCGTCGCTCTTCAAAGTTGGTGCTGTACCACCCGTCCTCAGTTTTTCTATGGGCACTCTAGGCTTCCTCCTGCCTTTCCGTGAGCCCGTCGTTGCCCTGTCCTCTGGTGCATCGCTGATTTGGTCTAGACATCGACGATTTCGGGAAGGCTATTGAGACTGCATTTGAAGGCAAAGCGACCGTTCTCCATCGTATGCGTCTCAACTGTACGTTCCAAAACAAGGACGGACATGACATGAAGGATGTACGGCAAGGTATCGATCTACCTCCAAGCGGATTGTATGCCGGACGCTTATTGACAATTAAATAGAATGGCAGGTCATGAACGAAGTCGCACTTCACCGAGGCGCAAGCCCGCATCTGAACACCATCGATATCTTCGTAGATGGGCAACACCTTACTGAGGCGGTGGTACGTGCCTTAAAAATATGCCTTCTGCGTCAACGGGAATGGGGCTCCCTGGAATTTGAGCTGACATGTGGAACAGTCAGATGGCATAATCGTGTCGACGCCTACCGGATCTACTGCGTATTCGCTCTCGGCCGGAGGGCCTATTGTCCATCCTTCGTTGAGTGCACTGGTCCTGACACCAATCTGCCCGCGCAGTCTTTCATTCCGTCCCCTGGTTTTCCCCTCATCCTCATCTATCACCCTTCGGGTACGTACACTTCATCGCCGCCGTGAGTCATGCTGACCGCACACATTGGTTGTCTTTGTTTCCTCTTTGTCTCTCACAATAGCTTTCTGAGCGCAGCCGCGCAGAGGCAGGTTTGTCTATGGATGGCCAGGCCTCTCACGTGCTGAAGCCTGGGGAGGCGATCACGGTACAGGCGTCATTATATCCCGTGCCGTGCATCAACCGTTCGTCCATAGCTGAGCCAGACGACAACCGAGATGGCGAGGGCGCAGGTCCCGGGAAGGAGGATGACTGGGTTCGTGATATCAACAACCTCTTGCAGTACAACGCGACATTCCGGAGCAAGGCGCTGCTTCGGCATAGTCGGACGTGACGGTGGGTATGTTTCGTGGCTGACAGTTGCTGGACGTGCTCATGACTGTTGTATAGATCTGTTAGCACTCCGTCCTTGCATTGCATGCTGTCAGCCTCCATTGCATTCGCGCTCATGCCACGGACTATGGACAGCATGAGCTCCGAGCAAAGATGTATCAGTACCGTTCTCGGCGCGGCCAGTGAGATAAATGCCATAAAAGTCTTCGTGGATCTCCGCAAGACGTACTGACCCTCCGCGGATGGCGGCTTCACCAAGGCAACATGGCTGCGCACGGCTTCTTATCATCCTTAGTGCAACCGTGGACACATACCGTAAGAACGTTCTATCTTCGTTCTTGACGCTTATGTGGAGAAGCTTCAGTCAATATGTTTGACGTAGCTGTGAATTTGTCTGTCTATAATGCAGGAGTCGTGTACGTACCTAGACATGTACGTGTGCCTCCCTGCGCAGCCTCCGTCGGCTTCTACCACAGAGCATTGCACTGCCTCAGTTTGCCCAAGACGCCCATAGGAAGGTGGCATTGCACCGGAAACGCATACGAGGCAACACTTACCGCATGAGCACGACACCGGAGAAGTTTACATACACCGCCCTATGCCGGTGTACGATCTGCGTGCAATGGAAGGCCGATCCAAGTTGATGACTATAGGTCCTCCGACTCCCTAGGACGCGGGAGGGGTTTCCGCGCCTCGGTTGACCGTGATTGATGTTATCACACACCTAGACTGCGGTGTCCTGAATCTAGCTGATATCCACGTCCGACTTCTATCCAACGAGATGCGTGCATAATGACGAACGTGTCTGTGCCACATTGATTGCGAACAAATGATATTGCTACACTGAAAACAAGGGTATAGGGTAGTGATACAGGGTTACGCGAGAAAAGTCTGAAGCCCTCAACTGCGTCTGTAAGTCTAGAATGAAGTCCTCCAATGCAATGGTACACTGCCCCAATAGCCCATTCTATCACTGCATATGTCATAGCACGACTGGGTATGGTGGCTAAGAGTCTGGGTATATGGGATGCTTGGGCAGAAGGGTTGATGTGGCAGAGCCAGGTCCCATGAGGGCGTTGGGCATGCGCGAGGTGCGAGGCGTTAAAGAAAATTGAGACGCGCTCAGAAGTTTTATGGCTTCCTGCTTGAAAAAAAGTTCTTCGTCCGATCCATGAGGCCCGGAGAGCGAGGCCGCTGCGGGGCAGGGTCGGTCGGCCGACCACGGGCATCCTTGACGTCGAGGTACTGGCTGCCCGACCCGAGACCGTCGTAACACGGAGGCACGTCCTCCGCGAGCAGGCGTGGCTTGATGCTGGGCGACGGCTCACGCGACCTGGGACGCGCGATCTCGACATCCATGATCTCACACCGCGGGAGGGTAGGTGTGACGTCGGACCAGGCGGACGAGGAGATACAGACGCGTCCAGGGGCCTCTCGCACGCGTACGCTGACATAGAAAAGTATGGACTCCGACGGGATATGTGCAAGATCCTTGTAAGTCTCTCGTGCGAGATCAGCTGCAGCCTAAAAAGTCCGATCAGTCTTGGTGGCATGCCGCACTTGGGCTTACTTTAACTTACCTCAACCGTAGGAGCAACCTTCACGAAGACAAGCTCGTTACCGTGGCGGTACGTGACAATCTTGGAGGTATCCCACTCATGTGCGTCTGAGGATGTTGAAGTCTCGTACTGTGGGGGAGCATCCACCGCGTCGTTCGAGTCGGAATCCGCGATCTGGATGTCGAGAATCTCGTAATCCGGAAGTCCGGAGGTGATAAGGGTCCATGCTGAAGGCGAGATGCGGACACGAGTGCTCTCGTCTTTCTTCACGCTCGCAGTAACGTAGAAGGAGATGCGTTCACTTTGCACATCGGCGAGGTCCGCATAGCTTTGTCGTGCGCGGTCAGCAGCGAGCTAAATATTCGTTAAGTCACTTTGCCCCCTGATGCACACGCTAGTGTTCAATTCACCTCAAACGTTGGAGCTGCTTTCACGTAGACCATCTGTCCGTCCCAGCGATAGGTAAGGATCTTGGAATTGTTCGAAGAGGATGGGGACTCTGCGCGAGACATATTTGGTATGAAGCCGGGGCTGCCTTTGAGTGATGTGAGGTTCGCCGTGAGTTGAAGGCTGAGAGCTGAGATGCCCCCGTCTTATACATGGCGCATGGCGTCGCCGTGGTGGGAAGCCGCACTGGTTTTTCACAGCCTCTGGACTAGCGCCGTCAACGGCCCCTGCGTGCAGGAAGCTCCGTCTGTGCAAAAGCATATAAAAGCACAGCCGAATTAAGCCGTTCCTTCATCCGAACCATAATACTGGCAAAGAATACTGTGAAAATGCGGTTCGAGGCTGGTACCGCAAGACACTGGTGACATATCGCCGACCTGGTAGAAAGCAGTAGCGGCGGCCAGACCTCACATTCGTCCTGAGTAAAGAAAGAAACAAGAAAAGTACTTGTTCATGCCTCTTTATCCAAAACTTTCATCACCGAACAAGCTGTATGCTGTCCGAGGAGTAGCATTTACCTACCCCCAAGGAAAGCATAACAGACCAGCCATACATTCAGCACAGATATTCGGCTGCGAGGGCCGCCATCCCTTGTCAAAAGGAAAAGTGAAAATTTGGACAGCCGAAGAATACTTCGACATCGGGGCTCGGTGGCCTCAGCGTCGAGACCACGAGCGGCAGTGCGCGTCTGCATGCACCATCAGCGGGATATGGCTTGGATGGCAGAGGCATTGGCTTACGGTACTCGCTTACTCCTAGGGTTCGGAATTTGAGGCGGGGTTTACGTATATTAGCAACTGCCACTGTCGGAGTCAACCAGAACATTGTTTGTCTCAAATTGATCCCAGGGTTCGAGTCATGACAAGTGAGCGGGCGGGACACAGCGCAGGCTGTGCACGCGGGGCAACGGTCCTCGGGCGGGGAAATCATTGATGTTATTGAGCGAGGTCAGAGACGTTGGGGAGCTCGTCGCTGCTCATCGTGGTGGTAGTTAGTACGAAGGCAGCACGAGTGACCTAATTTGGCAGAGGTTGCGCTTGACCAGTGACCACGACTTTACCACGTTGCAGATGACGGAAACATCGATGGTTTGCTGCTTGCTATCACCATTCAATACGCACTGGGTATATCTTCCGACTGATCTGGAGAGGTACTCTACGCTCGACCTTGTTTTCTCGTACGACCTCATATTGTTCTCATCTCCAGAGCAACCCGCAAGCAACCCTAAACGTCGAGTTCATCTAATCGCTCTGTCAAAGTGTATCAGCTGCTCTTTATTGGTCTCTCTCTGTGTTTCTCGTTGCAGATCATGTCTAGGAAAGCGTCCCAAGCAAAGCCATCATCGCCCTGGTCTCTCACTTCACGACCACTCTCGTCGGGGCCCGAGCGGCCAAGCCCGCGCCGTGGATCGAACCCTCCCGTCTCACCTCTCTCCGTGGACAGCTTCAAGTCGGCCGAGGCATCGCCCATCTTATCTGAGCGGTCTTTGACACCGATTATCAAGAGTCCCGCAACTGCCAAGGACGGCACCGCCAGTAACTTCCTCGCCCTTATCGGACCTGTAGCATCTCCAATTACTCCCCGGAATACGGTACAACATGATTATTCCGCCGTAGGGTCAGTTGAGGGTGGCACTACCGATGATAGTTCAGAGCCTGTTCTCCCTATGACGCCAAAGTCTCAGGGTGCAAGAAGTCCAGCCACTGACACTGCACCTCTCACAACCGAGGAGGCCCCGTTTGAGAAGGATCCCACCGTCAGAAGGGATCTTGAGGTCGTTGATGAGCTGTTGGGGACGATGAGGCAGATGCTGGGCACCCTCAGCTCAACGGTTGACACGCTCGGGGAGCAGACTATCAAGGTGGCTACGCTTCCGGCTGCAATGGCCGCTGTTCATCAGGTATGCATGTCTCTCACCGGTTGAGATTGTAACACGTTTACGTTGTTGCATTACAGATTGCATCCGCAAAGGATCAGCTTGATGCTCACCAGAAACAGCAAGAGGAAAACATGATGGCATTCAAGCAGCTATTGTTGGATGAAGTCAGGACTCGGCTGTACACTCGTCTGAAGGATACTGCAAGTGCAATCGTTCAGGAGATTATTCAAAAAGAGATAGCGGAAAGAGTCCGCAAGCAGGCAAGCTGTCCGATTGTGATTGATGCATCGTTCACGAGACTTACTCTTTCAATAGCTTCGGATGCAGATTCCGCAATCCATGAGAGACGAGGTCCTCAGGTACAAGCATCAGATAATGGAAGTGCAGGTCAGCTTGCGCAACTCGTGCGTACTATTTCCCATGTTCCATTCCTCTGTACACTTGGCTCATCGGTCGATAGTGAGGCCCGCCGCCACAACGCGCTAATCAGGACGAACTCACCGGAAGAGCCCCTCCGACCTCTCCTCCGACCGCCGCCGTCGCTCGAAGAACTTTTTGCGCGCGACACCTTGCAGGCAGACGGACACCGCAAGTCGTCGGGCATCGGAGACTCGGATAAAAGATCGGCGTCTGCCGCATCTCCTAGCACGCGGCGCCATAAAGCCTCAAGTGTGTCTTCAACGGTGCAGGGACGGCGGGCGAGGCTGTCCGCCCTGGATCTCGACATACCGACGCCATCGCCTCTGTTCCCTCGCGATCTCACCGCGCTCGCCCGGCTCAACACAGACGAGACGAGGGAGCTCATGCGGGACTACGGGCTGGTGAAGACACGACGCGTGGCACGCCGGGTCCTCCGCAAGCGGAAGATAAGTCTGGACGATCCCTTCTTGGACAAACCCGAGACAACGTTCGGAGACGAGACGGAGACGGAGACGAGTGAGGTAGTCGAGCTCGTCGAAGAGGACGAGCTGCGTGACGAGACCGTGAACAGATTTCTGCAGTTCATCGGGGTGGGTAGTGTCGTGTCCGTACGGTCTTCGTGACCCGAGGACTGATACCTTGCCTAGGTCACCTTCCGGATTGCACCAGCCTTGGGCACGCCTTCGCGCACAAAGGGGCTCATCTCGAGGAGCCCGCTGCGCCCACGGTAGGGGTACAGGGTGCCAACCTCAATTTCGTTTGGCGTCCCCTGCAAATTCATGCATACTTTTCTGTCGTTGGCTATACGGAATTTTTATATGTTGTTTCGTCTTATTCTTGTCATGCTTGCTGTCGTTTCATGTGCTGTCTCTTACATCATCACTCGTGTCTGTATCTCTGAATCTATGCTATCGTGTATAAGCGCAGTCCACCTCAACCTTCGTGCGAATGTTTTCATCGCATGGAAGTCGCCTGAGACGCGACCGTGTCGGCCTGGTACCTCAGAATAGTCCAAGTCCAACCACTCCATTGCTGTTAATCATCCCGGTTCAACATGGTCTGTGTGGCATGTTAGCAATGGGCAATGCGCCTTAGGACAGCAGAGGACAGCCCACTAGGACGCTCGCGCCTGTGCCTTTACCGGCGTCTCACACGCAGTCAAACATGCGGCCAAGGACACAGCCGCTTCAGCTCTTGAAGTACAGGAGGAAGTTCCAGCTGTGCACGTTCTGTGCAGGCACTCGGTCTGGAGTAACGACTGGTGGATATCGGTAAGTATGACATGCCCGCCCTATTGCGATAGTTGGCACAGCGAATTCCATGCTACGAAGGGCCCGGGGATCGAGAGTTGATTTTCAACGGCGAACATGCAGGAGATGGCCCACCTGACGCAGACCGGGAGGGAGGGAGGGGGGGGGGGGGTATTATGCGCTGGGCTGGGATTCGAGATATTGTCACTGGGACTACTCAGATAGTAGGATAAGGTGCAATCGGTAAGGTTGTCCATGACGAAGTCAAAGGGCAAATGGGCGGTATGTCTCATTCCTTCCCATTGCAACTCCATTTACGGATGCTTACACTGCCTTTGCACACACATACGGCAGTGGCTCGCAAAATACGAACCCACTAGATGTCAATTGTGAGGAGGGGCCGACCTAGGTACGACTCCCAGCAGAGTGGGCACCCGCTGAGGCATCACCATAATTTGCATCAGGAAGCAGCGTCTGACTACGTAGCGAGGGCGCTTGCTACCCTGAGGCACCGCATCTGCCCTTGTCGGGTAGCGCACGCGTAGAGGCTCAGGAGTGCCTGGTAGTACCCAGCGGCAGCGCACACATTTTAGGGGTCACTACGGTATGCCAGAAGTTATATATTGGTTATTCAAGCTACAATGTGCAAATTTGTATGCGGGACACACACCTATGTCATTACTGGACTAAAATTAGATTAATGCACCGAAGAGCAGCACTCCAAGGCAAACTCGTGTGGATGTTCAAGCTCAAGCTCAAGAGGCGTCTGCCGAAGTACAAAGACGTCTGCCCTAAAGTGTTGGATGATGGCGCGACGGACGAAGGTAAGCGCTCGAACATCTCGTCGTCCCAGCTTCCACATCAGCCCATGGTAATGCAGCTCGACCATCCCTTCGGTATGCTGCCGAGACTATAGCCGTCACTGACTCTCTGCCTTCCCTGGGACTCTGGAAGAACAGACAAGAGCTGGCTGTGGTAGTCGAAGCTCGCGATATTTCCGGACCCCAAGCATACTGCTACCGACATGCCGCGTTACCATCGGCGGAGCAAGCAAGAAAA